CTGTTGAGTGCATTCACGTGTTTTAAGCACACGGGCTTGAGCACACGGGCCTACAGCATTTTCGCCTCCATCGAAAATGCAGCCGGGATTTGATCCCGTGACGTGCGGGTCAGCAGCCGAGTACCTTCGTCACAAGACCATCGCGGCAGAGTGAAACACCTCTGCTACTGTCAGGTGTTGTTTTTCTTCACAGGACACTTATTAACAACGCCACTAGTGCCATCAGCGTGAATTTTTTTTTTTTGTATTTTCCCTCGGTGGCTGTATAAAACAGTAGCAACAGGCTCTATAAGTGATTCATGCCACAACTATTCTTCGCATTTCATGAGCCGTATCCTTCCAACCGAAAATTATAACGTGCTTCTTTTTTTTATTTCAAGTGTCTGCATGTTTGCAATTTCAATATACACTCAGTAAGTAATGTGATTAGCAGAGATATCTCTGCCATTCAAATTTAATGTTTTACTTTAATTGTATCTGCACGAAAATTCTGTGTGAAGTCGAACAAGGATCCAGCTTGTACCCTACATCCACGTGAGTGTAACTCTTTTCCCACAAAAGCAAACTCAGTCAACACGCAACACAATACACTTAAGAAGCAAGCATAACAAGATTCGCGTATCAAACGTTAAAACAACACTAGCACCAAGCGAACTCCAACGCTGTCCGCCGCACATAGCGCTATAAATAACTAGAACACTTCCCGTACAGGGAGAATCTGTTTAATTTCATAAGCCAAAATTTTTGGTATAAATCAAATCAAATATATTTTTTATTTCTCAAAGACTTTTTGAGAGGTTCACTGGCTAAAAACTGTTTGCGGTCAGCTTGATGATGCCAGTGAACCCTATACGAGGCAGTTGGGACGATGACAAAGGTTTGTAACAAAAGCTAACATTAAAATAACAAATATGGTGTAAGAAAACACACACACACACACACACACACACACATATATATATATATATATATATATATATTGCTACCGAAAACATACTGGCGCTAAACATAGCACGGAAGATAGTTATTTGGACGCTAAAAAAAAGAAAAGAAAAGAAAAATAACAAAAAATCTAACAACCATGACACCCCTATCGCGAAAAAAATAATGACGAAATACCACGGAAGATATATACAAATTTACTTCTTGTGTATGACCTGCATCATACAATTTACATCAAATGTCAGACAACAAAATTATAGAGACATTATGATTTCTATATATTTTCCATCATACAGCCTATTCGGCATGGCATGCATGCACACACTGAAAGAAAAAAAAATAAAATCGTACAAAAACAACACATTTTACAACGTCACAAAGTTAGCCTATATTTACAAAAAAGGATCACAGTTCTTTTAATGAGAAGCTTTTTACGTGACTGTATATATTAAGAATTGTTGGTAGATTGTATTGTAATGTTTGGAATTTGTAATTATGGTGAAACCTCGAAACAAACCAAACATCACTGCTTCATGTACTTAAGAAAACATTTTTTTGCAGTTAAACATGCGGTATTTTTAATGAATTATTTAAAAGGAAATGGAAGAGAAAGAGCAGGATCGCAGAATGTGAAAGGTATACATATATTCAACTTTAATAATACCGTGGTTCCAACACACAAGTTGTGTGGATGACAAATAATCTAAATTAGCTACATGTCTAATAACCTTTTTTCTGAAGGGTCTGAAGTTTCAGTATGTTAGTTTTTGTCGTGGTTGCCCACACCAAATTGTAGCGATTTAAGTGCGAGAGAAAAAGAGCATGGTATATTTGCAATTTCTCTATTGCGGGTAAGATATGTCTGCAACGAGTTAGCACACCGACTACATTGGAGGCTTTTTTTTTTTTTGTAGATATCAACGACGTGTTGGTTCCAGCTGAGGTTTGATGAAAACTTGACACCAAAAAATTTATGTTGATCTACAAAAACAATATCTTCACCTGCGTAAGGTAACGCCTGTGTTGATGAAAATATTTTGTTTTTTGCTTAAAATACGATTGCTTTTGTTTTCAGTGGATTTATTTTTAATAACTTTTTAATAGACCCTAAGTAAAGCTTGCTCAATAACTGATTGCACCGAATAATTAACTCGTCTGCGTCAGGGCCTGAAAAAGTGGGTTCGTGTCATCAGCATATATGACAAAGCTCACAGTGGGATCAATATCCACGATGTCATTTATGTAAGCATTAAATAATAGCGGCCCCAGTACGCATCCCTGGGGAATATTATTTAAGACAGGTAAATATGATGACATATGAGTGCTTAATTGAATGCGTTGCTGTCTGTTTTGCAAGTGTTTTTATCAATTGAAGTGACGTGCCGCGGATCCCGTATGATTCCAGCTTAAGCAGTAAAATGTTATGATCAATGCAATCGAAAGCCTAGCTGAAATCAAGAAAAACAGCTAACGTGAAAAGATTTCGTTCAAAATTTTGCAGAATCGTTTCCTTAAGTGGTAATAGGGCTGTCTCCGTCGACCTTCCTTTCCTAAAACCAAATTGAAAGTCAGTGATTATATTTTCTGGAGCAGAAGAAGCAGATATACGTGCATAAATTAATTTTTCTAATTCCTTATAAAACACAGAAATAATAGATATGGCTCTACAATTAGTCACCAGGTTACTGTCACCTCCTTTGAGCAACAGTCACTCTGCTTCTTTTCATATCTTCTAGAAAAACACTCGACTCAAGTATCAAATTAAAAATGTGGCTGAGCGCAGGAGTAATACAATCTTATACATATTTTATCAGTTTTATTTGAATGTTGTCGATTTCTAGTGCCTTACTGTTCTTTATATTCATGAAAGTTGTGTCAATTTCTTTTTCATCCGTTGTTCATGGAAAAATACTGTCGGGGCATCGATTTCTTGTTGTGACCCTGAAAACGTCCGCTTGTAAAGGCCTGTTCGCTGATATACCCACATTCACAAAATGATTATTCAAGTGATCCACAAGTTTTTTATCAGCGAGATCGACTTTGTCAACGGTAATCTTAGCTGCAGCATGGTGCAGAGTTCCACTTACCGCGACCATGCACATCATTAATTAAGCGCCATATAACGTCAGATGAATGCTGTGCGCTTTCAGCAAACGTTTTCTCGTAGTAAGTTGTCCTATAGCTTGCTTAAGCTCCCGATTGAACTGGCTACGTTATTTTTTAACTCTGCCAAACCTGTCAGCACTTTTGATTTCAAGAATAAGTTGTAAAGCTTATTCTAAAGTCGTATCATATTGTTCAAACTGATAGTTGTAAAATTAAGTCGTATCATAAGGTCAAACTGATAACCGCGGCGACGCTGTTGAAAAGTTAGACCATGGAGCATATGCGAGTAGGAAAACAATATAGCCGCAGCTCTTTTTTCATACTTTTTCTGCGCGCGAGTATACTTAACAACGAGAAAACATGACGCAACATGAGAAGTTACGAGCTGATAAGAGTTCATGAAGACCACATGACAATATGTGTACAAGGAACACGATTACTTGTGCGCGTGTAATACCACGCGCACACGGAGCCGGCTCTGATGATGCAGGGCTCGCCCCTGACAAACGCATTCTTAAAGCACCTAACAACAAAAGTTCGACTCACGCAGAGTGCGCCATTACAGCTTGACGGGTCAACCAGGGCATCGGGAATATTGGTAGTGGCGTCTGATCACTTGGAGCATCCTTTGATACTACTCACTTTGCCTCGTTACGTCCACTGCGAACACTGCAACATCGGACATGGCTCTGCTTCCCATCGATCTCATTGTATAATCAGCGGAAAACAGTTACAGCTCCAGCGGACGAATTCAGTGCAGAATTAAAGGGGCCTTGCAACGCTTTTTCAGCGTGATCAGAAAGCGTTATATTGATGAGTAGTCAAGAAGCTCCCGGGGTTATAACGCAAGCAGCCCGGAATTCACAATTAATTTCCAAAGTCTGCTAGTATCGTCATTTCGCCTCTCGACAAATGATGAACTATTCCGTAAACCCAAATGATCGCGCTATAATCCCAAAGTCCGTGGCTATTGGCTCCTTTGAGCATCGTGAGCAGCATTTCCGGGGTCGCCGTGAGGTGCTGCCACGTGCCCGCACGCGTGCTCTTGATCGCACTGTAAGCAGGGTCCTTCAATTGTATTGAAGGGCCCTGCTGTAAGTAAGCAGCGCCTATGAAGAAGTGAGCGCCCAAGGTCATGATGCGCGCTGACGAAAGGGCGCCTCCCCCTGTGGAAAGAGAAGGCGCGTAGCTACGCGCCGACGCGCTGCAACAGCCACGTGTGGTCAGGCCTTTACCATCCTCCTCCCAGCGTAACTTCCAGTGCGCTCGCTAGCGCGAAAGGAGATGGGAAGCGCTTGAAGCGTGCGACAAATCCCACCGCTCGTGCTTGACGGATTTAAAATGGTTTTGTGGGAGTGGATTCGTGAGGTAATAAGCTCTTCTAATGGAGCCATACGACGATTACCTGGAAAGGTGTTGCAGGACACTGTAGTGCAGGGAACGTGGCTCTGTGTCATAAACTTACTTTGATCTCTGTTCCAGTACAAGAGTACTCTTAACTCCTGTGCGGGCGTCGTTGACATGTGGGCTGAGCAGCAAAACTCGCTAACCACCAAGATGCCGCATCCGTTTGATCATCCCTTATTCAATCGGTTCATGATTCGAAGTTATGTTCTTGAACCTAATAAAAAGTATATTTCATAGTTATCAGGTCCGCATAAATATTACTACTATAGTAGAAATATTCATGCGGACCTGATAACTATCTTCCTTTGTGGCGTTCAAATAGTATTTCGACATTATCCGTCTGTCTTAACACGCTTCTCTCCGTGTGGTGTCCGGTGTTTTGTGCCAAAGAGTCCCAATTCACGTTATTGTAGTGCGCATGTTATTTCTTTATGCAGAGTGGCTTTTGATCGCATCATACAACCAGGTGTGCAGGACATTTACTTCACGTTATATTAGGCGCTTCTTTAATTGTGCCCTGCTTCTTTTCTTTTTATCTATCTCAGGCAAACACACCTTCTCCGAGGGGCCAGAGACCGCAGAGTGATCGGAGCCGCCCCGCTCGATGCGCGTCTAGAGTTCCCGCCATGCAAGTCTGCGTGCCCCGCCTCTTGGTAGCACTGGTGTTCGCCACGCCGCTCAACGCAGCCGGTGAGTCCCACCGCCACAGTTCCTGACCATTGTCCAGGGCCGTTTTGCATGCGCACCATGGGCTGCGCTGCGCACACTCATGCGTGCTCCCACATCAGTGAACTGATAAATATGGAGCTCGTTCCCACGAAAGATACCTGGGCTGGTTGGTATCGCATTTTTGGAAGCAATATACTTTATTAGTGCGCAGGGAACGTTTCAGAAAGAATACAGATAAGACCGAGCGCACATGCTTAGACAATTGACAGTAAACTCTTTCGTTCGACAAGTGCCTTCGCCATTCCAGTAGCACAGCCTCAGCATCATGCATGGGCGCGCATGCGCCGTGGAACTGAGAAACGCGTCAAGCACGCCGGTTACACGTGATATCTGCATATACTATAACAAGAATACCAACTCATGGCGGGATATACTTTATCTCGCGTCCAGAACTCCGCCAAGAAAACAGAAAAAGTGCTTTATAATAGCATTCTGCCGGCCTACATATGGGCGCTTATAAGTACATATAAGTATACATGGTACCCGAAACAAGCCACAGGTCCACATTTGTATTCTGATTCGTATTCGTAAACACGCGCGTTTGTAAATCATATGTCCATCGAAGTACGACCGCTACACCGTGTTAATCGAACCAGCGACCTGCTATAATTATCAGTGTAAGAAGCATACCACTGAGACCCTCAGACAGACAGAGGTATATCTAAGAACGTGCCGCATAATAAACGATGCAGGTACTTCGGAAGGTGTAGCTACAGAGCCTCGTCATCGGCTGGTGACAGATTTTGGGGTCTATTGTAAGGAAGTGCTCGCACTTTTTCGCTTGAATTAAACAAAGCATTTCACAGGCCTCACTGCTGGGTAAAGCGTCACGAGCCTCGATCAGTGCATGCACACGTCTAACTTCTGTACTCGATGAAGGATTCACCGCAGAAGTACATTGTGTCGTGGTCCGTCTCGTATTATACATAAACTACGTTACGTTCCATGCTCGTCTGTGTGTCTGAATGTTGCCACAGATGAACGAAAAAAAATTAATTCATAGCGATGAACAGTTCACACGATCGAATATTCAACAGTTGAAGGGACAAGTAAAACTACTAAAACAGAAACTATTATATGTTAATTATTTCGATTATGAATGTTTTTGTTGATTTCGTGATTAAAAGATGAATAATATCAAATAAAAATGAATGGCGAATTCCTTTTTAGTTTTTGTTTTTTTTAATTCCGCGCAGCATGCTTAGCATTGGTACATATCGCTTTAGATTCAAAAACATCGGTGCACTCCATGCAGTGCCTTTGATCGCACGCCAGAATTGTGTTTGACACAAAATGATAGGTCGGGGATCATTGAAAATGGTCCGTGCAGCGCATTCGGTCTCTGCCATCGTTACCGTCCCTGATAAATTCCTTCCTTTTTCGCTCTGTTGAGCGTAAACAGCACGCTAGACAGTAACGGCTTTGTCAGCAGGCTTTCTTCTATCTGTAAATAAGTAAATAAGTAAATAAATAAAAAATAAATAAACCATCGTTGCTTTTTTCTTCGAGGGTGGAGTCCACTGGGCGAAGTCATGACATTTTTGAAAGAGATTTAAAATGTTATGCATTCACAAAATCAATGCTCCGCAAAAGCAGTTTTGACTGGATAGAGCGAGCGGCCATTTAGAGGTTATCCATTCAGTGATTCGAATTATTAAAATATAATTTTAATAAAGGCTACCTTGTTAAGTGGAACTTATATGAGCTTCAGCAGAGGTGTAAATCAAAAAGCATCAAATCCGGTAAAGGAAGAAAGCAAGATAGAACGAACGTAACAAAATAACTATTAAATTCACTGACATAAAGATATTTTCCGTCAAACTCGCGGGTAAAAGGGGATGTAGTTTACATTTATCCATCGAAGTACTCAAATAAGTGGACTGTACGATTTGTATTTCATACTAAGCATGTCACTAATTAGCGCAGTTAAGTTACTTATCCGCAGCGAGCAATGGAAAGGCAGTGAGTGATGCTAAGTGACAGGTGTAACCTATAGACAGAGAGAGAGAGAGAGAGTACAGTTGGTCAGGGAACAAACGGGATTAATGGTATGTTGAAATGAAGAAATGAACATGAGCCGGACACGTAGTGCGTCGGCAGTGTAACCGCTGGGGTTACTGACTGAATTCCAAGAGAAGGCAAACACGTTAGAGGGAGACAGAAAGTTGCCCCGCCACGGTGGTCTAGTGGCTAAGGTACTCGGCTGCTCACCCGCAGGTCGCGGGATCAAATCCCGGCTGTGGCGGCTGCATTTCCGATGGAGGCGGAAATGTTATAGGCCCGTGTACTCAGATTTGGATGCACGTTAAAGGACCCCAGGTGGTCAAAATTTCCGGAGCTCTCCACTACGGCGTCTCTCATAATCAAATGGTGGTTTTGGGACGTTAAAACCCACAAATAGAGACAGAAAGTTAGGGGACAGATTCAATTAAGCACCAAAAAGCACAAGACCGGGTTGATTGGCCGAACATAGGAGATGCCTTTGACATGCAGTGGGCGTAGTTATAATGATGATGATGATTATGTTACTTAGCCGTCTGTGCATTTCATATTCCCATGCAAGTAATATGCGCCTATGCATTACCTCGACAGTCCATGCTCAATTCAGTTTTAGCTGAAAAATAACATTATTCGCCCACACGGTCGCTCGCAGGACTACTAAAGTTATGGCGACCTGTAGTTTTGAGAGACCAGCCTGATTTAATTATCTTCCTGCCAAGGGGTAAAACACATCCTCTACGCGGATGTACTTTCAGTAGGATTATGCGCATGCGCCTGGGAAATCACGAGCACATCGCCAGATGTGTTATTCGTCGAAGGCACAGGTGCGTGATATGTATCATTATCAAAGTCGTTGTGTAGACTCTAGAAACGTTTGGTCACGCTGTCAGCGCTAAGTAGAGTACCGCTCCCAAAATGTTAGCGGCTACGACTATGAAACCTCTTCCAGTTATCGACACCCCTAAATATTCTGGAAAACGCTTTTCACAAGACGTTTATGGCGGCGGTGTCCGCAGAAAATCACCGAGGAGCGCCTCGCGGCCCGCTCTCTGTTCGTCATGCTTTACTCCTAAAACACGTGCGCCGATTTTCAGGCGTGCATGGTATGCAAAGAACTCTGACGGGTGATTCAATAACTTGAGAGAGTGTGAAAGAGATCATGAGAGAGAAAGAAAGAGAAGTAAGAATAAAGAGAGAAACTTCAAGGGAAAAAAGTCACAGCTTTGCTGCAAAGGTGAAGCAGTGAATGCGATAGCGACAAATTGGAAGGTCACGCGCAGAATAGCAAGCAGATCGAAACGTGTCCCGCGTTTATCACGCACAAAGGCGCACGAAACGTATTCACAGGTACAGATTAACGCGAATAAGCGTCTCAGTAGTTACTTCGCTGTGTCTGAAAAGCGTGCCTTTTTCGCTAACGGAGGCTGTGCAACGATTGCAGTGACCTTTGTGCGCCCGGTAATTATAACAGAATCGTTCCGACGAAACTCAAAGGCTAGCCAAGACGTACGATTCTCCCCACTTAAGGGCGCGCGAATAAGGGTGCGCGATCGAGCGTACACCCCCTTATTCTCTACGCGGGCAAAAGTACGTGTGAGAGATGAGAGCCGCCACGCGCTCACTACGCCATCTTGCTGATAATGCTGAAAACACGATGCCCGTCAACGGCGGTAAGTGGTAGCTATGGATAGCTTGCCGTTTGAACGGCGAAGGAGGTTGAACGGCGCAGATGTCCGACGTTCGATTCCGTGCGCCAGAGTCCTTCTTTTATTTTTTTTCTTGCGTTTTCATTTATATAGAGGCGTATACATATACGGTGCATGACGTCGACGCCGACGTCCACGCTGACGTCGACGCCGGCGGCGAAATCCAGCCGAGAGTATCTATATAATTGCGCAACAAAAAATTAATTTTCCGCTGTGATTCGAAATCTCTTACCCACTATTCGAAGGCGAGCGTGTTAACCATTCGGCAATCCAGCTAGCACGCTGGTGTCGTATAGCAAGGATGGGGAAAATGGGGTGAGATAGTGAAACATAGTATAGGAAGAAAGAGAGAGAAATAGAGAGAATGAAAGGCCGAAAAAAAATGAGGAGTGAGAGAAACAAAGAACGAGAGAGAAAGAAATAGAGAACAGGAGAAAGAGATGGAAGGAAACAGGAAGTGGGAAATACAGAGAAAAAGAAAGAAAAAATATGGAAAGACCGATGAAGAAAGCAAGTGAAAGAGAGAGCAATGGTAATAAACGGGGACAAAATGAAGTAGAGAGAAGATAGAAAAGGAAAGAGATGTTTGGCAAAACAGATGCCTGTCAGCTCCGTTGTGTCTGTAGCATTGCGCCTCTTATGTAAGCTACATTTTTTTCAATCTTTTAATGAAGGAAAAATCAGCATTCACCAGTTTGTAACATAAAGCTACAAACAACAATCTGGATTTACGAGAAATATTTCCCGTAAATGAAAGGCTTTCTATAGGTTCCCGAAAAATTGAATTTGTAGAGTGAACACCCCGGAGAGGTGTTCTTCCTGGGTTGCAACTCAAGACTAGTTTCTTGTCATCTTGACAGCTTTTATTGCCTGAAAAATTCGTATAAATTTTCTTGGTAAATTTTGGCTACAAGCCTGGTTGATGTTAATTTTCTTCTTTCCGCAAAGAGCTGCTCTATCATGTACTTACGACATATTTACGGAGCTGCCATTTCTTATCGATATCAAAGAGACGTCATATATGGCTTAAGGCTTAAGGTGAATCATGTAATTTCTTTCGGCTACCAATGGCTAAAGAGACACGCTGAAATGGTAAAGAGCTGCACATTACAGCCTATATTGCTCAAGCTAGAAGAGATCGTGCTGTGGTCTCAGACCTCAAGTACATACTTCTACGCTGTTATATATGTATCTAGTTATGCCATCCAGTGTTTGCATAACTTGGCATTGAAAATAAAAGTTTCTTCGTGAAACAAAATAGCGAAGTATCACTTGCTGGCAGCATGTCGTTTCTTTCTTGGAGTTTTTCGAAAATATTGGCGTAGGACGTATGAACCATGCATCTTTATATCTGTTTATATCTGATGTGTATATGTTTATAGCTTCTTTTAAAAACGATAATTTTACCACTTTAACGAATGGGTGCATATTTTCTATGACGAAGGGCAATTAGACTGCGCTCATTGCAGAAATGATGCCTGCAATAGCTAGTTTTACGCTCATGGAATACACCAGTGTTTACTATAGTTGCCGTCTCCCCGCCTTCGAAAACATTAATAAATTTGCTGTGACTATCAGTCCACTTTTGAACTGTCGCAGACTCCGCGAGTGCTGGCGAGTAATAGGAATAAAACAAACACGTAATGTTAATCATTGTGTGACGCCTATATCCTAACGCTGCCAAACAAAGTTCCCTGATAAGAGGAAGGCAGGGCGCTACATGAGAGTGACTTCTTTTGATCAATATCAATTTTATATATTGCGCAGCCGAAATCACTACTTTTGCACATATGAAGCAGAATAATTAGGGATCGAGATGAATCAACGCATGAAAACGTAGTTCATTTATCTATAAACAACCGACCAAGGAAGAATTTTACCAAAGAAATGTGTGCCATGCAAACTGAGGAAATGTCGCGCAAACGGCGTCCTTGGTCGCCCACTGCCGCGTTCGTCGCATGCGTCGGGAAGAAACACGCAACCTTCCAGGAAACGTCAATCTTGTGAGCGTAGCTGCTCTTTCCGCTACGTACTTACAGGAGAATTTTACACCCAGTGTACATGCCCCACACGACTGCAAATAGGGAATGAGTCTCTTCGCAGAGACAAGTCGACGTAGCGTTACGGCTTCCTTGATCGCGCTCGTCGCTTGACACCTACGCATTAACGTCTCAAGGCCGATAGGAGCTCGGGATAGAATAACGAAAAATACACTTATGTTTCTTTTCTTTTTTGTTTTTATAGAATGGAACCAGTTTTTGTATCCAGGACTTGATGGCGCGTGTCACCGAGCAGCCGCAACCTCCGTGACCATGAAACGACAATAAGCGCTAGTCTTGGCGCAAAGTTTGAGGGCAAGCAAGGAACCTTGTGTCGCATCCAATTCGAGCCAATCCACGTCAAGCTCTTCGCGCATGGCTTGACCAGCATGGCGCTCGTCGGTTTGCATCGTGGTTTGCATTGTTCGCGTTAGTTTGCACCTTTTCGTTCTTAAATCTTGGACTGTGCTCTACCGGTTAGTTTTTAGCAGGAACTGTGGCTTTTAAATGACTTTGGTTACCTAATTACAACAAGTGTTCGATAAAAAATGAGAGGAACTTATTAAAGGGTCCTGTTTCGGTCGTGGTTTCGCAGCTCCTCGCCGCCGGGATTCGCAAGTGAATTCAAGTGTTCTTGGTGTTGTCGCCGTTGCTTGAAATGCTTCGAGCCTTGGCACTACGATCGTTCGCTGCGTTTGCTACGCGGCACAACGCTATTAACAGAAAACAAGCATTATGCAGCAACAGCGGAGGTGGCTACGTAGTGCCCTCGGAGCCGCTGCCGAAAGTGTTACAAACTAGTGAAGCGATCACCTTGGACCAGAGCACGGTGGAACTACTTGAGCGTCTCTCCTTGGTCGACTTCAGTAACGCCGAGGCTGTGACGCGTCTCGAAGAAGCCGTCAAATTCGCCAGCGTCATAATGAACGTTGACACGACAGGTGTGGCTCCGATGGTGACTCCTTTAGAGGACGTGCCCCTGCGGTTGCGGCCCGACGTCCCGATCGAGTGTTGTGCCGAGGAAATTCTGAAAAACGCTAAAGTGACTGAGGAAGGATACTTTGTCGCACCTCCTGGAAACATACCTCTGGATGTGAAATCCGACTACGGTCTGTCGGAAGGTGGAGGGACCACCGCTGAAAAGTGACAATGCTTGTTGACGATGCGAGAATTTTGTGTAAGCGCGAATTTATAGTCTCTTCGTCGTAGTTTTTTTTTAATGTTACAATAAACTGAAGCTTCTGGCATCACCTACTGGTTTTTGTGATAATTCAATTCGCAAAGTGTGCTGCCAGTTTTGACAGCAATGTATTGCAACAGAATATGTATTAATTTGCATGCACTGTTTGGATTGGGCACACTGTGCGTGGTTATTTCAAAGTGGTGTTTCTCTTACAAATCGTGTTACTCAAAAAATGTACTCAGCATAGTTCATTCTCTCATGGTAACACTTTCCAAAGAGACGCACTTGCTACTCCCTGAGAAAATGGACCTTGCGAGTGTTATTGATTGTTGTGCAACTCTTCTTGTTGTTATTGTTTTACAATGCACCCAACAATAGAAACTCTTTAGCAGCCAGGTAAGAAGTCGTTTCAACATTATTCACAAACATTCAGCTGTAATTTTAACAAGAGCATTACGCTTCTGCATAGCAGCACTTTTTGCAGCTAGCATTGCTTAAGAACTTATAAACACGTGTTTTTAGGAGTAGTTGCAAGAAGCACTTGTGATAAAAAGTCTGTGTTTAGTATGTGCTCATAATTAAACCTCGAAATTACTTTAAGCATGCTCTTGTAGGTGAAAGTCTTGAAACTTTACATGCTTGAGCTGTCTTTTTAATAGGCGCTCTGCGAGCACAAAAATGTATTTTTCATGTTATCTATGCCCCTGTGCTGAATTAATTGTTGCTCATCACCTATTTTCACAATCACACAGGTCCAAGTTTACAAGACACGCCTCTAGAGCCAGTGCTTGCAGTAAAAGGAGATGAAGCACTGATTGATTGCGTAGTAAAAGACCAAGCAAACTACACAGTAAGTAGTAGGTGATCCTTTCACAGAAGCAGCTGACTTTTGTTCTTTTTTCTTTTAATATGCTGACCCAACTTTCTTCTGAAACAGGTACTATGGAGAAGAGTATCTGATCGCGACAAGGGAGCTGTGCTGACAGCAGGCAATGTGCGTGTCATTGGAGATCCCAGGATATCTGTTTTACATAACCCAGGTAAAAGCAAGCTTGATAGAGTATAGTTCACTTTTATGACACCACCCAGAACAGCAGTCAGTTGCAGTAATGAGCTTTTGTTTCTACACTGCCATAGGCATGCGCAATGTTGTCCATTATAAAGGGCCAAGTCTCACGAGAGCACCCCACCCCGACGCCCGCCTTGGTTGTTTCCGAGAAAAAGAAAGCTGTGAAATAGGTGTGAAAATGAATATGAAGCAATCGTGTGTTCTCACAATCGCCTGTTATTGGTCCTTGGCTTACTGGGGCTAAATGTGTGATGCAAACAGTTCTTTGAAAACAACAACAGGGTTCTTCAACTGCCGTTATTGTAAAAAAACCTGTACCCTCCTCATTAAAATGGATCGGAAATGTCCGACAGAGTAAAAGTATAAGGGGGAATTGGCACCGCCCTTTAAAGGGACACTAAAGTCAAATAACAATTGATGTCAAAATGAAAGCTCAATGCATGATGTCTAAAATGACAATATCATCAACAGCAGTGCCCTACTTACCGAGAAATCAGGGTAAATGCGTGAGAACCCATTTGCTATGATAGGACACTCGCAAAATGACCCCAATTACGTCGGAGGCACCGCCTACAATTAATCACTAGTAATTGAACTAGCTGCTCTAAATAAAGAACCTTTTGTGCATCAAGAGATGTTATAAAATGCTGCTTATTCGTTTGTGTTTAATTCATGGAAAAAAGAACCGCCGTACGTTACTATGGAGAATGGCACGAGTGGTTCAAAAGCTCAAATTTCATCTGGTTAAACTGGACAGGTCTTGTCATCTAGCAGGGCCCGGTTGAACCAAGCACGTCTGCCATCTCGCACGCCATGGCAGGAAATCGTTCAATGGTCGTTGTTGCTGCTGTGGCTCCCGCTACTTTTGTTCCGCTGCTACTAGTGTCTGTGGCTACAGAGTAAAACCGGGCAACAATGTTCACGGCAACAGTGACGTGACACGTTCCGCTTGAGGCGAGTAATTTGAAGTGGGCTAACCCAGTGCGGACCACTAAACCTTGATTTTATTTCAAAATAACCACTTCCTTGGCACAAAAGTAACACTGGGAGGTTTCTCGACTGCGATTTCAGCAATCAACATCGATTTAATAGTTGCCTTTAGTGTCCCTTTAAATAAATGAGTGTTCAGTTGTCCCCCCCCCCCCGCACTTCGCACTGCCCTGTTATAGTGCATAGCTAGTGAATATTCATCAAATCAGCCTAAATAAAAAGATGCTGTCATTTTAAAGATTACTCCTGATTGTTTTATGACTTGACTGCACTTTAATGAGGAAATTGCAAATGCTTTCGTTCTTCACCCAGAAGACAAACTTCTGGAAATCTACTGTAAATACTGCTTGAAAGAAATAGTGGAAAGCTTTACTATTCAAGTGGCCTGAGAACGGATTGGTGTAACTTAATTTAGTACTGTATAGTTTGGATTCTTGAAGGAGTACTAAAGCACATGGCCGTCGGCAGGATTTTCTCTTGAGGGGTGCAAACCAGTGTTGCATCGCAGCTGGTGGAGGAGGCAGCACTGGTATATCTTGGGTGAAGGCAAGTGCTGGTGACGTTCGAGGGGGGCAAGTGCGTCTTTGTGGACCCCCCTGTCGACAATCATGCTAAAGTGTATCACAAACGCTCTAGTGTTGCGTGCGATCCGTTATTTGACGTGGCACTACTGAGGTGGAATTGTGATGTTTTGTCATAATGGACTGTGAGATCAGATGTGGGCATACAGAAGACTAAATGTGCTTGCAGCCTGATCATTACTTGCCATGTACTCATAGAGTTGGGGACTGCTTTAATTTCATTCATATGCAGAGCACAATAACTGGGTTCTACGGATTAGCAACGTGCAACCATTGGACTCTGGTCGATACAGCTGTGAGCTGAACACTTCACCTAACCAACGGATAACAAGGTTACTTACAGGTGAGGGTAGTGAATCTTGCTAGAGTGACATAGTGACATGCAGATCATGTGGTTGTGATTATGCAAAGAGAGTCAGATGTCATCATGCTAATTGAACTGACATCTACATGTTACTAGTCCGACAATATGTAGCAGTAGTGCATCAGGCCAAGCTGATGGGAGGGATCATGAAAACTGTTTCACTTCAAAATGTCAGCCATACAAACCAACAATGCTTTTTAATGTTGGCGAAATAATTATTACTACAAAGAAAATTATCGAATATGTATTGCAAAAATGTTCCAAAAGCTGGGAGAGTCATAATTCTACAAAACTTACTTTGAATTCATTCAACAAAAATATGACAAAAACATATACATTTCGCCACTACGCTAGTGGCATCCTCAGTACATGCCAGGGGCATAGCCAGGAGATGGCACACCAAACACGTGCCCCCCCTCCCTCCCCCCCAATTTTTTTTCACCATGACATAGAGAGTGAAAAATGGTTATTTTAAGGGGGGGCCCCTCCTGAAATCAAGTGGGTGCTTCCCCCCCCCCCCTTCCCCCACTCCAAAAAAAAAATTTCTGGCTGCGCACCTGGTACACACTGACACCAAATGAGTGGTGGTCACCTAAATGAGTGTAGTCATATGTAACTAGCAGTGCACTGGACGACCTCTGATTATTTGGTGTCAGTGTATTCTGAGGATGTCACCTGTGTAGGCGTCCAGAGCTATATGTAATTTTGTTATACTTTTGGTAAGTCAAAGTAAATCTTTTAGAACGACAAATTTGTTTATGATACAAGAACAACAGCCGTTATATGTGTTAAGATAGTGAGACAGTACTATTATGCTTACATGTGTTCCATGCTACTCATTCATTCTCCTATGCCTATATCTAAGAGAAATATTTAATGTTGAGATACAATGGCAGATCACGAGTGCTCGGCATAATCTGGAATGCAGAGCGTAAGTTTGAGCGGCATTGCTCTCGTGAAATATGAGATTGGAACGTGTGCACCTAAACAACAGTAGATTATACACAGAATTCTAGCGAAGGGCACAAGGGCGCTAGTGGCATTTTTGTAGTCGTTCATGGCTCTATGGTACTGTGAACATCAGGTCAAATGCTCCGATTTCGGTGAAGAAAGAATTTTGGTTCCATGGAGCAATCTGTGATCTGTGGTTGCTCCCAATCTGCCATTGGAACATACAAGTCATGCTCAAATGTGCCATTATAGGCCCCGTCACGGTGGTTTAGTGGCTAAAGAGGTACTCGGCTGCTGACCTGCAGGTCGCGGGATCGAATCCCGGCTGTGGCGGCTGCATTTCCGATGGAAGCGGAAATGTTGTAGGCTCGTGTGCTCAAATTTGGGTGCACGTTGAAGAACCCGAGGTTGCCGAAATTGCCGGAGCTCTCTACTACGGCATCTCTCATAATCATATGGTAGTTTTGGGATGTTAAAACTCCACAAATCAATCAAATCAATGTGCCATTAAACTGAGATTGCTCCGCTTAGAGCACAAAAAGTTGATCTGGTTCTGCCATTGAAATTCAACATAAAAGACCTATTTGATAGCTAACACAGAGCGACACTAGCTACATTTGAATTCTCCTTTTATTGTTTCTTGAATAGTGGGGAGCTCGCATGCCTTCATTTCAAAGTATTTTTTGTTAGCATTGATTGTCTTCATCCTTGGTGCGGCTGCATTATTGTGACTTTAAATGCAGCCACCTATATGTTTGGAAGATTGTTTCTGTGCAGTTTGCTTTTTTTATTATGTTTTAACCCAAGAATGGAGCTTCAATACAAGGCATCTTTAGAACACTAGTTGCTTTGATATCCTACATCATTAACGGTGGTCTGCATGAACCTTCAGATTAGCAAAAGACAAATTGTTTCAATAAAGTAAGGCTTCTTAAGTAAGGCTTCTTTACCTCAAAGTTAGGGAATACATGCCATAGGACACTTTGGCAAATGTAGAAGTGTGACTTCAATAACTTTGACTTAGCTGGAGTCCATACTACCATGGTTCCTTTATTTTTGTTTTGTCTCCAAACTTTAGAACTCTTATCTTTTGATTGACATAGAGTTGGCTTCTGATTTTTTCACTCTCTGCTGGGATGCATAATTATATTAATGCCACAGTATGACATTTTAAATGTAGTTGTGTGCTCAGCGAGTTGGGATTTGCTTAAGCTAGTGTGAATGTAATTGTTATGTCAGAGTTCAGCAGGAGCTGAGCTTTTTTAGTGAACACCTATAATGCTTCTGAAATGCTCATACAGGGACAGTCAATGGGGCATGTGTACACTCTTCCCCAACAACAGAGGCTAGTGGAGAGCATATAAAAAATACACATACATATGCAAACGTCAGCAGTTGCTGCCTTGAAGAAGGCAAGACCACTTGTCGAAACATTTGCTACAGTGATGTGTTAAAAAAATTTTCATATTTACTGAGCATGTGGCATCAAAGGGTTGTTAGTGTAATGCATGAGAAAGTCTTGTTAGGGTAGGGTAGCATTTTCTCCTGTGCCCTATATCATAGCATTCTAACACACTAGCATTTAATTAAGTCTCTCCTAGTTGTGACATACCGAACAGCTTATTACTGGGACCTTGCTAATTCATTGTACACATAGCAGTAGGAAAATATTGTTGATCAAATGAACTGTGCATTTTGGGTGAGCTTTTTTTTACTGCAGTTAAATCTGTCTATTTCTAAATTGTATCTGACATAAAAATTCTCTCATTATAACTCTAACCTCGATATAATGAACCCGGATATAACGAATTGCCGGTTATAACGAAGTGAATGAACAATAGCCTTGTCATAGATACTGCGCTGCAAATATATGTTTATAACGAATTTTTGGATATAATGAAGTATTTTCGTGGCAGGTGAAACTGTTATAATAAGGTTCGAGTGTAACCAGCATTCACAGTAAACATGTATTCTTTATAAAGTGATGTTTGCAAAAAGAAAAATTATATTTAACTTGTTATATACTAACAGCTTTCTATAGCGTTACTTTTCATTATAAAGTTTTACTAAATTTGATTATTTTTATTATGTAGTCACACCTTTCTACATGTGGCAAGGAGTGTAACAAAACGTGGCAGATGCCACAAGGCTGTAATAGATGCCGTTGAAATGTTAGTATTCTTTAAGTGTAGAAAAGTAACTGTGCACTGGTTGCCTGGCTTCTGAAAATGTTGTTTGATGACAGCTTGTAACGCATATTCTGTTTCAGTTCTTGAGGATGCAAGGCGATCAACACCATTCCTCCTCACACACAACTACACAGGTGGGTGTTGCCCCTTGCCAATTTACTGCCTACTTTGAGAACATGTGAAGTTCTGCATGCCTGCATGGGAAAATATGTGCAGCTCTAATTTTTTGTTGCTCCTCTCTTTCACCCCATTTCTAAAAGACTGCTGTAATGAGAGGGGCATCCCACCTGAGTGCTTTGGCTACTGCACACTCCAAGGCATTGTCACAGGGCGGCATCACAGTCCTAGGACATGTCTCGAGTACATTGGCATCCTTACACAGTGTCTCACAGGCAAGTTGATCTTGCATGCTGATGCAAACATTGAGGACATGAAGGGAAAAAAGCAAGTAACTTGTTTGAAAATTTATTTTTTAATTAATATAGTACTTCAAGATCTTCAGTGATTGTACCTGCAAAAATTTTTATGAACTTTTGAGATCAGATTTCTGAATGACCTAATCACAAGAGAGAGTCAGTTTAGAAAATTCACCCCTGCTTTGTGCATTATTGCAATAACATTGCCATTGTGTGCTTTTTGAATATTGCTGTTTTGTATTCACGTGCAATAAGTTGACGGTGTTCTCACTTGATGTAAATATCACAACAGCTTGTTTTTTATCCAAGAGAGCCATAAATATATAGTACTGTGTGTACTACACGATGTAGTACAGCATTTCTAATCATAAGTAGTATACAAAAGGCAGGTATAAAAGTTAAAAGAATGTCTTCTTTACCAATTAAATGCTGTCTGAGCTTATATTTAATTCTGATATGTGGTTTTCCTAGTGTGCATAAGATGCATCACTGCCCTGGGGTAGAAGCCAGAATGCATACTTATTTACGAATATTAATGATGCTCACTGGTCTCGATTGTATGATGTCATGGATATCAGCATAGCAGGTAGCATGCATTATGACACACACACACACACACACACACACACACACACACACACACACACACACACACACACACACACACACGCACACGTGCACGCACGCACACACACACACACTGCAAGGTACACCTTAGCAAGCAGTTTTCATTCCTTGTACAGCACTGGTATCATAGCAAATTCAAAAAAACAGAATCACCATTGTGGTATGCAAAAATTTAGTGACTTGCACAGCCACATAGAACACTTAATGCCTAGGGACAATGACATGTATACTAAGTTTTTCGAAGAGTTCATAAGATATCAATGTAAAAGTTTCTGTACTTATGCAAAAGATTACAGTTTTGAGTGGGTTAAGATTAATATAATAATAAATATTCTCTTGGCATTCTCAAAAACTGGGACAACATTGACAGTGCTTTCATTGAGTACATTTCCTTGATTTTTTAAAATGCAGCACGTGCACCTAGCTTTGGTAACAGGCACTACATTTTTGAAGGTCATTTGAAAATCAAGATGGCTATAACTATGTTGAGTGTGTCCTATCGCTAACAATTTATTGCACTGTTGTTATCAAACACTGTATCTTAATTCATCTCCTAATGCATATTTTTAATCTTGATTTGTGTACAAGGCCTTCTTTTCATAAAAATATTTCTTCCTCAGTGCTTCTTTTTGGGAAGAATCCAATAATTATGGCAGTCATAAAAAGTCCATAAAAATGGCAGTACAAATGAAATAAAATATTGCCCCAAGACCCTCTTGTTTATATACGCAAAAGCCTTTAAAATATTTGTGTTTACCCATTCATCATTTTTCCTTCAGCATAAAATTAGCATTTGGAAACATGATTTTATTAATGGCAGTTTCGTTTATTTTTTTTTATTGTGCCGGTCCCATTGTTGTTAAGTGGAGCGAGTTAGAGACATTATATTTTGACCTCTAGAAAGACATTTGATGTTTCTCTTGAGCTTCTTATTGATAAGCTTTTGGCAATTTCAGTTTCAACCTGTGACTAAATAAGGTCTATGTGTCCTTTCAGCTATATTATATTCGTGCTTATTTTAAGTACTTTTTGTCTTATAAAACAACCTCCTATGTTCCTCGAAGGTCCATCTTATGCCTACTGTTTTTCAACATTTTTGTTAATAGGTAATGTTGAAAAACATTTGTGTCCATTCATGTCTACTTTTGTACTTATAGTATCAAGCTTTATCCTGAAATTAAATGAGCATGTGATCGTGAGTTGTTGCAGCAAGATGTGAATTTTGTCATGAGATAGTGGGCTTCCAACATTTTATGAATTATTTCAACTTAGCCACTTGTTACCATGGGGGTCAGCAGGGGCACACTTGGCCCCCTCAAGCCACACCAAGACACCAAGACAGCCCCCACTTCAAACCTAAGCTATACCAGCAATCCCACCCTCCCTTTGCCATGATGCAGTACTGGTTTGCAACCACCAAAAGGAAATTTTACCGATGCCCATGCTTGTTGCTCCCTTTAGTTAAAAATATCTGCTTTACTGTACAAATAGTCATTATACATTCTTCTAAAAAAAGTGAGTTGTCTGTGTGACAAGGGATTACTGATAGACTCCCAACTAACTTTCTAAAACATACTTCAGGCATTGTTAATGCATGTTTTATAAAGTTAGACTTCATGTCAAAAATAACAAAAACTTTACCAATTGTTCTCTTAAATGTATTTTTGGTAAGCATTACTCTTCAATTATTTTGGCTATTTGTAAAATTTATCTACTGTTATGCACAAGCCCCATATTATTGTTTGAGCACTCTGCATTGACTGAATATAACACTGCAGGTATTACAGAACTCTGCTATATGCAAAACATTTTCATAGCTCCAATAGTTCTACATATCTTGCTTGAAAACACGTTCAAGTGAACTGAACTTAATAATAATTATGTATGGAGTAGGAATTCAGTGGCAGGATAACAAGAACAAATCAGAAAGACAGCAATTGTGGAGGCTACAATAGTTGTACATATTATAGACTCGTTAATCACTGCAATCCTTCAGCTCTAATGAGAGAGTGAACCACCTCTGAAAAGAACATTTAGAATAATTTACAAATGTGCATTTTTGTTTCTGTATTACTGCCATTGGCACCTGTTTCTTTACATTAGGGACATGAAAGGTTGCAACCACCAAACTTGGTAATATGGTACGTCTCATTGCTTTCACAGTGTTTTGGTCAAAATAGACCTTATTTAACAAAATACTTGGGTATATTAAGGTAAACACCTTAAGTGCCTCATCAGACACTAGCCTCAAAGATGTGGTGTGTAGTACAAAAGCTCGCATCAGCTTAAAAAGATCAGATGAATAAAATCACTGCCAAGATGGAATGAAACCTAGGTAATCTGCGGGGCAGTCAGGTATTCTGCAACAGAGCTATGCCAATGCTTGAAATTGCTTTGGGAAGAAACCCTATGAAGTCGTCATGTCAAACAAGTAGTCAGGTTAACATGTTTAACAATACATGGCAATCATTATTACTCCATTATCTGAGATGCTTGATGAGTGGGTGGTTGAAACCTTGCTAACCCATTACAAAAGGCTGAGTTATGTTTTATTATTATCTTCATCAGTCACACCATCAACAAAGAACATGGCTGCTCAAGCGACTTCTTGAGTGCCAATGATGATGATGACGATACTAATATAGCCACACTGGTCAGCTTTGGCTTTCTAGCTCTATTAGACAAATGCTTAAGACACCTTGTGAGTTCTTTTGATCTACCTTCTTTTATAATAAGAATTGTCCCTGTCACACATGAGATAAGTGTGGTTCCGATTTTCAATGGTGCTCTTCTTGTTGTTACTTTTTCTCACTCTCTAGATGGCCGGAATCACATGCCTTGTTGTGTGGCACAAAACATTCCACAGATATGCCGATCTGTTTGTGTTGGTGATTACACTCTTACAACGGTTACGGAGCATTATACCTGCATGGACTATACCATGACAACACTGGCATGCATTGCAAACGGTGTCGGTAAGTACTTTCACATGCACGTTTCTGTATTGATACATTAATTTCTCACCAGGATTATGTTTTTATTGTTTAAATGAATGAATAACTCAAAGGTTGATGATCATCAGTGATCAATGTGTATGAATAATGGAAATATTTTAACATTAACATTTACAGTCAGTTATTTCTTGCAACAGCAAATTGTAGGGAAATATAGAAATCGCAGCTTATGCCTTTTTTTATTATACCCGAGGCTCCAGTCAAATCTGTGCAGGGTCTCTTGGCATCAGTTTGTCAGGGTTTCATAAAGGTCTCTTGACATCAGTTTTGCATGTTAACTTTTTCCCGACTTTTGAAAAAATGTGTATTTTCTATGGCTTATTTGATAACTAATTTTGTGACCTGTAATCTATGGGTATTGCAGGGAAAGGGTTCAGTACTTTTAAGGGGAAAAAACTGGCACAATTCATTGATCATGTAAGCTTCTTGAAATTATACATGGACCCCCTACTGAGGGAATAGCCTACCTCAGCAGGAGGTTGTGGAAAGATGCACTTGGTCATCAGTGCTCACAGTGATTGCATGTAACACTTGGTACTTGCTGATTTTTCACTACATTCTGAGATTTTACTGACTATTCACAGAGCTTTTACCAGGACCTCCTAGGCAGCTGGAAGTGGAGCCTGTTTCACCCACAGAGCTGCTCATCAGATGGATGCCACCTCATCAGGAGATTGAAGTTGCACATTTCCTCATCAACATCACTGAGCTGCAGAGCTTTGACCCTGATGAAGTAACACCAAAGAATGAAGCAAGTCCCTTTTGTTGTTTATACTGATCATCGCTATGATCTAATTTTATGTTAATCTGTCAAAAATACAGTGCATACAGTCGAACTTAGCTACAACGAACGCTGCTTCAACGAAATTTCCGCTACAACGAAAAATTCACGGTTCCCTGTCGGCAGCCCATAAGTTTCAATGCATAAAGAATGCCGCCACAACGAACACTTTTTCTTCTGCTGTCCCGCTTCAATAAAATTTCACGATGCAATACCAGGCTCAGATATTTTTCGCTATACAGTAAGCACAGTCTTTAACATTTTGATGCATTTTATGAACTTGAAAATATGTTGACATAGTCTAAAACATGTGTTGGCACCACCAGAAACCGCCGCCCTTCAGCAAGCATGGGCGCCGCCATTGCTCGATAGCGAGGGCAATGAGACTGCTCTGCTCTTGCCGCTGGCTTGCTTTTAAGCCTCAGACACTCGTAAGCTGAAGCTCAGTTGCTTAGTTCATGGTTTTCTTTCACGCAACTGTGCAAAACGATGCCATTTTCGATGCCAATGTGTATCATTTCGTTCACGCTTGGCCCTTGTGGTAACTAATCAGAACAGCTGTTCATCCGCATCATCTACAAAATCAGATAGCCGCGAGTGGTGGATGTAAGAATGGCATAGAATAAGGCGAAAGTCACCGCTTCACGATACCCCGTTTCCATCTTGGCGTTGTTGGATACAATTTGACATTGGACAGCTGCTGGTGTAAACGTGCTAATGCAGCTGTTTGGTTGGTTGACCAAAGCAGTTATAGGTCTTGTTTCAGCGTGCTTTTCACCATGGCCTCACTATACATGGTGGAGAATAACGTCGTCACACTGCTGGGAAAGAATAAGAAGCAGCAGATACTTTCGAAATTTTGAGAATAAACGTTGCTTTGTATTGCTAGCCCAGATCAGGTATATTTTTATATTTCACTATAACGAAACTTCTTTTGCGCCCTGTCAGTTTCGTTGTAGCGGGGTTCGACTGTAATGCATATTGATTCAAAGATTCAGCTGAGGACATTTAGCAGGTAAACATTTTAGTGCATGGTTCAGTGCATATAAATACTTTTTGTTGTTTTAATGGCTAATTTATAGTAAGCACTTGTGCTTAACACACTCTTAATTGTTATTTCAGCATTGTACCTTTCTTAAAATATAAAACATCAGCTGGTGAAGTTATCTACATTCTAGTAGGGCTTTTTGTTGCATCTGCAGCTAGTAGAATTTACTTCAATTTTAATGCTTTTAATCCCCTTTTTTTATTGAGCATGATAAACAGTCAAATCCTTATATATTGGGTTTCATATGTACCATGATGTTATACTTTGTAAAGTTTTGCTAAAACTATTCGGTTATCATTGGGAAACTCGAGAGATGTGGTGGTATGTAGTGGTTATAATTGGATTGGGAAAGAGTTAGTGGCGTAAAGGTGTGAAACGTTTACCATAAAAGATGGGAAAATCCAACTGGCTTAGTAATTTAAAAAGCCAAAGTAAAGTAACTGAAAGCTTAGTGAAGAAAAATTCTATACAGAAATTTGTGAGAGAATCAGTGCAGGACTATATCTAATCACTTCGTAATTGGCAGCGTGAATGCAGAACCAAGCAGATGCATTGAGATAAATTGAACTAGTGAAAATAATTTCACATTAATTGAGTATTGCAGACTCATTGCTGCATCGAGTTATCTGCTGGATTTGTCCTTGATTTTAGGTGATATTTCTGCCTCATTTTGCTCTTTTTGCATTACAGACAAACAAAGATTCAACTGTCGGGTCAACTCAAGCATTTTCAATCAAGGTGGGTTTATTTTTAATAACCAGTGTCTAAGAAATCCTACAACATTGAAAACTAGGCACTGTATCAGCACTTGGCATTGTGATGAATTACTGCATATTTAGCTCAGATGTTTGCAAGTAGCTTTCTCTGCTAGGAGTTTGAGCAGTACATATTACATAGAGTGGCATTATGCTCATGAAACAGCTGTGCATTTATATTTTCTCCCTACCACTGCTTTATTTTTATTACTATCTTGAAGGATGTAATTGAATTCACAAGAGTGACACTATAAAAGGACTGGGCTACTTTGTATTGTTTTTTTAGTGCTTACACAAACGAAAGTTACAGTGAAACATCACTATATTGTGTATACAATCACCATACTTGTGATTTATAGTGCATCTTGGACTGAACACTTGGTTGTAACATGCCTGCTTTCACACAAATAAATGTCATTTAAGGCACATAAAATGTTACATGCGATGTTACTGATTTTATCACCCCATATTGCTGTATTTATTGGTATTAATTTTTGTTAAAAAAATACTGAAGGTTGTTCTTGGATGATATTGTCAGTGGGCGAATGCACTTACACCACTTAGAACTATAAAAATTACCAGGCAAATGCTGCATGTTATGGTGCACACAAGAGCGTTTATTTGACACTCTTTAAAGTGGCACATGAACAGCCAATTTTAAAGCTGCACTGAGGTGATTCACATTTGCTGCACATTTTATTTTTATTCATACATAGGTTGATGGAAACCAGACAACATTCAACTTGCGTAACTTGAAGCCTGTGACCATGTACGAGGTGACAGTGACTTCTGAGAACATGCATGGTACTAGTCTTCCAACATATGCCGTGCGCACTTTGACTCTGGGTGCTCAGCCATCCTTTGACCTGCCAACCCCTGAGAACATCACAAGCAACGAGACACTCCCATCCATCCCAGACGTCCGTGGTTGTTGCATCAAGCGTGGTGTTAAGCAAGAGCGCTGCCTTCGTACTATGTGTGATCCCAGCCGAGCGGATGAGACCACGTGAGTATAGAGAATCTCAGCTAATTTTTAATGAGTTGTTGCACAGAAGGCCAAAAAGTAAGCAGTAAATAATATTGTGATCACTGTCTTTTCTAGAGAAATTTTTTTGCTAAAAAGCCTGCCAACAAACAACTGCTTCTTTATGTGGCATTAAAAATTGCTCGTGTTTGTGGTTTCAATTAAAACTATTTGAACCCATATTATTGATGTAGTAATCAATTTTATATGTGTCATCAGCAGGTTTTGCAAAAATAAGGCAATGATAGCTTCATTGTCATTTGTAACCAGTAAAAGCTATTTCAAACAAACAAACAAGAACAGCTGATGACTGTACATTTTGACAGGGTGTTAAATTTTACCAAGAATAACACCACTCTGTCAGCCAAGGAACAGTTTTCTAAAAGGCTGATTTCATGAAAAAAGTACAGTGGACTTATATAAAATCAATGTGGTTGCAAAAAAGTTGGAAGATTAGGTTTCACATTTAAATAAACAGCCCTACTTATATTTATAATATGCAACCAAAACAAGGGTATGATTTTATGTTACTGAAGGCACTTTGGTTCAAGTTGTTGATCTTACAAACTCCTTTTATTTAGCTTCGACATTAGTGAGAACTAATACATAATTATGCCAAGGAAGGTATGTATAGGGCATAATCAATTGCAATGTAAATTTGAAGGAAGAAAAGGGGACTAGAAGATGTCATTCCCGCAGCGGGGACCATACAGATTTCACTTCTTTTTTTGTACTTTGTTTTTTATTTTTGGAAGGGTTTAAGATTTCAGAGTTGGTTTTTCGATGTTACGATGCTTAGCTGTGGAGCAACTGAAATATGATGTTCAAACCTTGAAATAATGCATCCAATGTTTTGATTTAGCTATGCATTCAATGAAATATTTTGTTAGTTTACACTTATTTTGTGTCGCAGAAGGTGGGAAGGTTTTGGCTCAGTGAGTGTTCAGTGGAAATAACCATTAATTTCAGCTCAGTGATGGAGAAAGACGCCAAAAAGAAGGCTGTCCAATTCAAGTGGTCACTTGAATAGTTGAAAGAAAACAATAAAGACCGACAGATTCTTTAAACCAAGCTTCACAATGCTGACTGATAATTTTGCATGCATAGGGACCCAGAAACAGTGTTATTGACTTACCCTTGGTCCTCATGTACTTGGCAAACAGAGGGTATATTGATATTGTCTGTGTTGGAAACTTTGGAATTGAGCTCTTGCTATTTTGCATAACAATGTACCAGAACTATAATATAAACAGCTTATTATTCTTTATACAGTTTTCAAGCTGTTTTTATTACAATAACATGCACGAATTGGCCCTTCAAGATACCCTTCTACAACAAAACGCACATAATATTCATATCTTGAGTTTTGTGCACGCTAAGGCTTAATGATAGTGCTATGTACTTAGCTTCTCCTTTTTCACACAGACTGTGTTTATATCTCTTCTCGATAAATTTATTCTCTATCTGGCCATTTTTTTCAAATGCCAGTGCACAAAACAAACATGACAAAAAGACTTAGGTTTATCTAGCACCTGTATTATAATGTAGCTTTTTGTGCAGCTACAAAAAGAGGAATGATATGATCTGGCTGACACATTTTGAGGTTTGTCGCTTCACATTGCCCCACAAGTTTTGTATTGTGTATGTGCAGGCTAACAGATGTGATGATCTGTGCACCATGGGCCAACGTGACATTTGCCTGCATGGCAGACGGTGTGGACCACACTGGCTGTTGCCGGCGTCGGGGCTTGCCAGAGGCCTGCCTGGGCTTCTGCAAAGGCAGCGTAATGCGTGTTGATTACCGTCACTTCCGCTGCCTGGAGTACATGCCCTTCTATGGTAGTTGTTTGCTCGAACACTATGGGGTGCTGCCTGGCCCTCCGAAGGAACTTACGGTCACTGCCATTAGTCGGAACTGGGCAGTTTTGAAATGGAAACCTCCCAGGTGAGAGGCCATCCTGTGAGCAGTAGGCTGTTTATATTTGCTCACATCTCTGCTTTATAATGTAGAATTTAAGGGCAGTACTTGTGGCTCTCTGCTCCTGCAAATTGTCACAGCCCCAGTGGAAGCTATGACATATACTTTACAGCAAGCTTCAGAAAGCTTACTGATAATGTTATATCTACAGGGAATAAGAAAAATGTTTTGGCATACCCTAGGTCTTCATGTACTTGGCAAACACAGGGTATGTTATTATTGTTTGTGTTGTAAATGGTAGAATGCAGCTTTTGCTGTTTGGCATCACAGTGTACCAGAACTATATTATAAACATAGTCGTCGCACTACATGTGTAGCTGATTCAGTTTGTAGGTAACATCAAATGTCAATGTTTGGTATTTGGTATAATGTCAATGTATGGTATATGCACTGGGAATGAATAGCCTGTGGTGTCACGGGAAACAAGTGGTGACTGTTACCAGTGGTGTTAATCCGAAAGAATCACAGTAGGGGACACACATCTTTAGTGATGATGGCCATTTTGTTTTTGTAAATATAGCTTTTATTTCTAAACATATATAAAATTAAAATTACGTCATATATATAAAAAAAGACGAGCGTGTGCCTTCGTGTTGGGCCAGGGAGCTTAAGCTAACAGCGCTAGTCTGCCAAATTCTAGCATGTTTCTAGCTAATATGCCATTTGTGATAAACCACACAATGAAAATACTCAGACTGTTTGTTGTGGTGCATAAAAGTTCAGCTTTTATGCATTACTCTAACTCAATGACGTATCCTGTGTACCTGTTAAGCATAGTCTCTCACGATTTACTCTTGGAAATGGTGTTGTAAAGTGTATTTATGTATGTTCATGGATGATTGCTTTCTTTAATAAAACGATCATGGTGTGCTTTGGAATCATATTTTATTATGAATGGATTAAGAGAAATTATTGACATAAATAATGGTAGATGATTAAGATTCTTTATTTGCTTTGCATTTTAAAGCACAGCATAACGAATATTTGTGACACATCAAAAGTATCCTGTAGCATTCCCAAAAGTTTGTGTTCTCAGTACTGTCTGGAATGAAAAGCAGATTTCACTTCTTTTTTTTTTGTACTTGTTCTTTTATTTTTAGAAGGGTTTAAGATTTCAAAGTTGGTTTTTCGGCGAGGGTATGATGCTTAGCTGTCGAGCAAGTGAAATATGATGTTTGAATGCTAAATCTCAAGGGAGACACACTTGTAAAGGTTGCCACCCCTCCCTCCTCCAGCTTGAACACAAGGGAGATCAGACCCCCTGATCTCTCCACTTTGTACGCTATTGGCTGTTACAAAATTCTGTTTTACTAATTATAGATGGACACTGGCAGGTCGAGTAGGGGAATCAAATATGTAAAGTCACAGCAGAAAAAGATTAGCAAAAGATTAGATTGGCTAAAACAGTTGCTTGCGTGTGTCTTTTTCTGTGGGGGATATAAATAACACTATGATTGTTTGGGTAAACTTGTGCACTCATGAGCTGCTTGTGACACCTCACACTTTTTTTTTGCTTCCTTTTTTTAGCAAACTGCCGGAGACTGTGACAAAGTATGGGCTATTCTGGAGAAGGCTTGGAGATGAGTTCGAACCTTACTTTGCTGTACCCAATGTCAAGCCACCCTATCTTATGGACAGACTGGAACCATCATCTGAGTAAGAACCAGCTTTCCAGCCCTGTGCTGTTCACAGCAAACATGATTAAAAATAAGATATTTATCTAGGTGTGCGCCCTATTTTGTGCTTGTCTTCTGTTGTTCAGCCACTCTGTCGATATTAGATAAAAGCTAATTATGGTTATTGCAGTTTTCAGAAATGCAAACAGCTGTATTTAAGAAGTGTGGCTGTATGGCTTTTTTTTTTTCATCTTTGCCTTGGCAAATTCCAATTGCATGTTCAGGAACTTCCAAAAGAAGAGTTATATATTTTCTCTTGTTATTAGGGCAATGCTATTTCAAGGCAAGGCTGCTTCACTAGGGAACTGTTATGGCTGGCTATACATTCTAGCATCACATTTAGAACATATACATTTAGACAATTTCATTTTACAGGGTAGTCTAAACTGCTTTTCCAAAATCAGATATTGGAATGGAACTACAGAGCCAGTTTAGCTAGTACACTTTCTCACTTCCAGCTATGGCAGTGGGACATATGCTTCAGTTGTGCATTTATAAGCATAACTCCTTGTCAGGAAGAAGTTGCCCTTTCATGAATTTGGTTGGCCAGTCTGCAAATAACATTTGGCGTATATCAAAGGTGTGTGTTTCATGCACAATGTCAAACTAATTTATTTATTACAGCTATGAAATATTTATTGTGGCTGAAAACAAATATGGAACAAGTGAAGGGTCAGATCGCATTGTGCTGAGGACACAAGATCCTGTGCCTGAGCCAGTAGATGAACCTTCAGGATACAATGAAACAGCCTGCTGCGTGAATGCAAAGGTCAAGGACATATGTATGCCCCTCTGTTCTTATAAGGTACGTGTCATTCTTCCTTGATTTTATTATACTTTAGCACTGACCTAAGTTACTTACCTCCACTGCATCTCTCTAGAACTAGTAAATAAAGCCTATGTTTCTGTATTATGTTGTGGATGGTTTATTTTTATTGCTGAATGTTACAGTATACAAATTATATGGAATGAAAAGCATTTAAATAGTATTGGGGATATGAGGGCAGATATATTTTCTTAATAAAAACCTTCTTATTTTTAAATAAACGATAATGGTGTTCAATGTGCTTGATATGGGAAAAAGAATGAAGAAAAGCTAAATGCTGGTGTTCAAGACTTCTTTTCTGATAAATTCATACTTTTAAAGCTATTACTTTGTACGCCTGCACTAAAAACAATAACAGAAGTATCGTAATTAAAAATGTGTAACTGCAGTCCATATGTGGCTTGAAGAGCTGTGGTATTTCATTGCAAGGGTAAAATGCAAATGCACGTACAAAAATGACCAAGTTTTGCATAGACTGGGTCGACCTTGGTGAAATAGTGGCAAGAGTACTCGACTGCTGACTCGAAGGTCACGGGTTCAACTCTAGTTGTGGAGGTCGCATTTTGATGGAGGCAAAATGGCAGAGTTGTACTGTACAATGTCAGTGCATGTTAAAGAACACCAGATGGTCCAAATTTCCGAAGCCCTCCACTACGGCATCTGTCATGATCATAGAGTGGGTTAAACTTAATAGTCCTGATGTACAATCTACATGGAATAAGACTCACTAAATGCAATAAACTCTGGATAACATTTAATAATCTATTCCTGCATTTTCTTTATTATCTCCACTTTACCACTCTCCTGCCCTCCTACTGCGTCGTCTTGGCTGGGCAGATGAAGTTGGCTGACCTGCAATATCTGAGCCCCCTCTGTCTTGATGAGATGCACACTCTGCTGCGATGTGGTGCGGGCGGCCGTGACCATCGACCATGTTGCCAGCGGTATGGTGTGCGTGATGAATGCCTGCCCATCTGCGCTGGTGAAGTCTCACTTAGCAAATATGACGTCACTGCCCTGGTCTGCTCCCGAGATATTGGTGCTGTTCTCAAGGTGCTCACTTTTCTATCTCATCTTGTCCATCTCATGTGGTTGTTATTTTTTACAAGTCGTCAAATATTCTTCTACTATCTTGCCTTCTGTGCCATTATGGCACGGAAGCATGGTTTTTATTTACTGTCTATGCCTCTGCCTGCATTTCGCCACCTTTGAGCTGAAGAGAGTGCGAGCAATATTTCCAAGTATTTTGTCGTGTTCCCCTTTTCATGCCATCAGAAATGAAGATGAACATGCTTGTAATGTATAGGTCATGGTAAAAAACAAACATGGTAAGGTATTATACAATATAAGAAGTTGATAGCTCATGTATCAAAAAGTCAATATGTTCTAGTTCTTGTCAATCATGTACGAGTGCTGATTCATCAAGCTTGGTTGAATGGCTGAGCCTATAATTTTGGCTGTAACCTTACATGCATACTTTCATTGTTTAGAACTTCTTTTTTATCTTAACTTGTTTACAGTGCTCTTATTTGAATAGATGCATCAATTCCAGCAAGGATTAGGTGGTTGGGGACAGTTACAAACCTAGTTCACATAAAACCAAGTTGTATAAACCGCTTTATAAAAGATATGCACTGGGGAGCATTTCTATTGCCTTACATGAAGAGTCTCCTATAAGCAGGATACTATGTTCTCATTTTCTGACCAATTCTTATTTTGATACAAGCACACTGATGTCTCTTTTACCCATTTTTTTCTTACATCAATGTATACTATAGTAGGGTTCGATTCTGTATGTCATGATGTCTTATGAGTCCTATTACCATGCTGCCTTTTGCCTTTTTTTCCATCTATAAACTCGGAGTGCACTTATGGCAGAATTGTTTTAATTTATGATCAGCCGTAATGTGCAATTTAAAGTTTGATATTGATAAGAAGTATCACTACCAGGAAATACAAGGGAAGCGCGGGTAGAGAATGAAGACAACGTTGCCTCCACTGCGATCCCTCTGAGTGGGTACGAGCCATGGCGGTGGAGATCATCATCATTATACGGTGATCGCGGACTCAGGGCCCATTAAAAACCCCCATTAATTTACCTTGCCTTGTGTAACAATTTGTGGAAGGTGCTGGGTAGGACGAACTCAAAGACGGAAGCTTCACTACCAGGACTTCGTCGCAGCCGCCGCCTCGCCGGACTTCCACCTTCGCCGATCGTAATGGCCCAAGAGCAGCCATCCAACGCTTCGAGGCCAACTCCGATGGGTTTGCGCCGTACTACAGAGTGCCACCAAACTTCAGCGGAACCTCAGGAGAAGACGTTGACGTGTGGCTCAAGAACTACAAGCGGGTGAGCAGAAGCAATGGCTGGGACTCGAACGAACAGCTCAATCATGTCGTATTCTCGTTAACTGACACCGCCCTCATGTGGTACGAGAACCACGAGGACATGTTCACGACTTGGGAACGTTTTGTTGAAGAAGTGCAGAAGTGTTTCGGTGATTCGGATGCAAAGAAGAAACGCGCGGAGCAGACATTGTCTCAGAGGGCACGGCTTCCAGGAGAAACATGTACGACATACATTGAAGAAATATTGAAGCTGTGCAAGATCGTGAATGGGAGGATGTCCGAAGAAGACAAGGTTGAACACGTTCTCAAGGGTATAGCCGAAGACGTGTACAATTTCTTAATTGGGAAAGACTGCTTGAACTCCGTGTCCGACGTGATGAAGCACTGTCGTACCTTTGAATCCCTCAAGATGCGACGAATTTCTCCGAAATTCGGCCGCCTGTCCAACGTCCCCACTGTGGCTAGTGTTGAAACAGTGCCGCCTAACGACCTTGCTTTGACCATACGGCAGATTGTCAGAGAAGAGCTGCTTCGATGTCAGCAGACCTATCATCGCCCCAGCGATTTTCAGGATGTGTACGTAAACGAACCAGAACGTGTGCAGACTCCTGTTTCTCTTCCACCATGGCAACCATCGATCAACGCAGCAGACGCTTATGAATATCAAGGCACACGGCAGGCTGGATTCCCCCGTCATCCAACTCCCAACTACGAACGAAGTTTTCGCCGCCTGTTTACCCAACATTGCCTGCCTACAGTGCCCCTGAAGGGCGGCACTACTATCCCATGCGTTCCGAGAGGAGTCGTTACTCTGAGCAGCCACGTGCCCCTCGACCAATTCCGGTATGCTACAACTGTGGCGTCCCGGGTCATATTGCATGTTTTTGTGACCACCGCTCATATCAGCGACAGTCTTGGCACATGTATCACCAACATGTCGACCATCCACACTCCACGTCACAGAAACCACGCGCACCTACCGGGTCATGCTACCCCTCGCCGGCCTCTGATCGAAGTTTGACGCCACCACCAGCTCCCCGTGCTCCACGATCGCCGTCGCCACGGTGACGCGCACGTACACCGCCGCCGGAAAACTAGTTGGTGCGGCCAGTGGGGGTGGAGCCGCAAGACCACAGGTGCTATCTACAGATATACCTCCGTCAGCGTTTATGTTGAAGAACAAAGTTCGTGTAGTTGTTAATGGAGTGGCTACTGTGGCACTTGTGGATACAGGCGCGACAGTCTCAGTGATGAGTGTAAATTTTAAGAACCTGCTAGGACCAAAAGTGATGTTTTGCCTGAACCATGGGGTGACATTTCGTGGTGTAAGTGGTGACGTGTTGTGTCCGGTGGGATATTGTACTGTGGACGTCTCGTTGTGTGGCAAGGTGTTTTGCACAGAGTTTGCGGTTATTCCGCGGTCTACACATGACCTTATCTTGGGTATTGACTTCTTGTGTGAGTGTGGGGCAACTGTAGACTGCCGAAGTGGGCATCTTTCTATACATGGTACTTTCCCAACGGCGCTCTTAGAAAATTCCTATCCGGAGGAATGCATCTTTTTCGTCTCCGTGAATACAGTTGTTCGTGCATTTTCTGCTCTGTGTGTTCCCGTGACATGTTCCAGTAACAACTGTCGCACGTTTGACGCCACGCTCGAACCGATTCCCTCGGCATGCCTGAAAAAGAACATTCTCATTCCCCATTGTATAGTGTCAGTCGTTGATGGACGGGCAGGTGTGTGGACAATGAACAGTTCCATGGAGCCTGCAGTTCTGCCAGGTGGCATGAAACTTGCGGTATTTAGACCCGAGTCATGTACGACGCTGGTTGCGCTTGTTGATGCTACAAGCCAAAATGAACATCTAGGCTTAGAAGGTTCAGAAGATGCCCAATTGCTACAAATGGTCAGCAAGTCACTTGACCAAAGCGAACGTCATACACTGCTCGACGTTCTGTCTAAGCACTCGAAAGTGTTCGATTTTTCTAAATACAGCCAAAGGCCCTTAATCCTAGCGTCCCGGATACGCCATCAGATCCACACCGAGTCGGCGCATCCCATTAGGCAGAAACCTTACCGAGTGGCACCATCTGAGCGCAAGATCATCAACGAGCAAGTCCAAGAGATGCTGGAAAAGGGAATAATACAGGAATCGGCAAGTCCGTGGGCTGCTCCCGTCATTCTAGTGAGGAAGAAGGATGGTACGTGGAGATTTTGCGTTGACTACCGCCGACTGAATTCTGTTACCAAGAAAGACGTCTATCCACTGCCGCGCATCGATGACGCTCTAGACTGCTTGCATTCCGCGTCCTACTTTTCATCTGTCGACCTGAGATCAGGTTACTGGCAAATTCCGATGCACGCAGCTGACAAAGAAAAGACGGCATTTGTTACGACCGACGGACTTTACGAGTTCAACGTTATGCCATTCAGATTATGTAATGCTCCTGTGACATTCGAAAGATTTATGGACTCTATATTGCGCGGTTTAAAATGGCATATATGCATGTGTTACCTTGATGATGTCGTAATTTTTGGGCGTACTTTTGAGGAGCACAACACTCGCCTAGACCTCGTGCTCAGCTGCATTGAAAAAGCTGGCCTTGTATTGAATTCAAAAAAGTGCCACTTTAGCGAGCGACAAACATTGGTGTTAGGACATCTCGTCGACAAAGATGGCATTAGACCTGACCCACAAAAGACAGCGGCCGTTGAATCGTGCGAGCGTCCTAAATCTGTGAAACAACTGCGTAGCTTCATCGGGCTCTGCTCGTATTTCCGCCGGTTCGTACCCAAGTTTGCGAATGTTGTTCACCCCCTGACAAACCTTCTACGCAAGAACAGCCCGTTTCAGTGGACCTCCGAGTGCGATGCCGCTTTTCACAAGCTGAAGTGTTTGTTAACTTCGCAGCCAATACTTCGGCACTTCAATTCTTCGTCGCCCACAGAAATTCACACAGACGCAAGTGGCATCGGTATCGGTGCCGTTCTCGTTCAGCGTTCCGGCAAGAAGGAACACGTTGTGGCGTACGCAAGTCGTTCTTTAAGCAAGCCTGGACGCAACTACACAGTGACCGAACAGGAATGCCTAGCGGTAGTTTTTGCCGTGCAACGGTTTCGCTCATACATCTATGGTCGCCTGTTCACTATCGTCACAGATCACCATTCCCTGTGTTGGCTGGTCAACCTTCATGACCCATCCGGCCGCCTCGCACGATGGGCCATTCGTTTGCAAGAACATGTCTTCACCAATTCATACATGACTGGCCGTCTACACGCTGATGCGGATTGCCTCTCCAGAATGCCGCTACCATCGACAGATTGTGAAGGCAATAACTTTGACCACCTTATCGCTTCTCTGTCGTCTGGCTTTCCCGATGCTGTGACTTTCGCCGCTGAGCAGCGTAATGACCCAAGCTTGAAAGCTCTCTTCCCTGGAGCGAGAAATTCATTAAGCAAAGGCCGATTCTGCGTCTGAAATGGTCTTCTTTACCAGAGAAACTTGTCCGCGACGGGCGCCCGCTTTCTGCTAGTTGTTCCTGTGTCACTCCAAACGTCTGTTTTGCGTCTCACGCATGATGACCCCACCTCTGGCCATCTAGGCACCGCACGAACACTTAGTCGCACGAAAGAGCGGTTCTATTGGCCGAAAATGAGCAAGACAATCGAGAACTACGTGGCCAGCTGTACGCAATGCCAGAGCCACAAGCGGCTCTCCTCGGGTCCAGTTGGTCACCTGCAACCTGTAAAGCCTCCCGATTCCCCTTTTGAAAAGGTCGGCATTGATCTGATGGGACCATTTCCACGCTCCTCAAAAGGTAACCGGTGGATAATTGTATGCGCCGACTACCTGACGTGGTACTGCGAGACAGCTGCCTTATGCTCTGCCACGGCAGTCCAGGTTTCGGAGTTCCTGTTGAATTCAGTCATCCTCCGACACGGACCTCCTCGCGTGATAATAAGTGACCGTGGACGACAATTTACTGCTGATATTGTCGAATCATTACTTCATTTGTGTGGTTCCAAGTTCCGACACTCAACTGCGTATCATCCACAAACTAACGGCCTCACCGAGCGCACAAACCGAACGTTGATCAACATGTTGTCAATGTACGTCGCCTCCGACCACAAAAACTGGGATGAAGTTTTACCATTCGTCACGTACGCCTTCAACACGTCGAAACACGAAACGACAGGCTACAGCCCTTTCTACCTGCTCTACGCTCACTCACCTCGACATACGCTGGACACTATCTTTCCTTTTGTCGTCCATGACGATTTAACATTTGCGGAAACTTTGTGTCGTGCGGAAGAGACACGTCGACTTGCCTGCCTACGTACACTGGCAGCGCAAGAGTCCTCCAAAACTCGCTACGACAGTCAACACAGGCATGTAACCTATGCCCCCGGTGATCTAGTGTGGGTGTGGACCCCAATACGCAGACGTGGCTTGAGCCAAAAGCTACTGGCACACTACGTCGGTCCTTTTGTGATACTTCATCGTCTCAGCGAGGTCAACTATGAAATTGCACGTGTCACCACTAGTGGCCGACGTTCATGCAAGACAGAGGTGATGCATGTCGCCCGCCTGAAGCCCTTTACACGAAGGATGCAAGAATGACTCGCCCAGCGGGCTTCGTCTGAGACCGGAGGAATGATAAGTATCACTACCAGGAAATACAAGGGAAGCGCGGGTAGAGAATGAAGACAACGTTGCCTCCACTGCGATCCCTCTGAGTGGGTACGAGCCATGGCGGTGGAAATCATTATCATTATACGGTGATCGCGGACTCAGAGCCCATTAAAAACCCTCATTAATTTACCTTGCCTTGTGTAACAATATATTTGTAAAATCAGACAGGGTTGATGTATGTATGAAGATATCAACCTACAAACAATTCGAGTTGCCTACAACCTGGTTCCAGATTACGGCATCTGTAGTGCCATGTTTATTGTAGAGAAATTGTGTCGTACACACTTTTCACTTGGTTACTGGTATTTGGAATGAAGCAGGAGTGATAGTTGGGCTAGTTTGGAATGAAAGCATTTAGTTCTGATTTTGTTTCCACGTATGCGATTCTTTCCGTGAGGATGTATTTCTGAGATGATCAATATTATTGCAATATCACAATATGGTTTTCATAAATACAGCCAGAATTCACCTGTTTTTCACCTCATTCACACCTGGCATGTGGAATTCTTCGTCTTGTGATGGCAGAGTTGCTGTATAGGCTTCTTTTTCTATTCAAAATGCCTTACAGGCCCATTAAAGGGCATTGAGTAAGGGGGGCATCAGTATATACATTGAAAAAAAAGTAAAAAAAAGAACAAGAGAACAAACAAACAAAAGTAGTTCAACAAAGTTATACAATAGAAAAATGCTACGAAATCAGGTTATCACAAAAATATTTATGGTTAAAGATGGATACGATGTGGTCTGGAAGGCTGTTCTAATGTGCTATGGCTCGACGTAATGGTAATGAGTTAAATGCCAGGGTGTGACCATGAATGCGCAGGAAACTACGTGCGTTGTGAGTGTGTCGAGATGTGTGCAAAGGGTCATGAAGTGACAAATAATGTCATTTGTTGTTGTAGATGTATCTGTGAAATAAACATGAAAGGGTGATTATGTGGCATTGATCCAGTGGCATCAATGCAAGGTCTTGTTTTATTAGGGTGCTGCTTGAATGATAGTCGTAGTTAACAGCTATGAATCTCGCTGCCCTATTCTGGACGGCTTCCAATGTACGCTCTAGGTAATCTTGATGCGGTGATCATTTGGATAATGCATACTCTAATTGTGGACGAACATAAGTTAGATATGATAATCCATGTACGTTAGAAGGAGCATTGTGTAAGTTTCTAGGAAGATATCCGAGAGACAGGGAGGCTTTTGAAGAGACAGCTGCTATAAGCGTATTCCAAGATAAGTCTGATGAAAGGTGAACACCAAGATATTTATACGATGGTGTGGCTGAAACAACGATATCATTAATACTAGTATAAAGAAAGGATGAGTTAGTAAGCTTTCTAGTGAACGAGATTAACTTGCATTTAGAGGCATTAAGGGACATCTGCCAGGCTTTGCACCCCCTGTAGGTTAGATTAAGGTCATTTTAGAGAGTGGAAATATCGTAAATACATTGAATATTGTGGTAGATGACGCAATAATCCGCAAACAACCTAACTGAGGATGAAAGGTTATCGGGCAAGTCGTTAATGTATATTAAAAAAAAGTAATGCACCCAGTACACTGCCCTGGGGAACACCAGACGGGACATTGCAAATGTGAGATGAAGTGCCGTTAACAAACGTAAATTGCTGACGGGATGACAATAAGTTGCATATCCAGGACAGGGTTAATGACTCGATACAGAGAGAAGACGATTTAGAGATTAAACGACAATAAAGGACAGTATCAAGAGCTTTGGCAAAATCGAGAAAGAGGCAATCCATTTGATTGTTGCTGTTCATATTAAAGTGAAGGTCAGTGGTGAATTTGAATAACTGAGTGTCGCATGAATACAATCAGTGGAACCCTTTAGAGTAACTCTAATTGACGGGTTGAAGCACGCCAGTACCACTGTGCAGTTTCCGATTACTGGTGAAGTTGTTTCTTGGTACTGGCATGTGTATAAATTCTGCTATCCCAAATATCTCTTTACTCAAGGAATAGTCCTACCACGAGTGTTTTCTTTTCAGCTACTAAGCTCAGTGAACTGTGTAGCAACTTACGATGCAAATATCTTGTAAATCATGTTTGAATATTAATGTAGCCAAAATGGGCATTTGATAAGTTGATCTTGAAATTTAATTCATCATATCAACACACGTACATTAAATGACTGTACATATGTTTTTTGAAAAGCTGTCACCAACAGATGACTGAAAAAGATTAACACAACCAAAAATACAATGTTCATGGCATTAGCATAGGTTTTCAAAATGAAACAGCAGCATGTAAAAAGTAACTACTGTCTTGTAAATGTCTGTTAACTATGTCACTTATATATATAAGTGATAATTTGTTTTATGTAGCATGAGATTGCTACTAATCACTATTTACCAGTTGTTTTAGCAAGCTTATAAATGCTTACAATCAAACCTCACTTGAACTAAAATGCACATGCATCAAAATACAGTAGACTCTCATTAAATGGAACCTGAAGGAACTGAGAAAATGTGTTCCTTTTAACAGGAGTTTCGTTTACTGAGAGGTGAAGTGGGTTGCAGCATTCAAGTATGAGACCAATCATATCAGAGGAAGTTGTTCCATTTAAGCAGCAGTTCCGTTTAACAGATTTTCGTTTACTGAGGGTCTACTGTAAATCTAGAGTGGTTCTTGTGTCAGCATGCAACAAATACCATATATATATACTTAAAACAAATATTAGTTATCATCAGAGCACTTTTATGTTTAATTCAACATTAGTGTGACCAGATTTCAAGGAGGTCTTTTCAGAACTCACGGTCTGCCAGCTCAAGAAAACAGCACTGTACATACTACTCTAAATGGCGCTTTTGTGTTTAAGGTTTTTTTTCTTCCTTCATCTGTGCTCACAGTGTATGGAAGAAGGCAAGGACATTATTCCTGGCCCGCCTGAAGATTTCCATGTAACATTTGTGACACCAACTTCTGTACACCTTGTGTGGAATGCGCCTTCAGGAAATGTGACGACAACACAATATCAGATTAGGTACGAAGCCATCAATGGCACAGTGCCTCCGCACCCTGCGGAGTATACACAGGTGAGCACATTTATTTGTTGTTTGCTAGTTTTCACTTTGTTTAGCCTTTGGGCTTTTTTGGCGGTATGCAGCTTGCCACTGCTTTCTTCCACTGAACAGCCACTTTATTACAGTTACTAAGGTACTTGGTTTTGGTACTAATTTTTATTTGCATAGTACATTTAGTTACTGTTTGGGATGGACCATGAATATGTCACCATTCTCACACTGATTCTGAATACTGATGCTCCCAGCATAAGTCGGCAAACTCATTCATGACTTGAATCACTCGGACTCACTCATACTCAGGTTGAGTCATGAGTCTGAGTCGGAGTGACTGCCTATAAGTAACATTTTAGTGAGTTTGAGTACGAGTGAGTCCGCTGGAAGAAAATTTTTGTAAGTGTGAGCCCAAATCAGTCCAGTTCAGGAAAATTTTGGTGAGTCCAAAGCGCAAGATATAGTTATTCAGTGAATCTGAATGAGTTCCATCTTTTTTTGCCGACTTATGGTCCCATCTCCTCATCTTCTGCATTACTTAGAAGTGCGGCAGTTTGGGCTAGTTGGTATGGCATGACGATAGGTATAGCGCGTTCTGTTCTCGTGCTATAACTATTGTCTGCATTACTATCTGCCTTACCTGGATTAATGTTTATGCTCACATCTACTCACATGTATTTGAAAGCGCTGTTGGTGATACACAAATTCAATAATAATTGATCAGAGGTGTGAAATAAGTAGGAGGGTGCCTTGATTCTCCTTTCCCCTGCCAGCTTTTATAGAGAATATATTATTCTGTCATCTCTACCAATAAAAATGACCTTACTGGTTTGTAAAAACTTATAACTTGCATTTGATTGTACTATATCAAAAGGTGCCAAAAAAAGCTCAAAATATGTGGAATATTGGTGTTAAAAAGCATTTACACCATGATCAAAAAAGCTAATGGTAGGCTAACGGACTTGTGAGTCGACCCACTGGGACTCACTCAGACCAAGATCAAGCCGTGAGTGAGTCTGGATGAGTAACATTTTGGTGAGTCTTAGTTCAAGCGAGTCCGGTTAGAGAAAATTTTCATGAGTGTGAGTCCGAGTGAGCCCGCCTCAGGAAAACTTTGGGGAGTTTGAGTCCGAGTGAGTCCTAAGTACAAAAGGTACTTCATGAGTGAGTCTGAGTGAGCTCCACAAGTATTGCCTATCTATGACTACCAGCAACTGCAACAGCAATGCGGGCTTATATTTGATGACAAGCGATGAAAATAGCAGCTGTAATAGCTTTCTAACTTCAACCATTTTTTTTCACTCAATAAAACGTTTTATTTTCCACCTCAGCAAGTAGAGGGAATGGTAAAGAAAAAACTTCTGTGAGCTTGATTTTTACGTCAGTTTAATTTGAAAGGTGGTGCTCAGCTATTGTGCCAAAGGTAGCTTCAAGGTTTAGCATTTAAAGTGTACTGATTGATGTTGATGTACATTTCTCGTCCTCTACTTCTACATTAACATTTTTACTTGTCTCCCATTTTGGTATTGATTAGTTGTTTTGGTACTTTCTGTGAAGTAGTATATATTTTTAAAGAATAAGACATGTTAGCTGGCACTGCACCCTATAGAAAGCCAAGCTTCTATGACTTTGGCTTGTTGTATCAGCTCATTAATTAGAGCAAAAATGTAAATTTTCATTTATGATGGCTGACAATGATTCTATATAAATGTAGTTATCCATAGTAAGGTTATCTTTATTATAAATTAAAGGGGCCCTGCAACACTTTTTTTATGTAATCATTGAATGGCATTACTAGAAAATTTCATTGCCTCTCTAATCCACTGCCGCTAAAATGTTTTAGAATCCGTCAAGTGCAAATGGAAATAAAGAAATTTGTTGCACGATGCAGTTGCTTTCTCACTTCCCTCATTCCAACGAACGCGCTGAAACCTAAGCAGGGAGGGATTGCACCAGGGAAATAAGTCATGTCACGCGTGCCGCATGACCTTGAGCATTTTTTCTTCTTTTTTTTTTTTCTTGAGCAACTTACTTTCAGTGCGATTGTGAGTGCATGCCCGGGCATGGGGCAGGCTCCTGCAGCAGCTGCAGTAACTATGCATCCCACAATGCTCAAATCAGTCAATGGCCGGGAATTCGGTTACATGGCGCGGTCATTTGCGTATATTGCATGATGTGTAGTAAGAATAGGGAACAATTTCTAGCTGACTTTGTGATTTTGTTTTAAATTCCAGGCCATATGCTGTGCTTGCATATTTTTGCTTGCATATTGTCAGGAGCCTCGATTATCGATCGGCAGTGTTTTTTGACCATGCTGAAGAAGAATTGTAGAGCCCCTTTAAGGACTTATCATTTAGCACAGTGACCACAGCTCAGCAAGTTTGGAGTATAAAGGCAATTTACAGCTTCTGACTATATACAGATAGTTTATATCTTTGCCTGAACCCACAATATTTAATCTCGAATTCATAATTTAATATTTTTACTGTTACCAACATATGTGTAATAGTTGTATTCATGGCTTATGTACCCTACTGTTTGTGTAGTTATTTTTCAGTTGCACTATTTGTTTCAGGAAGTGAATGTAACAACAACAATGGCTATAGTTGATAAACTGGCTCCAAAAACAAGCTATAGCTTCTATGTGGTGGCTGCAAATGAACAGGGTTTTTCTGTTCCATCTCTTATCATTCTTCTTACCACACCAGAGAAAGGAGTGGACGAGAAGGGAATACAGAGTAAGTAGCCCAACCCCTTTCAAGTGGATCTAGTTACTTTGTGGCAGAGTTGATTTCTGTCATTGCTGTGTTCTCCCCATTAAAATAAGCATGCTTTTATTTCTACTATCTTATTCAAGTGGTCTATTCAAATGACTGTTTCAGCTTACTCTACATCTAAGCACTGAGTCTATTGATCGAGCAGGTCACCATAACATATAGGATAGTAAGTTTAATTAATATGCAAGGAAATAAATAGCATTTTTTGGCAAAACTATTAAATTTTTGTTTAGCTGTACAATATTCTATACTGTGCTTTGAAACTACGTATAGAGTTGAACACATGTCTAACGATACCAGTTTTAAGAATATATATTGAATATAACAAGTAGCCACTGCAATGAACTTAGCCACTGCCCAATGAACTTAGGTGTGCCTTCTACAGTAAAAAAACTGTTTAGGGCAACGTAACTACGCTGAATTATTGGTTATACAAGTTGTGTCGAATTACTGGCTGTTTACGTAGAAAGAAAAGGAGGCACCTGAAACGCTGCGGCAAAACATTCAGATGCCACATCTATCTGTGCACTATGCATGCCCTGCTATTCATAGCAACGAGTCAGTTTTCTAAGCTTCTCCATACTGCCCATCAACGTCACACCAGTTTTTTATCTCCCTTTCACATTCTAAATATGCACTGCATAACTAAGGGAAAGCATGCCATGTTGTTGCTTTCTGTACACTCAGTGATAAAATGAGTGGGATGAGGCAAACACAAGTAGCAGAGGGTGGGCGAGGGCAGGTGGTTGTGAGTCTCATACTCTAGTTAGCATGGCTGAGTGCATAGGTGGTCTGTGCCCGCTATGCTGCCAATAATCTGACTGGGGGAGATGGGACAAAGGCTGGGTGAGCCCATACAGCTGATAGCTTCCAGCTTTCAAATAACAAGCTACAATTGTTTCTTGCACATAATAAACATGCACAAGTTGACTACAGTAGTCAGTGAAGTACAGTATGAAAAGCTGTGCAGTTCACGTCATGTTTATCGATACGTGGTACAGTCACGATTAAAGAAAAATGCGGGTGAGGATTTCGTGGATTATGGAAATGGTTTCGCGGACCCCTTAGGGTCCGCAAACCCCCACTTGAGAACCACTGGTTCAGTGGATACCATGCTTCTAAAAAGAATGATGAAAAATAGCATAGTGAATGCCGGCCTACTACCCTAAAATTTTTATTATTAATTCCGTAGTGGGCATCAAGCAAGTGTGCTTGCAGCAGTTACCCAATCAGTGTTTAGAAAAGGCTCTAAAAAGCCGCTGTTCTAGCTTTTGCTGTGACTGTGCTGCGCCTTCCGTGCAGGCCTGGTGTTTTTTTTTTCGTGGCTCATTTGTAATTAACATGGCCTGAAAAGCCCTTCTAAGTAATCATAGGATGACATTACAATTGCCTCATCAATCTCCTGCCACAACAGTTTGCCTAATCCCTCAAGTATGTCAGGATTTGAGTTGGAGGTTGTTACTACACCAGCACATGGATCTCTCTTTCATGTCCACTAGCATGTTTGAAGCTGTAAAAAAAGTGGAGGGTTTGTAGTAGCAAGGCTCCCTGAAAGTTACTTCGATGGATGTCACGACCTTTGGCATTTTTCCTTGTTTTCCCTTGCACTTGCTACAAATGCACTGATGACGTTGCAAAGGGGAGAGCAATCAATTTTTAACTATTTTCAACACAAAATCTTAAATTTCTTGCTGTATTCAGTACAATATTTACTGACATGTTCGCACAAGCCTTATCTGCAGATCAGCAACATTTCATTTATATGTTCGTAAGGTGTTTCAAGCCCCCATTAAAGTGCAGTGAAATTGTTTTAATTCCTGAAACTGTTCAAATATATGTGTTGGTAATTTTTATCTTTCATGAATTGCTGATGTTGTTATATTCCTAGTAAGGCAGAACTAAGCCAATTAGCGTATTTTTCACAGGCATGGTGAGCCCGCCATATGGTGTGGAAGTGCTGCACGCAGCTGTCGATGCCATAGCACTCAAGTGGCTACCACCACTGCACCTGCCACTGCAGGCAAACCTGTCCTACATAGTTCGTTTTGCACCGGTCAATGTCTCCAACGATGACAATCGCTGGACAAGTGTGGCAACTCCTTACACCTCTCTTATCATTGGGAACCTCACTTTCAATACACAGGTAATATACCCACACATTTGTGAAAATCACAATGCTCTGTGATGCACAGTGCAGAGACACATCTTGGCTAATACTGATGAACGCAGTTTGCAGTTACCACATCATGGCGTTTTGGATAATGTAGCATATTACGGCTTGTTGTAGTAGTTGCCATTTGTAGCACTCTTTCACCTTCAGCAGACACTGCACAATTTTTTGTTTGTGTGTTGATTCACACTATAGAAATTATATATATTTCGGGCAAGCTTGCCCACCTGTGAAATATAGGAAGGTAAATGTAAATAAATCAGCCTTGTTTATTTAATAGAGGTGAGCTGTGCTCTTATTATTTGTTATTCACACCTCACAAATGTAGTGTTTTTGTGTGTGTGTGTGTGTGTGTACACACACACACACACACAATGCACGCACACACACACACACATGCACGCACACACGCGCACACACACACACACTACATTTGTGAGGTGTGAATCTTTAGTGCATCTAAAAGCACTTTCTTTTTGCTTGTGCCACTCTTACGACCAAAGGATAAGATGATAGGCAACATTCACAAAAAACCCTTTCCTGGCTCCTTCAAAAATAAATTGTGACATTGCTGGGCGATCGAGTGTCCTATGTGAGGAAAACAGCCTTTTTAGAGAGATGTATCATGTATAAGAAGCTTGATTGAGTATTTGTGATCTATAAGAAATGGTTAAGAAGCTTGATTGAGTATTTGTGATCTATAAGAAATGGTTCTGTAAGCTGTTTTGCTGTCAGGTGTAGCTGTAAAGGTCTTAAGGTTCAATGTTATTTGCAATAATGTCAGCTTATAAGTTATATGCATGCGGACTGTGCCCTACACTGATAGCTGGCACGTGAATTCTTATAGAAGTGTGTTTAAACTTAGGTGAGCACTTCTGGCCAACAAATTTGAATTTGCAGTGGTGTTGTAGTTACGAGCACGGTGTAAGTGTTTTGTGTCTGTGCTAAAATATTTTAGGACATACTTCTGCAACATTGAAAATTAGATATAGCTTTAATGAATGTCCTAGTATGACCTGAATTTTTCATGTTTGTTTCACTCTCCCTGCTCACAGTATGCCATCTCTATCATGGCCATGTCTGGTGGCAAGGCCAGCCTGCCTTCGGAGACTGTACTTGCATGGACTGACGCTGCCATTCCAGCCTTTGTGAACCTGCCACTAGTCATCCCATCTGGGCCTATCATGGAAGGGGTCAACATGACTGTCATGTGCATCGGTGTCGGTGTGCCTACTCCCACCGTCTCAGTCTATGTAAATGGCATCCTGCAGATCCAGTTGCCGCAGCATCATGTTGCCATCACCGTGCCTAGAGTTTCACGCAATATCACAAAGGTGTCTTGCTTCGCCACCAATGGCTATGGACATGGAGCCCACAGTTCAGTGGACATCCATGTTATTTGTAAGTGCAAAGTTCATCTTTGAAATGGGTGGAGAACACAATTGTGGCAAACAGTACTTTAATTTCTCCATCACCATGGTAATTCGCTGAGTAGCTAATCCTGCTAAACCACGTGACATTTGCAAAACATAGTAACTTTCACCTAATCTAGGCTTAAAGCCAAATAAGCTTGTTTAACACTACATTATTCCACTTTATTGAAACTGTTACAAACTTTACAGTTGTCATGAGGGCGTTTAGTTGTCCGACAATAGCTTGTTTATGATGCCTTTGGTAAAAGTGAACCTTCTATTTAAAAAAAATTTCTTTGGTACAAGTCAACCTCTTACTTAAAAAAAAAAAGCTATTTCACAGATCTGCTACAGAGAGCCATATCTTAGGAAATAGTCAACATCATTATCAACCTACAGTATGTATGTTTCAGGACATAGACCTCTCCCAATGATCTCCAATTTATTCAATCTTGTATGAGCTAATTCCAGTTTAAGCCTGCGAACTTCTTCATTTTATCATTACAACAAACGCACTGCTGTCCTTGGTTGTATTACTAGGTAGTGCACACACAGAAGAGCTAGCTCCCACAAAAGTTCAAATTAGAGTTGATTAAATTTAGTCGAATTTCAAAAGGCCAACCTAATAATATTAATTGTTGGGGTTTAACATCCCAAAACCACCATATGGTTACAACAGATGCTGTAGTGGAGGGCTCTGAAAATTTCAACTGCCTGGAGTTCTTAAACCTGCACATAAATCTAAGCACACGGGCCTCAAGCATTTTCGCCTGCATTGAAAATGTGGCAGCTGTGGAGGGGGGGGGGGGATTCAATCCCGCAACCTGCGTGTCAGCTGCCGAGTGTCTTAGCCAGTAAACCACAGTGGTGAGCGTTAAAGCCAAATTTAGTTCTCTTGAAAGTGTGTGTGTTAATCCAAAGACTGTGTGAAATTGAAGTATGGATACAATTACAATACTATGTTGTCATATCTAGCGTCACAAGCTAAACCTATACACTTAGTGACTGTCTTTTCGCAATGATCTTCTTCATAAGTATTGTACATTCATTGCACAAGTCTGATGGTATTGAAATGCTAGGAGAATGGAGGTCTTTCTGGGGAAGGCATGACCTATTCAATCATATGCTGAAACTTGCTGGCAGAAAATTGTTATTCTATTGCCACGTTCCATTTCCCAAGTTTTTGTTATCATCCCAAAACACCACACGATTCTCAGCGCAAACCGCGCCTGCAGTTTTCGAGAAGGTTCCGGACTGTAGTAGATCATTTCGATAAGATCACGTCCACTGTGCGAACGGTACGGATTGTTCTGGAACCTACGCCACCGCCAGCGTCGTTCGCCGCGAAGTTAAAGAAAGTTAGGACAGCTTGGAAAGGCCCTGAAATCTGCACAGCCGGAGGTCATCTCGTAACGCCTGCAGGAATCTGCACAGCGAGAGTCACCATTAACGGCCGTATTTATCCTACAGACTTCGTAGTCCTACAGCGTTGCTCGAGAAATGGCATCCTTGGTATGGACTTCTTATGCCTCCATGGTGCTGTCATCAACCTAAAAACAAAGTCGATAACGTTATCCACAGGAGAAGCACTACCGCCGCGCACACCGTCAGGACACCGTGCCTTGAATGTGCTGGAAGAACAAGTCACCATTCCGCCTCGCTCAAGCGTCATTATTTCAGTCGGCGCTCCTAAATCACCTGACTTCGAAGGCGTCGTTGAAGGCAGTCAGCATCTGTTGGTCACCCGAAATATTTGCGTCGCAAGAGGAATCGCAGAGCTGCGGGGAGGCAAAGCAACGCTTATGCTCACGAATTTCAGCAATGAGTACAAACATGTGAACAAAGGAACAACGGTCGCATACATCGAAGAAATTGTCGAAGCCACCAGTGCTTTTGCCCTCGCCGATTCTGCGGAACCTGCTCAGAGGAACCAAGCCCCTCCCATAGCTTTCGGCATCAATCCCAGACTTCCGAACGATAAGCAAGAACAGCTCAAGGCCCTGCTCCTACAATACGAAGATTGCTTTTCGTCGTCATCGAAAATTCGGCAGACCCCAATCACGAAAAATCGCATCATAACCGAAGAAAATGCCAGACCACTCCGTCAGAGTCCGTACAGGGTTTTGACGCGAGAACGTGAGGCCATGAAGAGACAAGTTGATGAAATGCTGCGGGATGGCATTATCCAGCCGTTCAAGAGTCCATGGGCATCCCCCGTGGTGTTAGTGAAGAAAAAGGATGGGACCCTACGTTTCTGCGTCGATTATCGCCGCCTGAACAAAATCACAAGAAAGGAGGTGTATCCTCTCCCACGAATAAACGACGCACTTGATCGGCTCCATAACGCCAAGTACTTTTCGTCAATGGACCTCAAGACTGGCCATTGGCAAATCGAAGTCGACGAAAGAGACCGAGAGAAGACGGCGTTTATAACACCAGACGGCCTCTTCGAGTTTAAGGTGATGCCCTTCGGCCTTTGCTCAGCGCCTGCAACTTTTCAACGCATTATGGATACAGTACTGGCAGGATTGAAGTGGCAGACTTGCCTTGTGTACTTGGACGACGTCGTCGTGTTTTCCTCGAGTTTCGACGAGCATCTTCGGCACCTTGAAGCTGTACTTCAAGCCATCAAGACTTCCGGACTCACACTGAAGCCAGAAAAGTGCAGATTTGCGTATGAGGAGCTCTTGTTTCTGGGGCACGTTATCAGCAAGTCTGGAGTTCGTCCCGATCCACGGGAAACAGCCGCCATCGCCGACTTCCCACCGCCCACTGACAAGAAAGCCGTGCGCCGATTTCTGGGCCTGTGCGCCTATTATAGGCGGTTCGTGAAAAACTTCGCCCGCATCGCCGATCCTCTCACTAACCTTACCAAGGCCGACGTGGAGTTCAAGTGGGAAACGCCACAGGAACATGCTTTCCAGGAGCTTAAACATCGCCTCCAGACGCCTCCGTTACTTGCCCATTTCGACGAATTCGCCGAGGCAGAAATACATACTGACGCAAGCAGCGTAGGTCTTGGCGCCGTTCTTGTGCAGAGGGCTGACGGATTTGAAAGGGTTATTAGTTACGCCAGCCGATCGCTATCCAAAGCAGAAGCAAATTATTCCATAACAGAAAAGGAGTGCCTCGCCATCATCTTGGCTACGTCCAAATTTCGCCCCTACTTCTACGGCAGGCCCTTCAAAGTTGTGAGCGACCACCACGCCTTGTGTTGGCTAGCCACCTTGAAGGACCCTTCAGGTCGCCTCGCACGATGGAGCCTGAGACTTCAAGAATATGACATTACTGTCATTTACAAGTCCAGCAAAAAACACTCCGACGCCGACTGTCTCTCTCGTGCGCCTGTCGACCAACCGCTACCCAACGACCCGGATGACGACTACTTCTTGGAAACGATAACTACCGATGACTTCGCTGAACGACAGCGGGCCGACCCGGAACTTAAGGCCCTAATAGAATACCTCGAAGGCAGGACCGCCGAAGTCCCGAAGGTATTCAAGCGCGCACTTGCGTCGTTCTTTCTACGAAACGGTCTTCTACAAAAGAAAAACTTTTCACTGCTTCGAGCTAAGTACCTCCTTGTGGTGCCTTCAGCTCTGCGACCAGAACTCCTGCAGGCCCTGCGCGACGATCCGACGGCAGGGCACCTCGGTGTTTCTCGCACGCTCGCGAGGATACAAGAAAGGTACTACTGGCCATGTCTTACCACCGACGTCACTCGTTATTTGAGGACATGCCGGGACTGTCAGCGACGCAAGACACCGCCGACAAGGCCAGCGGGACTTCTGCAGCCAATCGATCCACCTTGCGGACCTTTCCAGCAGATTGGTATGGACCTACTGGGGCCGTTCCCGACGTCGGCTTTCGGAAACAAGTGGATCGTGGTAGCTACCGACTACCTCACCCGCTACGCCGAGACAAAAGCCCTGCCAAAAGGCAGTGCATCCGAGGTAGCTAAGTTCTTCGTCGAAAATATCGTCCTACGTCACGGCGCCCCGGAGGTCTTTATCACCTACAGAGGAACGGCATTCACTGCCGACTTAACTCAAGCGATCTTGGCATACAGCCAAACAAACCACCGCCGGACGACAGCGTACCACCCACAGACCAACGGCCTCACCGAGCGGCTTAACAAGACGATCGCCGACATGCTGTCAATGTACGTCGATGTCGAACGCAAGACATGGGACGCCATTCTTCCGTATGTGACCTTCGCATACAACACGGCGGTGCAGGAGATGACGCAGATATCTCCATACAAATTGGTCTACGGAAGGAGCCCGGCAACGACGCTCGATGCCATGTTACCCAACGTCACCGACGAAGAAAACCTCTATGTGAGCGAGTACCTTCAACGCGCTGAAGAAGCCCGACAACTTGCGCATGTCCGTATCAAGAATCAACAGACGACCGAGAGCCACCGTTACAACCTTCGACGACGCTTTGTGCAATACCAGCCCGGTGAACGTGTTTGGGTGTGGACGCCGATACGCCGACGTGGACTAAGTGAAAAGCTTCTGCGACGGTACTTCGGACCGTACAGAGTGGTTCGACGTCTCGGCCCACTTGATTTCGAGGTTGTCCCCAACGGCATCACGAACTCTCAACGACGCCGATCGCGACCTGAAGTCGTCCATGTCGTGCGCCTCAAGCCGTTTCATGGGCGTTAACAAACTGAAACAGTGTTTTTTTTGTATTATTGTTGTATCGTAATTTATTCATTGTACTTTCTTGCATTATTATTGTACCTTCATCTTTAGTTAAAGCATCGGGACGATGCCTTTTTTCAGAGGGGGGCAATGCCACGTTCCATTTCCCAAGTTTTTGTTATCGTCCCAAAACACCACACGATTCTTAGCGCAAACCGCGCCTGCAGTTTTCGAGAAGGTTCCGGACTGTAGTAGATCATTTCGATAAGATCACGCCCACTGTGCGAATGGTACAGATTGTTCTGGAACCTACGCCACCGCCAGCGATAACGCTAGAACATTCGACGGCAAGAGTATAAATGCCGACGCGCTTCGCCGCTTCTCAGTTGTTGATCGAAGGCCGACGCTCCGTTCGCCGCTATCAGTCCGAGACTGCTATCTGTGCGAGACTGCTGCTGTAATTGGACTTTCCGTTTACCGGACACAGGTTCGCCCAAATAAACAGTTAAATCCCAACACGAAGTCTCCTGTCTTCGGCCACGTCACGACCCAGTGACACTATCAAATAAAATAATGCTGTCAACAAGTATGCCACTAAACTGAAATCCAGTAATTAAATTTGTTACCTACAAATTTTAAATCTCAAGCCTGTGCAAACATAGAGAAAACAAGACCCCGGTGTATTCATAGTGTCTTCTTTTTTTCTTATTTTGGATGTTTTGCAATCATTTTTTTGTGTGTTGACTGAACGCAGTAACAGAGCTGTAGATGTACAAACAGAATGCAGTGAATAAGACAGAGCTTATAGCAAAAGAATGTTATGATCATCATTGCACTTCTTTCTAGCTCTGGCTCCTTACTGAAAGGAGGTGCTGAAAGTTGGCGGCATGTTTTGCATGACTGTGTCTGTGCCACCAATGCTTTATGTGAAGTCGAGAGGTTTGCTTTGTCTTTATTGCAAGCATTTGTTTGCTCTTTACAGCAAGTCCACTAGTCATGGTGCCACTGAAGAAGGCATATTCAGAAACGGGAGCCAATGCAAGACTGCTGTGCGAAGTGTCAGGTCATCCTGAGCCTCGATTCCTGTGGTACCGCGACTCGCAGTTACGCAATCCACTAGGCCGCAGTGACCACATAGATCTGCAGTCGAGCCCGGACCCACTGAAGCCACACAACTACCAGTCCTACTTGATCATTAAGGGTGTTACAGCCGAGGATGCTGGTGCCTATTTCTGCTCAGCTGAGAATCAGCATGGTTCTATGGCTGGAACAGTCACACTCAGTGTCATGCCACGCTCTGCACGAAACACAAGCAGTAAGTATGCTGCATGCAGACTGCACTTAATGCACATCAATTGAAACATAGCACTCTTCTAATGGAAACCTTTCTCTGCAAGTCCAACCTTTACTGTTATGCCTTTGATGCGACCTGTTTTGATGTGGCATTTCTATTCTTTGTCAATGGGACTTCTTGTAGCTTGTAAATGTAAAGCTTGTAAATTTTCCTCTTTGGTCGGTCTTCCTCTAGAGTTGTGATTTGCTTTGACACTTCTGTGAGGTGGAGTCTGAATCCTTTGTTTTTTATGTCAAAAAACTTCTTTGATCCTGTGGCACCATTAAAAATAAATTTTTTTCTTTTGTGTGCATGTGTGTGTTGCAACTAGCACTGTGCAAATAGCAAAACTTTGGGTGCAAAGCGAATACGAATAGTAAAATGTGAATGTGAATTGAATAGAATATTTTTCAAATATTTCCAGAATATCTTTCGAATATTTCAAAAAAAATTGCAGAAAAAAGTTGAAGAGGATTTCTGCGCACATTTTTGTGAGATAGCAACATGGAAGTGTTTCTTAAGGCTTAGTTGAAGCACTTCATAGTTATCTTATCAAGAATGAGGCAATGGAGAGGCCTAACTGTATTTATCTACAATATTTGGTGCAGTGTTGCCAACAACACTTTACATGTGAAAGGCAAAAATGCTATTTTTTTATTCCCTCCTCTTCGTTTATCGTCTGTAGAAGCCGAATCGATATGGTGGACAAGCGCGTGCTCCCTTCAAGTATGGAGCTGAAAATCTGCCTTGTTGATGTCGATATATAAAAACACCTGAAATTTCGGATGCTAAAAATATTTGGCATGTGGTCTTGCAGACTTACTGCCAAAATTTCAGGTCAAAAACAGCATTGATTGAGCCCCCACCTCTGCCGCATCTATAATCTCATGTTGGAACCAGTCAATTCGTGACCGCAGTAGAGCTCTAAAGGTAGCTTTGTCGCAATACTAGAGTGTGATTGGGTGAAGTGTATTGAAAATTTGAAGGGGCCACTGTCAATCGGACTTTTGACTGTATTTGTCTTAGGGAAGTTCGAATAGTAAAACTTCAAGGCGAATCAAATTGAATAGCAAACACCATTGGAAAAATATTCTAAAATTGATTATTTGCACACTCTTATTGCAAGTTGTTTAGTTTAACGTACGTGAATAACGTATGTTGACGTAAGTTTAACTTATGCGAATAATTGAAAAAAGCAACAAAATGCTGTACATGCAGCCAGCTGTTGCTTGCTGCAAACTCCCTGTAGAATTTTATCACTGCATACTGCAACCATTTTAAGTGCATTTACATGAAGCAGTTGAAAGCTTTAAGCTTCTGCTTAGAGCTATCGCTAGAGCTTATAGCAGTTGTGGTAGAAATTTAGACGGGCTCCCTGCAAGCAAAAACAAGGCTAATTTATTGATTATGTGCACGTGAGGGTTGTTCGAAATGTACATTCTCTTTGAATATGATGCAACAGCATTATGCATGACAAAGTGTGGTCTCTAGCTCAGATTTATCTAACCTAAACTCACTAAGTGCTTCTTTAAGATGATTGGATTGTTCTGCTGCGGAATCTGTTGTATTTGCTAGTTCTATGCTTACAAACAGCCCATTACCTCTGAAAGTGCCAGAGCCGCAGGGGAAGACAGTGACAAGAAAACAGAAAGGTTGACTTTTTTGATTGCTCAATCACAGCACGTAAACCTTCAGAGACTTCAAAGCTCCCATGTGGTTGCATGTATATTTGAAAGAGCTGTAATGTTTGGCACTTGGTAATGAACGCATCCAGAAACTGCATTGTGCGAGAACACATGCCCTTATTGTCACCTTTGAATTGGCGAATTGACTGTGAAGGTCCAGTCAAAACTCTCTTACGACTGATCACCTCAAAAAGAGTAGAAAAAAAGAAGCTACATATTTTTTTATAAACTTGATAATTTCTGGCACTTCTCCAAAGCAGAAGCCAACAAAGGCACTATCTTTTGACAATAAAATGTGCAATGTACTCCTGCTACAGTATTACAAGTGCTTCAATGATGGCAGAAACCATGTAGGGAAGCTTTGAGCATGTTAGTAAAAAGAAAAATTTATGCATGTACGTATTAGAAATATTTTTTTTGCTTTTGTTATAATAATGAGTCACAACAATATTATTTATTATACAAATTAACAAAAATCAGTGTTACGGCCGTGCGAATATATAATGAAAATTTTCAAATATAGAATCAAAGAATTTTCTAATTTCATTTGGCTCTTGAATAAAGAAACCACACTATTATTAGGAAGCGTGCTATAGTAGAGGACTCTGGATTAATTGTTTTTTAGAATGGCTTCATGGGTTAGTTGCTATTGCATCTTAAAAACATACATTATAGCACACACAGGCTGGAAAAAAGAAATTAACACACATACAATGCAGAGGTACAATTGATACTTTATTTTCATAATTTATTATTGATAAATATATCAAAGTGTTGAGTGCATCCAAATGAGGATAATATCAGTGCAAAACTGTGATAAATTTTGTCTCCTTGGATGTGCTATAAGCATAAAACATGAGAGCTTGCATATTACTAGTGCAATAGGCTATGTGTCGCTCATGGAGCTTGACTGAACCGTTTGGGCAGTGTTCATTTGTGTTTTTGAACAGTTCTTCTGATACAAAGGTTCTGCTTATTTCTTTCTGCCTTATGCACTCCATTTGTGCTTTTATTACTAGATTTACGAATACTAATTAAGGTTTGAACTTTATTGTTGGCTTCGGTGACTTTTATGACGTTTTTATCTGCATTCAGTTTGCACAACTCTAATAATCTTGGGAACTTATGTAATTCTGGTGACTGAACGCATTTTTTCTCTCTCTCTTATTTATTGTTACAGATTGCTGTGCATCTCTGGGTGTGTCAGCTCCGTGCCTGACAGCATGTGCCTTTGACATTGACATCAATTTCGCTGTGAACAGGCCACAATGCATTCGAGAACTTGACAAGCTGATGCACTGTGCTGCTGGTAAGCTTATACTGCTGCCTGATATTTCAACGCTGAAACAAAAAATAGAAAAGCATTCATGATTTTCAGACTAATAGGCAGTCAAATGTTTCATTAATGTTAATAACACAATTTCATACTGTGATATATGTGACTGACTGTGAAAAAAAAAACACTTTGGTTTTGTATTTTATTGATTTTAAATAAGTGTCTGAGTTACCAAACTCATTGGTTTTGTACCACAAATTGCAGTATTTAATAAATGCGTGTTGTTCATTCTAAGTTTGATTTTAAAATTTTAAACATGCTCTTCTGTTCTAAATTTTTAAGAATCGGAAAGGGCAATCTGAGATCAACCTCAGGGCGTCAAAGTAGTGTTGATATGATTTGTTATCCAGGTTGCATCATTTGCATGATCTTGCATATCAGACTTGCTCCTCCCAGCCATTGGTGCACATATAATCAATACCTTCCCCCGTTTTCCTTCATAGATGGCAGTGATCACAGGCAGTGTTGCAGGACTAAAGGTGTCCCTTCAAGCTGCCTGCGCTGGTGTGTAGGAAGGCCAGTATTTCAGACCACACAATGTGCCCTTGCTGCTGCCAAAGAGATTGTGTCCTGCTTTGAAGAAGGCAAAGGTAAGCGAAATGGTACTGTGTGCCTAAATGTAACAATTTCTTGTGACTCAGCTACACTAGCCCGTCGTTCTCAGCAGAAGCACAATAAATTCAACAACTTACCTAGTAATTTTATTCTGAGCAAGGCATTCAGTGTAATCAGCTTGCATGTGATGCATCAAAATGCCAGGTAGCCCTTCAGATTCTAAATGAAACACCTGATTCACAGAAATACGTTCAACCACACAAATAAAAAAAAGTGATGCAACAATAATGATTGTACATACTTTCTTGCTGACATTGCAAACTGAATAGTTTATTCGTCTATATTTGCTTTGGGGAATTTTTTTTGTTCACTTCAGTGGCATCATCAAAGAAACTGAAAGAGGCAGAGTGGCAGAATACACAATGACAGTCATGTTCAGACATTCAAAATAACTTGAATATATTTCACTAGAGTTGCACATTCAAAGCACCAAGATTGTGATGGTGAGTCAGTAAATTCTGTCATTGTTTGCTGTCAGAAGATTGTAGGAGTCCCTATTTTGCTTTTTGATACTTTCTTCATTAATTATTTTATTGTCACCATTTGAATAATTTGGCCAAATTATCCATGAATAAAGGTGTCTGTCAGGAGGAGGCTTCATCATTTTAATGAAATGATGAGGGATAAAGTTGTTCTGTGTACATGAACAAACTTCAATTCAGAAAATAGATATAAAGTAGACTCACAATAGCTCAAACTCTGATAATTCGTACTTTTAGTCCATTCAAACAAAATTCAATTTTTTAGGTTGGTCCTCTATTTTTTCAAAAAGCCCCTTGATTCAAACTTCATCATTAGATTAATTCATAATTTTTCCAGGTTCATACCAGAAAATATCAGCTGCTTTTCGACTACTATTTAAAAATTTGTGTACTTATATAATCTTAAGGCTCTAAATATGAAAAATAAGCACCTGGGGCCTTTACAAAAATGATTTGCAAGTAAACAATAGTTTGAAACTAGGCACACGCATGGCAAACTAGCTGTGATGCATCTCAACTGGTATAGAGAGCTTTGTGCTTAATGCACACATCTATAGCAATGAAAAAGTTGGCAATTCACGATTTCTTTAAAAGATCTGATCAGCAGTAAATCGGTAATAAACGTTTGGATTTTACCCCTGTGCTTTATGTTAACTGCATGCAGTTAGGGCTTAAAACACCTAAAAAATGGTTAAATGTCATAAAATAATGCTTAAATATAATGTGTGGTGTCCCTCACCCAGAGTTATTTGAGAACTTCTGATAATTAGAACTTCTTGGTAATTCAAACGAAATTCAGAAGTCCGTTCGAGTTTGAATTAACGAGAGTTAACTGTAGCACATTAACAAAGTTTGTGCTGTTTCCGCCTAAAACTAACGCAATAGATTGCACAGCAAAAGTACATTAGGGTGTGCACAACTTACCCTGTAAGTTATTATTAATTTTTATTACATTTTTCTTTTTATTTTAACTTAGTAAGCTGGTTGCAACACGAGAGCAAGATTAGAATTAATATAGTAAAATTCTTTGTTATGCCAAACCATGTGTATGATTACTTACCAACTGAGCTAAAGAATGGATTGTAGTATTTTCTGTCATTCATTCTCATTTCAGTTATTGTGTGTTAATGTGGAGAATGATAAATAAAATTGGTAATGATTTTACATAAACTGCTTTTGAACTGTACTGGTCAGATTTTTTTTTTTCTAATCTTGTATGCGAGCAAATCGTGAAAAAGAGTGCACGTTGGCACTGTTTCCCCTTTTGTCGCTCTATGGCCATTGAAGTTTCAATGGAGTCCTGGATAAGTTAAAAAGTAAAGCACTTGGACTAAACTCATTAAATAAAACAAAATGATATTTATTATAGTCAGATTTGAAATACATTACATATTTTGAAATGAAACACTGCTATGATTATGTCCAATGTAAGCAAGACCCCATCAGGAAGTTGATCACCTGCTGTTGTCCCGACACATGGACAGTACATTGTATTACAGCGAAAGCTGTTACAAGATCACAACACGAGTTGCATGCGGCGCAGTAGTTGTCCGCCACTGCCAGTGTCCATAACTAATATCTCATGAAATAAAAACTCAGTAAATAAAAAAACACCAAGGATGCAATGGGATTCGAACCTGGATCCCCTGCGTGCCAGCCCAGTATTCTACCACTGAGCCACGCCGGTGCTTGGAGCTCGCTTGCAAACTGGCCTTAGGCAGGTTTGATGTCGAGAAAGAAATCACGTTAATATGAGTAATAAAGCGTTTTGGAACAGCAAAGGAACAACCAGGTGTCACAGAATGTGAATTGTGTAACGAGCGGGTCATTAAATGAACTCATTGCAAAATCTTGATCTTGATTGCCTATTAAATGTGGTGCATACACCCTTCAGGTATAATTCTTCATCATCAACCACTGCATAAAAATTTGCACAAAATTTCTTGCAAGTGTGTAGTAGATACCACACTTCTCCAAAGAATGACGGAGGATAGCTTAGTGAATGCTAACCTACTACACAAAAATTATGATTCTTATGACATACTGGGTATCCAGAAAGTGTGCTTGTAGCAGTTACCCAAAGAGTGTTAGGAAAGGCTCTGAAAGACCGCTCTTGCAGCTTCCGCTGTGACTGTGTTGCACGTTTTGCACAGGCCTGGCGGTTTTTTTGCAAAAATGAATGACTGAAGCAATAAACAAAAAATAAATCTTTTAAGAAATAAACATAAAATAGGTTTATTCCAGTGTGCATTTTACTAGTAAATATGTCAGTAAATGCAATAGCAATAATAAAATTCTGTGGTAGGTGTTAGGAGTACCATTTGATGAAGCATGTTGAAGTCAAGAAGCTTCGCTGCAGTGATTATCATGTGGTAGCACTTGGTTGGTGGTAGAAGTTTGCGAATAGTGGATAGTGAATCGTATCAAATACTGATAACACTGAATCGAATGAAAATACTGTTTCGATAGCTTTTGATTAGTTAGACTATCTTCAAGAGGCTCAAATCACCACAACAATTTGTTTAAAACAAATATTCACAAACTTTTACTAAAGACTGTTACAGTTGTAGTTTTAATTGACACAAGTCATGAGAACTACAGCAGGAACTAGAGCCTTCCTAATATTTTGTAACTGTTGGCTCAAATACAGCATTTGCTTATATTATCTATGTGAGTCTTTGTTGCCTGATTTAAAATCAAATTGGGACACAAAAACTAAACAATTTTCAACCAAACACCGTGGATACTGCTAAGATGTAATGAAGCAGATTAACCTGTCATCACAACATGATCTGCGTACTGAAAGCATGTAACAATCTGCGTTTAAATCTACATCCGCAAGAAAAATTTACGCAAATGCAACACCCGCATCTGTTGCTAGTCATGAAGCTGCAAGCAGTTATTACAAGATGAAAACAAGAGCTGATTAATGCGATACAGCTTCAGCATACTAAGCATTGAGCAAGAGTGGAGTTATAAAAAAGAACAGGTTCATCCTGTGATCAATATAGTGTTGGCAGTCTTGTAAAATTTAGAGCTGTGACATGAAGAGAAAAATTATTACCTTTAGTTGTTACAAAGTTTCATTTTTTTGGTGTTCTCCCATCAGTGCTGATTATTTGAAAACTATTTGAAAAATATTAAGTATTTCGAATATGTACTATTTGATTGAGGTGCTGAATGAAATACAGCGCTATGCAATTCATTATTTGTGATTTGCAAATATTCCTCACATGCCTAGTTGCTGATGCATTGATACTTTCCTATAAGACAAGATGCAGAACTTGCTGCGTTATAGATATATAGACAGACATTTATTTCTGGAATGGTACTTGCTTCAGTAATTTTATAATAAATGTCATTAGCAGCAAGTTGACATCGCATTTATAGCCAGTGACATTTAACCTAGAAGGCACTGCGTTCAGGCTAGTTGGTACTGATCCATAACTTATGTAAGCGCTAAAGGCACGTACGCAAGATGAGCGAAGGACATAGCAATTTTATTTGAAGGGAACACAAAATCTATAGGTGCAGCCTTGTCTTGTTTTCATGCCTTTTCTTTCTGGAGGCTACACATATATATTTGGCATTCCCTTCTAATAAAATTTCACTTGAAAGTAGCGCTTGTCCTGTGTCCTTCGCTTGTCTTACGTACGTGCCTTTAGCGCTTACATAAGTTATGGAAGGCTTACATGAGCATTCAGTGGGAGAGTTTTTGGTGCTCATGTGCTCACACTTAAAGCTATCTATGGCCATTAGTCTCACAGAGAAATATATCTCTTTCATAGCAATGCTGCCAGGGCCTCCTCAGAATGTCAGGGCTACACAAGTGGCTCCAGGAGCAGTGGACATCTACTGGGATCCTCCTCTCAAAAATCCTGATGTAGTTCAGTGGTACCGTGTGCTCTGGAGGAGCGTTGGCTCGCAGAGCATCAACAGGGTAAGTACTGGGCCACGATATAAAGCTTTTCAGGTGGAGAAACTTGAAGCCATTGAATCTAACAACTTTTCGTCCTAACAAGTTTATCTTTCGGCCTGTCAAATTGGAGTTTAATATTTGTTCATAAATTAATAGTTTCAAGTAATATACAGGAAGAGGTCCTGAAGTGAATGCTCTAATGGTACCTCTGAAAACAGTATGCAAAGAATAATATGTAGTTCTTCAAGACAGCAAAACCGGTCATATAATATCTGGGGTTTTACATCTCAAAATTACAATGTGACTACAAGTGGCGCCATAATGAAGAGCTCCTCAAATTTCGACCATTGAGTGTTCTTTATTGTGCACTGACATCATACAGTTGTAGCGCCTCAATGCGCCACTCGTCAAGGAAGAAGAAGTTGGCATTTGGGCCGCGCGGCGGGTGCAGCGCGATAATAATAAAAAAAATCAGTTCGAAAACCGAACGCTGTCAGGGCTGGGTCTTTCCCGTGTTAGCTCCAACACAGTAAATGGGCCTCTAGCATTTTGCCTCCGTCAAAATGCGACTCACATGGCTGGCACTTCACATGGCTGGCATCTGCGGCCGAGATTGCACCCACAACCTTCAGGTCAGCAGCCGAGTGCTATGACTGCTACAGCACCACAGCAGACAATACAGCAAAACTATAACTAGCTATGATGCTAAAGGTGAATTTCTGAAAATGAAGATAGTTTAGATTCTTTTCTCCGAGATTTAAAGCCAACATTTTCATAATATGGACGTTTGAATTGAACAAATCAATTTTGCTATTCGAGCACTTGTTCCGCTAAGGTGATACAGTAAAAGCTTGTTAATTCAGACTCACTTAATTTGCATGCACGGTCAATTCAAACATAGATCCCTAGTGCCAGCACAGCCCTGTATATTTTTATGGAGAAGAACTCCTTATGATTCGAATGCGCCAGTATCCCCAGTGATTAATTCGCACTGCAGGAGCCCCCGCTTTTCATAGTTCCTCACAGAAGTTGACCCAGAAAGATCACAATGTGTTGTAAAACCAAACCAAACCAAATTTACTAAAGATTCAAAACAATGAAACAGCAGCGTTTCTCAGCAGATAAGAATTCAAATGGTGTGCTGGAGCTTATGGGCAAGCTGAAAACAGTGCCCACAAAGTCGCGACTGAAGGATCGCAAGCAAATTCAAATTACTGATTATTTTTAAATTCTGCCATGTAAATAAACGTGTTTTGGAACATAAATTGCCTCATATATTTCGACATTAATTGGCAGCTTACTGCCAATGCATGTCAGCACTTCTATCTAGCACACCACTGACTGATCAATAAATTCTCGCTGTGAGAGCTCCTTGAGCTCAATTTACGAAATCACTTGTCAGAAGCTTGTAGCAGCACCTAATACGCAAAAACGAGCCATACAGATCTTCTTCGGGCTCTGCCTGCACAGTGTGGCATGATGTCCGTTCATTCTAGTGCCCGCCCATAATTTAAACTTCACTTAATTCAAACAATTTCATAGTACCCTTCATGTTTTAATTAGTGAGCTTTTATTGTAGTACTTTTATTTTACCCTTTAGAAGTGTACCTCCCAACCAATTTTTCCTGGTGTCTATTTCAATCCACTTAATTTATGAAGCACATTTTCAGTTGTAAGTGAGACTAGCTGACAAAGGTTTCATATCCAAAGACAAACCAGCTGTAGAAGAGGCAGCATCTTGCCACAATTATTGTGATCATTATATATATATATATATATATATATATATATATATATATATATATATATATATATATATATATATATATATATATATATATATTATATATATATATATATATATATATTATATATATATATATATATATATATATATTTATTGCAAAGATTCAAGGAGAAACATATATAGAAAGAAGGAAGTCAGGCCCTTTATTCCTTGCTATTGTGGTTTGTTTGCACACAACATTTATATAGTGATGTCTCATTAACAAAAGAAACGCTGTTGTTTGGCAACAAAACAGCCAATATGACATGACAAAAGAGTAACAGAAATCCACTTCTCCAGAAATCCAGAAATCCATCTAGTGACATAGTGAAAAGGCATAATAAGTACACAACAGTCTATGTATGTTCTGAAAAGTGGTCTCTACAAACTGCTTTGTGATAATTGGTTAATACAAAACAAGAGTGTGTATTCATAGTTTGGTGGCAGTTTAAACAAAGTTATACCTCTAAAACTGATTTTATTTTTGAATTGCTGTTTCATGTAATCAAGGAGAGGCAGTGGCACTGCCGTGTACTATATAGCACAAACCGCCGGGAACTTGGTCAGCTTTATCAGAGGATTTACATTTTCAACACTCAGTCTTGAGTAGTCATATTAAATGCTCTGCACACGTAAAAATAATTCAGGAACAATTATGCGTTCGTACATTCAGGGTATGTCTGCAACAGTGAACTCAAAGCATCTAGTGCCTGCTTAAGATGTGCCCCTTGAGTGTGACAGTGAATTATCAGCTTTTTCCACCTGATCCCAGACCAAGTTTGCTGGTTTTATAGCTAGAGGTCAACTGGAGCTCTCCTAGAGGTCTGCAGCTTTGCTTCTAGCTCGATTAATCTGACAATAAACAAGCCTATCACAATACATCTTCATTTTTAATTGATTTCAGCAAAAAGTTTGACTAGGGTATTTGTCTTTATTATATGTCCTTGGTTTTTGCTAAAAAGAACAGTCATTAGAGCTGTGAAGGTCAGAGTTCAATCTTCCTAGTAACTAATGTTTCAGAATTGGAAAAGTGTGCTTGGATTGTGCTGGTTGGTAGAATTCAAGCGGACAGTACTTTAGATGCAGTAAAGACTGTGCTTGTGAATATGAAGTAAAGTGCCTTTGGTAAGGTACCCTGAAATTAAGCTTATTGTGAACACTGAGAAAGCCAGCATCTTGACACCAACATTTCTTCATTGGTACTCAATACACAAATTTGCTTATACTATTTGTAACTTGGACTTCATGTACGAAGAGTTGCCCTTCCCTTTACTTTTTTTTGTTGTTGTTTATCATAAGTATTCAGAATACCAGATTGCAGTACTAGTATGCAAGATATACTGTGTTGAGAAGGGACTGGCTTTTTGTGAATGTCAAGCAGCGACAGAGTACCATATTTTACAGAAATTATCATGTTACCTATTGTGCCTAAGGTAGTAGTTTCATGGCGGTGTGGCTCTTGTTGCTACAAAATCCACTGTTTCAGGTAAAATTTGCTCTGCCGTGAAGCCACGCTTCAGTGGGAAGGCTCTATGTTATTTGCACCCAGTTTTAATTTTTACTATGTTTAAAGCACACAACCAGTTCAAACTTATAAATTATGAATTGTCACGTCTCTCTTAATGTATAACCTACACTAACTACCACAGAATGTGAAAAAAAAAGTTTGTCTAACTTGTGTTTATAAAGTGAATAACTGCACGTAGTTACTTTTTAGACCCTGTGTCTGGCTCGGCTTTTTAGCATAGATGTGCATGATATTGCTAAAAAGCATCACTCATATGGATGGCTCTTTTAAGTTAAGTTATGCCCCACGCTCTAGCTTTAGCTGGTGAAGTCCTTATTCGGCTTAGTCTGAGATCTACACGGCTATTCTAAATAAATTTGAATTGACATAGCACAAAAAAAATGATCAGGTTAAAGGTGTGCACAGGCTTCGGGTAGCCCAAAAGTCTGAGCCTGACCTGGCCCGTGGGACAGGCTCGAGCAGCTCGATGTCTTTTCACCTTGAGCCCGAGTCGGGCTCGGGCTTCCGTGTTTATTTATTGGGCTGGGCTCAGGCATGGTAAAATGCCCGAATGAAGCTAGAAATATAGATGATGTGCTAGAATTGTTCTTGTTTGTTTGTGTTCTTTCTTTTGAGGGTAGAATTACACTTTTTGTGAAAAAAAAAAAAATTGTTTTGTTATTTTTTTAGTTTGGGCATATATGGCTTATTTAGGTGAAATTCACGGATTTTAACACTAAGGGCTGGGAAAAGAGCACATACATGTACTAGAAGTCATAGAACTGTCAAATGTGTTTTGAATGTTTTTTTAGCGTATACATATTGAAAAAATATGTATGCACTAAAAGCTATGAAGTCATGTGCTTTATTGTGTCATTGATCGAGTCGGGCTGGGCCTGGGCAGCGCGTACTCCATACATCATCGCCTCCGGCAAGCATAGGGCACGGGCCAGGCCAGGCCGGGAAACTGGGGCCCGTGCACATTTCTAGACCAGGTTGCAGACACAAAGTGTAGCAGCAACGGTTGGACCTAACAGCCGAAGTAGGTGTGGCAGTGAACAGCGAATTGTCATGGGGTGTTTGCCATTGCCACTCATCGATGACTGGGCCCACCAAGTCTCATTTACTCACAGAATGAAGGGAATTTAGTTCATGTGTAGATGTGTGGCATAGCATAACTGGATAAGCTGATTGATTCACGGAGTTACGGTTGAACTTAACAGAATTGTGATGCTGCTAATGATGTGAATGCTAAAAATTGTTTTATATGCAGATACAGTTATATAGCACAACATTTAAAGTATAAGCTGAATCATAAATGTGCTCATGAGCCTGAAATGAAGTTTCTGTGCCACTGTTGAAAATGCTTAGCTGGCACTTTTGCATCAAAATATCTAAATAACATTAGATGGAAAATGAGCAAATCAATCCATGAATGAAACTTTCTTTTTTTGTGTCAAGGAACAGAGCTGCTTCCCTTAGATTTGTCAATGTGTGCCTCTTACATCACGATTTTATGCAAATCCCATCCTTCAAATAGAAATTATTTGACTCTCAATAATATTTGCTTCAACTTTGCTCTGAATCAAGAACTTCTTTGCATAAGTACACCTTTACTGTTGTTTTCCCCTTTTATTTTTTTATTTTTTCAAGACTATGCCAGTGTATCTTATTGAAGCAGCTGACTGGGCTAGTAGGGTATTAGAGCACCATTATGATAGAGATAACTCTTATCCAAATTTTATTACAGGGCTCTGCATATCTAGGGTGGCCATTTTTAATACAATAAGAATAGTACAACGAAACATTATTACGGCATAGTGTCTGCTATCTAACTACCTTTATTTTTTGTACATTTTTTATAAGCATACATGTCAGCGTCAGTAGAGAGAATTTGCAAGAGCTTTATGTTGTTATATCCAACACTTCATATTTGTTTTAGTTCTATTGACATTTAACTGTATAGAAATATAAATGTCTACTTGATTAAAAACTCAATTTTATAAAGCTTGTTGCGGGACATTGTGCACAAAACTTCCGTAATATTTTCAGGCTCTGCAGCTCTATCTGGACAAGGTCTGAGCCTGGGTGGAAAGATAGCCATTATACTGGTGATGACAGCTCTGGTGCTTGTGATTGCTGCTGTGCTGGGCATTTTCTACTGGAAGCGCTGGAAGGCCAAGACAAGGCCTCCTGGTGTGTCGTTCGAGAATCCCACCTACCTCAAAGATGGTGTTGTGCTGCAGGTATGCATGGCAATTAACCGGCACGCATCTGAAGAAGTGCTCTAGTCTAGTGAGAGAGATTCATGCTCATGTAATTATGCACCGATTTTATCGTTTGAGCATAAATAGTTTTATTCAGGAGTGTGGTAAACCCACGGCCTCATATGCAGTGAATTTGAAGGTGAAATCAGCACTCGTAGAGGTACTGGCTAAAACAATATTAGATACTTCAGCATGACAGAAATTTTCTAATCCCTTGACATTTTCTTGCTCATTAGGCAAAGGTGTCAATGACTATAGCATTGTGAGCGTGACATTGATGTAGCAAGCTGAAGTATTCATATAATAGAAGTGCAACTTCTTTTTGACAGTGAGTAGAAAAAAGTAGTATCACCATGGGAGAGTGTCTTGTATCCACATCACACGTGAGACCTCAGCATGGAGCAAGTGACTCAATATACTCAACAGTGTGGTGTAACCTTGAAGAGTTGCATAATAAAGATCACACACACATGCATAAAGTAGCTTTTTTCTTATATTTCACTGGAAATAGACAGAGGAAACACCTTGTAGGAGGTAATTCAGATTTGCAGCTGGACCTTGATTTTCAGCAAGCCCCAGATATCTTGTAAGACAAAACATGTTTGCACAAAGCATTTTCCAAGTCAGTAGCAGTTATTTAAACAGTAAGCACATCAAAAGTTAATAGTACTATGTATATTGTCTTATGGTTGTGATGGTAAAGAATGTAAAAATTGAAATTTGTATTAGGTGAACCTCTACTTGGCAAAGGAAGTAACACTCACAGTACTATGATAGCAGCGAGCAAAGTCATCAGTCATTGATGATTAGCCTCTTTCTTATGTTGGTTTTTTAATAGTACATGCTCCACTGCACTCTCCATTGTTATCACTAGTCATTACAGAATGTCCAGAATGTACAGTTTTTCACATTATGCACCAAGTCCATTACTATTTTTGAGAATGTTCCAATACATTCAGGTGTAGCTAGCACTAAGTGTAAACATGCCCAAGAGCTTTAGCCCGTGAAACCTAGTCACAAGAAAAAAAAAACGTGTACATGTGTCAGTCCTACAATGAAATGTAAATTAAACCTGCACATTGGCTATGCTTCTCAGCAAAATGGCGCTGCAACATCATATTTAATATCCCTGCTGTAGTCTCTTGCACTCACTTTCCCTCATAAAAAAGGCTGTGCCAACTTGTCCAAGCTTTATATGGCCCTATGACAAGCTGTCAACAACATTCATGACAATTCTTTATCGTTTATGCTTGCCACAACTGCATGCACGCCTTTAGGCAATATGATGCTGACACAATGCAGTCTGACTGCTGCTAATGCCATAGAACATACACTCTAAGGTCATCAAGTGCTGCCCAAGCATTTTCTCCTGCTAATAAATGGATTTCCTACCTTTCTCATGGGGAAAGCCATAGGAAAAGCTCGCCATACTGGGCCTTTAATCAAGCCCATGTTTTTATTTCCATGTCCTCAAGGTTTCGAAGCCTCTGCACAAGCAACCATATCTCATAGGCCATAGTTCATATTGGCATAAGAAAAGTATCAAGTATAGTATAGCATGAGTAGCAGCACAGAGAACAAAGACACCCAGAACTTTCTTGTCCTGGGTTACACTCGTTTATATTATTTAATTATGTACCAACCAGCCCTAATGAATGTGTAGGTTAACCTACATGTCCATATTGCAGTATTGTTCTGTGTTCGCAGATGGCACCACATTCCTGTCAGCAGACATATTTGTTCATTTCTGCTTGTACCAGAGGCACTCCTCAGTCACGACACTAACAGAAATCTAGCTGATAGCTATCACATGTATAAACATACACATGTACCGGGTTCTATATTGGGGGGTGGGGGAGAAGTGAAAATCCCTCATCCAGCAGTTGAGTCTAAAAGAAAACCAACTTTGCAATGGATGCGAAACTGAAAATTAAGTGATGCTTCTTACAACGGCCTGCCTTTAATTCATGGCTTCTCTAAAGTAAAGGCGGAAAGTAAACCGTTTTATGGATGCAGCATTAGGAGTCCTTGGCTGACATTATAAAAAAAAACATGCACACATGCATGGCCATAACCGTGAACTTGAAACCATGAAGGATAGGGGGTGACGGAGTAGAAGTATGGAGCAGACTAGGCACCCTGCCCCCCTCCCCCCTTGTGTACATGCCTATGTGCACAAAAGCATAAGAATGTGCACTGAAAGCTGAATTAACTTACAGGCAGTCTTCTGAACTAAATATGAGATTGGGATGTTTATGACACTATTGTCTAGAATGGCATGTTTATTTACTCCATGTTCACAAAGAGTTGCAGAACCCCTTCCCAAGTTATCTAGCAGCAGCACCATATTGCGAGCAAAGTTAACCATAGCTTATATAAGTGTGTCAGGGCCCTGTTTTCATATATCCACCCAATAAAAGTGCAATAAATAGTAAGACATGCTTATGGCCCTACAGTTTTTTAATAGAGCTTTAGTTGTTAACCAAACTATCAAGGAAACATTTTTTGCACAATTGATCTCATCATTACAGTTTCATATAAACTTGAGTACTTACATGCATTTATTTTCTCTTTACAGAACACATCGGGAGAGGGCACAGCCAAACCTGGTGAAACAGCTGTTGAAAATGGTGGCCACCGAAATGGCCGCCCACGGGCTGTTGAGAACTGTTATGAAGACATACGTGCAGTCAGACTTTCCTCGTGATCTGGGACAGATTGCACATCCTGTATTCAGGCCTCCTCCTCTCTCTGTGAGGGAGTTCTACATTTTGCCCTGATGCTACACTGGCTGGATTAATCGTCATGGGAGCTTCAAAGCCCGTGTCTTATAATGAAACAAAGACAACGGGACAGTATATTGCCTAGTGACTCTGAATCCATGGCGTTCTCAAAGAATCTGCCATGCTGTGTGTGCCTCGCCAAATGTAATGAGGCCGATGTTCTTGTGCAACGACGAGAGCAAAAAAGCTTGCTGCGATGAGACTTCTTCAGCATCTGGTGAATATCTGCCACGTGTTTAATGCCTTAGTGAACACTGTTGCACGAAACCTTTGTTTTGGTTCTCCGTGTGCACATGATGGCAAGGCGATGCTCAGCCTTGCATCAAGATTATTGCCCTGGAAATCACGCTACTCTTCAAGATTTGTGAAACGGGGTGCCTCGTGCTTTCTGGACTGGTGCACACTCTGCATCCATACAGCATGCAGTAAGCATCTGCCTTGCACCTTGTAGAACTTCATGCTGTTGGGGCATATGCCATCCCCTTGCCACATGTGCCAGATGAATGAATGTGCTGCACGCCTTATTTCTTGTGTAGAACCTTCTGGCTGCACGTAATGATGTAAAGCCAGCTCACTTTGGCATAGATAATACTATAACTGGCTTTGATAAAAAACTATAATATTTACTCGGCAATTCTTGAAAGGAGTCTTAATGAAAGTGGACATACCGTCTCCTTAAGCACTGCGGCAGCTTGTCACATTGTTAGTTAATTCATCCTAGTGCTTTCCATTGCTTGAAATAGTCCCGCTTACCAAATCAGGCTGTTCGCAGGAATGTTTTATTGCAAATTTTGGGAAAAAGCGTAGTCGTGGCTTTGAAGCATTGTCACTGATTCAAAAAGGTGGCATATCTCCTTTGTGCAGTACCAATGCAGTTAGTGCTGATAAGCTGGTTGATGTTCTGCTTAGCCTATGTATTTGCAAGCTATGAAAAGGAAGGCAGCAAAAAGTCAGAGTACTTAAAAAATAAATCTAAGGAAGGGCAGTTGCTTCTTGTGGTGACACCAGCAGAAGACGACTGTCACCACACTGCTTTGTACATAAATGATATGTGATAACAAAGAAAGCGTTTATGACATGTTATGGCATTCCATTTTTTCGTTGCTGTGCTTTTCTTATAGTGCATTTTGTGGCTTCTTTCGTGTGCAAATTTGTTATGGCCTAGTGTAGTTTAAAAATGTAGAAAAGTTTGACAAGGCGATTTTCATCTACCATGATCGTGATATCATGCCGAGTGATTTCAGTTGTGTAATTTAGCTTTTACATGTGTTCAGTTATTGCACACTTTTTATGGCATTAGACAGAATTTGCTAAAGAAGAATGCAGCAGTCATTGTGATATGCAATGTTGTCTATAGAGGATCTGTGTTACTACCATTGCAGTGAACATTCCAGTGCAACCTACCATCCATTTCTGTTGCAAACTCTGAACCAAAATTTAATGTGTCACACACCATGCTCAGATGAAGATTACAAACCAACAATGAAAAACAGCCATTTCATTTTGGAGCAGATTGTAACAACAGCAAACACACTGATGTTGATATCTGCCTTCAAATGACTGTAGTTTTGTTGATAGAATCTTAGCGTCAGATGTGTTGGATGTTAAAGTCTGACTTCAAACTGTACGACAGTAGGACTGCAACATCACCGAAAATTGTTCAAACAGATCGCATATTATAAAATTATGGAGTACTGACAAGAACCCTTCATGTTTAGCTGCCCACTTTTATTAAAGGGCCAGTAAACTGGCTCAGACTTTTTCTTGCACCCCACAAACAAGCTTGCTAATTCATACAGTAGACTACGGCAATCACATTTGCCGAATATTACAGTGCTGTGCGTTGAGCGGACCCTCCATTTTGAAAAACAAATCTCACGCCTGTTTCCCTCACCTGATCAATCCTCTTCGTACATGCACAGTGACGATAGCTTGCCAATAGACAATGTTACGCACCACTGAACTCGTCAATTGGTTCTTTGCACTACAAAATGGCACTTTGACCCTGCGGGGGTGCAGTTTCAGCAGAGCAGCCTAAATTTTGATTTTTCTGTGCTGCCCTCTGCCGTTTTGTAGAGCCCGAGACCACAAGAGAAGCGATATTGCCAGAATGAAAGCCTCCAAAACCATGAGGTGTCTCACTACTTTACTGCAAGAAAAAAAGTGCTCCACGCTTTCTGCCTGTACCAATATGACACGTACTCACGTGGGGCAAGTCCCGCTCTATCGTTGATTGTGCGCAGATTACGTATCACGGATGTCGAGTCATGTTGTTGAAGTGGGCGGAGTCACGACGACGTGGTACTCTTTCCCTCCCTGAGAAAAGGGGAGCGAGCGCCTGTGCGAAAATTCGAAACTGACTGAAATGGATGTTTTAACCTCTGTAACATCCTTATTATAGTACCACATATTCGCAAAATTCTTGCAGTAGCATGTTCACATAGCAAAAGTGCGCATATTTCTCTTCACTAAAACGTTCGGACATCAGGGTTGTTTACTAGCCCTTAAAAAAAAAGTGGTCAGGGGAGGCTGTCCTCTCAAGAACATGTGTGACATTGAGATTGTTATTTTGCTGCAAAGGTTATGCATGCCCATAAAAATGTTTGAGAATTTGCTAGCAGATATGTATGATTGTATAGTCCAACAGTAGCAACATGTGACAGTTTGTATGATGTCCACAACAAAGTTACCTGTCCCAGTCAAGCTCAGAGATGAGATGTTATTTTCAGAGAACTATAGATGCTATTTTCCTTCTTGCACAGAAAAAGTGTGTACAAAATGAAGCAGGATTGCTTTCCATGCTGTTCAGTTTTTTGTGCAAGTAGAGAAATTTGTACATAAATACAAGTGATGAAAAAGAAAGCAGCGATTATACTGATGCTGTGCATACACATAATTTTATATTGAAACGCAAAGCTGTAAATAATGCTAATGTTTTTTTTTAATAAAGAGACTTCTGTTTCTTTGATTTGCACTTTTTCTCTAGTAAAGTGCCTCGGGGCTACTTCTAGTGCAGCAAGGAATTTCGTTAAGCAAATAGTTTGGGTTCAATGCCATCTTTTCAACAGAAAAATGTTTGCAAAGCAGTTTTTATATCGACACACACATACACAAAAAAGGTTGCACGATGATTTCCGCATGATGCCAGTATCCTGCACAGGACTGAGGAAGCAGCCAACGCTACTAAGACCGAAAGGTGTACGCAGCAGCTAAGATCAGAGGGGTGACAGAGACAGTGATACGAAATGCATGCCACATTTACTAGGTAGTACACCTGAACACTCTGCTTTATCCCATTGTGCTCCTCGGATTGAAATTTACATTGCCAAGCCTAGAGGGATGAAAGCGGCAGGGTAAAACTTCCAGTTCAAGTAGGATGATGTCCTAAAGCAGAGCGCACAGGCCTCCTATCTAGGTGGTGTTGGTTCAGCAGAGAATGCGGACAAAGAATGCATAGACGACACAGGCTTCAGAGACCGAGGATGACACGGTGTAGTGGTGATACCCTCTTTTTTTATGAAGCCCCCAGTGTGGTAGAGCAGCAGGAAGTGTTCCCTTTCTCTGCTCTGTCAAGGCAAGCACATAAGTTGTAAAATCCCAATGGGAATTCAGATGCCGTTCCCCTGCTACATATGCCAGCTTTCTCACTCAGTGAGCCATTTCATGTTTTGCATCAATACTGTATTACCGGATACGAATGCATCATGACACAGATGCAGAGCGGTAGAATCTGGAAATACAAACCTGAAAAGGCTTTCAGCAAGCACACAGAACTTGAAAATGAGAAACTGCTAAACACATGCACCCATTGAAAGAGCACCTATAAAGTACTATAAACAATCTAATATTTCAAGGCGACTTTTATGCTTTATTAAATGAGTCTCAATCTCATAAGCATGGCATGAAACCATAAATGCTCCAGCATGATGAATAATGATTTCTTGGCCCAATGAATTATAATGAATATTAGTGACCTTAAGATGCATGCCTTAAAAAAACACAAGCACACACATAGTGCCACATTGTGCCAATCACAATTGACTGGTCAGTGGTGTAGCCAAAGGGGGGGGAGGGTTGGGAAGTTCAACCTCTCTCTGAAATTTTTCATGCGCCCCCCCCCCCCCCCCCTCACTTACCCACCTTTTTTTCGTCGCTTCGCGCCGACATGATTTAGAAACTAAGCGGTGCTACTATCACTATACATTTCTGGGCGCTTTTACACTGAATAACACCTGCACACGAGAAAATGTGTCGCAGTGTTTGTCAAGGCTTTGGCACTCTGAAATTTTAGGCAGGAATTTCGGCCGCAAGCCTTGTCAGTTGGCTCAACGACGGGATTAATGCTGCAGTAGTGGTCATACGTGTACCCGCGGGAAGAGATCTCGCCGGAGTCGACCAATACGATAATTTTCATTAGTTATAGGTTTGTTTTAGTGATAAAAGCCAGGCACATTTCTAATCTCTGATAGGCTACATTCTAGTATGTTACAGTGTGACCCTTCTTATGTGTGCTAAGACATACTCTAGTCAGAGACTAATGTTTCTATTGAATCTTTGCATGTTCTGCTATTCTGCCTTTAGCCGTTAGGCCATATTAAGGACACGTATAAATATATTGTACACTCGCATCTAAGCGATGTTCTGTAAATAAGCCAAATATTGTTGCGCGTACGTGCGCATGCACGACAGAATGTGTACTAAGAGCAGCGCCGCCTGCCCAGAAATTATCATCAAGCGTTACCTTACGGCGTTTTGGCGCAATCATCGAGTCTCATAGAAGGGCGCTGATTGACATAGAACAAGAACTGCCTGGCAATACGTGTAGGCAGCATATTTCTAGGGGGTGGCTTTGAATTGTTCTTGCAGTGACACTCAATGCGAGAAACCGGAACTTTAGCGACGATACATGTCGGCTGGTAAAGTCTAGCCTTAGAAACTAGCGCTCGATCTTCCCCTGGTGGAAAGATTCGTGGGCGTACATTTCCTCTGCTTCCTTTCAGGTGCTGGTAAGGTCGCGCTCGCCCAGTATTTTACTCCGCACGCCAAACGTTGTGATTGCGCCACAATGGAAGGCTGGTAGCTACTGTTGCGTTGTGATCCCATACCACAAACCTGAATGAATGCAATAAAGTTGATGCTAGCAGTAAAACTTCAGCGACTCGCATCAGAATGCCCCAAACAGACAACCGACAGGCATGGATTGTACACAGTGTAAGTAAACTCATGTTGCATGCGCTGGCAGTTTTCGTCGAAGTTCATGCGTTCTGAGAAATTGATTATGCTGCACTATGCCCTGAACAAGACTGAAGTTCATTCCTTCATCACTAGTGAACCGATGACTCGAGATTTTGTGTGGTACGGGGCTGCTCCAGTTCGCACCGGCATTAATGCGGCAAACATGAATGCAAGTACAAGTTAGAACAGTGTATACATGGCATATCTATGCTTCGCGGTTAAATATTCTGTACAGTTCTAAATCTGTTGACGTAAAGGGAAACGACGGTAGCACACTTGCAAACAAAGGAAGACACCTTGCCGCAACATTATTGTTTCAGGGGGCAGAGCGACAAAATCTAAGAAAAAAATGTAAATAAAATGAGAACAATACGTGTTTTTGCTCGTATTTAAGTTTTCTAGCGCATATACCCAGCGAATAAGCTATTTCTATGTGAGTAACTGAAGTCTCGTCCTAGGTGCATTTTAAATTGAGACCAACTGAACATTTCTCAACAATGACCACTTTTTCCTTGCAGATTTTGCAATAACACCTCTGCGATTGAAGTACTTCATTGCTATAAAAAATCACAGCGCAACTGTAATGTCAATCAAGGGTGCGAGAAAGTCTGTCTGAAAAATGACGTGTGCGAAATCCTGCTGCCAACGGGCAGCATAACTTACGAAAAATTACTTAAGCATATTGCAAGCATGCTTGGATGCGTGCAGCAAAGTAAAAAATGTTGACTAAAAGCTATCACTGTGTCAGGGCTCCTTGACATACAGAGCTTAACATAAAAATCATTCCTATATGCATTCGGTCTCAAACATCGACAGTAAGAAATTATTCGCTCAGCAAAGTAAGAAAAACCGAAATGTAATCATGAATGCACAAAAACGTGCTCCGTATACATCTCATTCCTTGTAGTAAGCGGAGCCGTCCTTGACTTGTGAAACGCACTTCGCCACTATGAGGACTACGCCATCTATTCTTAGCAGAGATTAACAATTAACGATGTTTTCTCCAATTGGGCGGGTCATCGCAAAGATGCGTTTTCGAAGACTAGTCCATTCAATGGTGCAACAAGAGGCTGTTGCTCCAAACGGTCACTTTACAAGTTGTTTATTGTATTTTACTGCGATTACTTTACTAAGAGCACCAACATCATTTAAATCCATAAAAAAGATGGCATCTAGGACTTGAAAAATTATAGGTCGATCAGTATCCTGCCCGTTCTCTATAGATTATTCACTAAAGAATAGCTAATAAAATTGATTGACTTGTGGGGTTTAACATCCCAAAACCACCATATGATTATGAGAGACGCCGTAGTGGAGGGCTCCGGAAATTTCGACCACCTGGGGTTCTTTAACGTGCACCCAAATCTGAGTACACAAGCCTACAACATTTCCGCCTCCATCGGAAATGCAGCCGTCACAGCCGGGATTTGATCCCGCGACCTGTGGGTCAGCAGCCGAGTACCTTAGCCACTAAACCACCGTGGTGGGGCAATAGCTAATAAATTTAAGGCATTATTAGAGTTCAATCAATTGAAGGTCAAAGCAGGATTTCATTCAGGCAACTCCACAACTGACCATATTCATACCATCGATCAGGTGATACAAAAATGCCCGGAATACAACCAACCCCTATACATAGCTTCCATAAATTAAAATGAGAAGTTTGACTCAGTCGAGACATCAGCAGTAATGCAGGCACTACGGAATCAGGGCATCGACGAACGCTACATAAACATACTGGAAGAAATATACAGCGGATACACAGGCACCATAGTTCTTCATGAAGAGAGCGACAGAATTTCAATAAAAAAGAACGTAAGGCAGGAAGATACCATCTCTCCAATGCTTTTCACTGCGTGTTTACAGGTTTTCAGGGCCTTAGATTAAGAAGAGTTAGAGATAAGAGTTTATGGAGACTATCTTAATAACCTGCGATTCAATGACATTGTCTTGATGAGTAACTCAGGAGACGAATTACAGCTCATAATTACCCTACTGGACACGGTAAGCAGAAGAGTAGGTTTCAAAAAAATATTCAGAAAACTATTGCGCAAGTCTCGGCAGAAAACGCTACTTTGCGACAGATGGAGAGATGCTGGAAGTTGCAAAGGAATATGTCTACTTAGGACAAGTAGTAACCGCAAAGCCGAACCATGAGAGTTAAATAACTAGAAGAATAAGGATGCGGTGGATCACATTCGGCAAGCATTCTCAAATCATGAATGATAATCTACCACTAACTTTCAAAAGGAAAGTGTATAACAGCTGCATCTTGCCGGTACTTACCTACGAAGCACAAACCTGGAGGCTTACAAAAAGGGTTCAGCTTAAATTGAGAACGACCGAGTGAGCAATGAACAGGTAAATGATAGGTATAACTTTAAGAGGCAAGAAGAAAGCAGTGTGGGTTAGGGAACAAACCGGGGTTAAGGAATAGTTGAAATCAAGATGAAGAAATGAACATGGGCCGGGTACGTAGCACGTTGGCAGGATAATTGCTGGTCATTAAGGATAACCGACTGGATCTTCAGAGAAGGCAAACGCATAAAGAGGAGACAGAAAGTTAGGTGGGCTAATGAGATTAAGAAATTTGCAGGTACAATGTGGTAGTAGAAAGCACACTATCGAATTGATTGGCGGATCATGGGAGAGGCCTTTGTCCTGCAGTGGGCATAGTCGGACTGATGATGATGATTTTACTTTTACTTACTCTCTTCACAAGCATAGCAAGGGAAGACAGGGGGAGTCTCATGACTTTGATATACATGTACAGAATTTGCTCAGACTATACCGCTGACAGTCACGTCGCAGAGGAGAGCTGATGCCTGCCTTCCCCCCTACCCAGTCGGGTCGGTGTGCCCCCCCCTGAGAAACATTTCTGGCGACGCCCTTGTGACTGGATGTGTGATCACATGCACTAAAACTTCTAGAGATAATATTGAGGAGTGCACATGCTGAATCGAAGTCCTGCATGTAGAAAGAAAATAAAATTAGATGGCTACTGTGGCGCAACCTTCTTGCTTTGATGAAAATTGTTGTATCATGCCCCGAAGCAGCCATGTGCAGAGGTGCGAGTAGTTGGACATGGAGCTGCATGCGAGTCTTTTCTTAAATTTATATCTACCCTAACATAGCTAGCAAAGACACTTTACAAGATTTATTTGCCATTTCTCACCCAGCTGCTGCCTAGTGATACTTGGTGAGCGCTTACAATGCACTCGTGTTAAGACAAATGGTGACAGCAGCATATAATACCAGTTGTGACATTGTTCTCAAACTTAAAGCTGGCTTTTCATGACCACAGAAACATACCATACTGTATCTGAACAAAAGCATCAAAATTGCATTCTTCAACTTGATCAAGAGAGACATCAACAGTCAAAGTGCACTGGACATTTATTCAGTGATACCATGCTCTAAACAACACACACTACAGGGGAACATAGGCACAGTGGAAGATTCCCAACAACTGCGGAAAGCAGCTTCTTCGATTTCTTTTTGTTTTTCAGGCATGTAACGATTTGAAGTAGCATAGAGTAGTATTGAAAAGTGAATCACAAGAAGGATGTTTTATTATGGAAATGACTAGCACACAAGTAATCACATTCTTATGAAACACACTGAGTTTACATGCTTACAAACACGCTTAGCCACATCTAAACAATGTGGGTATTTAAGTATCGCTGGCTACATGTTTATCTAACTAGAGTACACAAGTTTTGACTGTATACTGATTGCCTTATGGTGGTGATAACCTGAGAGACTGAGGGTATCACAGCATCTCCAGTGTAAGTGCTGTCTGTTATGCTGTTCCTTTCAGGGCAATGTGACTAGGGTTATTTATATTGAAGAAATGAAGTGCAGGGAACCAAAAGCAGTGCCAAGAGAAACAAGTACGCTAGCAAAATTGCCAACACAATTGTCGTGCACAAGTGTTGAAATGAAAAAATAAATAAAACCAAGGTTACATAACGCTGCTATCTGTTACAGTCCATAAGGTGGCCCCACAGGTAAAAAGATGCAGGGAGTGATTCTTGCTCCAAGAAACAGCATAGCAGACAATGTTTGCACTTATGGTTTATTTGTGCGCCTTTCTCCAATGCATGCATGACATAGTACAAAATGCGGGAGGCTGTTCTTATGCAAAGTACTGGTTTTAGGAGCCATATGATTCTTGATGCTTTGGCTTCAAGTAACACATGCATGAAGTCCACAGATTGCAATAAGACAGCATCCACATTAACACAGAGATGAAAGAAACTGCCCTTGTTTTCTTTTTGGAAATTTTCAGCTATTCATTAGCTAAATGGTCAAGTATTGCCTGGAGTCATTGAAATACTATTCGGCCCTTTTTCATGTTAACAAAGAATGTGCATTTATATAAACATTTGAAATCGGCTGACAATTTCTTTTAAATGCCGGCATTTGGCAATTCTGGAATGCTTTAATGCTATCCAGGGCTTCAAAACAAGTTTTGGCCCCATTATATAATTCAATTCACAGATCTAGCAAACAAATGATTACACAACAACATTGGTCATTATTAAAAAAACAGATGTTGCATTCATTTGCCTTGGAGCAGAAAGCCATACCACTCAAGTTTTAGTACCAAAAAGTACTTGTTAGTGAGTTGGTGCATCATTATGGGGAAAAATTCTAGATGCCTAAAACACCACAAGAAGAACCTGCTTCTTTGTTTTTCTTGAGGTGTTTCAGGCATTTCCACATTTCATCCGGCTACACAAAAGAATGCTGGTCTGTTGTGAAACTTTCTATGCAAGAAACTTCTAGTGGCTACATAACGCAGTCAAGCCAATTTTTGATTAAACAGGCACCACAGCGATGCATGAGAGATGGCGCATCAAGATTGTTGCACAGTGCAGATTAATGTCAATATTTTAATAGCAACTTTAGCAGCTACATGCAAAAACCTACAAGTAGTGTTTTGTGTTCAACTAGCCCTACATGTTGAGAATATCTGCAGTGATTTCATATGGGCTTTAAACTCAACCCTCCCCAAAAAAGAGAGACCCTGCTCACGCACCTATTCAGATGTAATGAAAAAGAGTAAATTATAAACAACACATGAATCAATAAAAAGCAACAACAGATGAAGGAACAAATATTGGTGAAGGAAGACAAAGAGGATAGTCCTAATAACTTTGTCACTAAAAAAGCCTTCCAGCATTAGCATCCATCATGTCAGAAGATTTGCCCTCAGCTTGTTGCAGATGAAATCCCATTGCTTGACTTTCCAAAGTGTCGTCGTGAAGGCCTGGAATGCGGTCGTATGCTTTGTCTAGTTTGGCTCCACTGAAGTCAAAGCCTGGGTTTTCCATTTGAAACTTCTCGAGGTCCAGTTTCTTCATCATCTCGTGCATGATATGTGGATCTGGTGCATACTGTCCCTCAAGCAGCGATTCCCACACCTTTTCCGAATTAGCAGGTTCTGCCTTAACAAGCAAAATCAACACACGCTGCCGCTCCTCAATGGTCCACGTTGATTCATCAGCAACAACAGTGCGATGAAGGTTCCCAGAAAAGAGCTCCTTTCCATGCACTGTGCAAGATATGTGCTTAGGAGTAATCTGGATCCGAACATCCTTGCCTCGTGTGCCTTTGGGAACTTCTATCTCGGCAAATACTTCAGCCACTGTCTGCCACCAGCGACCCCAAGGTGTTGGGCAACTCACAGCACCACTCCGCTCATCAAAATGTGACAATGGCATTTTAGTGTGCTCTCACGAACAAGTCAGATCTGTAGCAAATGAGAGCAATGAAAAGCTTATAAAAAACATGAGCAGTAAGATTAACAGTTGTTAAAGGACCACGGACCAAGTATGGCCATCAAAGACAAGCATGGTAGGTACAGTCGACCCCAAAAGTTTACGGACCACACAAGCGCCTGGCCGAAAGCCTCTTCATGACACTTCCACTACGTCAGCGGCAGTCGCCAGCATCGTAGCGCCCTGAAAGCATCCCTCCCCTAGTTGATGGCCTGCCTCTTTTCTGACTGGGTACAAATATTTTTCACCTTTCGCTTTTCAACACGACACGCTTTTGGCATCTGCGTCTACGAGCTTCTGCTTGGAAAGCATAACTGTTATCAGTCACATGGATGGATGGATGGATTGATGTGGCTGTACCCTTTAGATCGGGTGGCGGCTAACCCCACCTAGCCGTAATACTTAGTGAACCAACAACTAGATTTATGTTTTTTTTTCCCCTTTAAACAGTGAAATATAGGACTGGTACTTTGCAGTGAATGGTTTAATTTTCACTCGTGCCTTGACTTTAGCCACCTATCAGATAACCTCCTTCTAGTTAATTCTACCCACTTAAAGTCTATTTTGCCCTCCCTGTCTCTAAACCCCACTGCTTTGAAAAACTCTGCGCCATCGTCCTGTACTATAGGGTGAAGTCCTTTACAGAACATTATCAGGAGTTCCGCAGTTTCCTCCTCCTCTCCGCATGCACTGCATACCGTGTCTACCCCTTCGTATTTGACCCGATATGTCTTGTTTTGCAATACTGCTGTCCTGGACTCAAACAGTAGAAAACTACCCTGAGTACTATCATAGATCCTTTCCTTGGCAATTTCCTGCCTGAAATTTCGATAGATCTCTAGCGCGGACTTCTTAATCATGCCCATTCTCCACATGTCAGTTTCCGTTTCCTTCACCTTCTTCTTAACAGATAGTTCTTTTTGGTTTGGCCCCCTGCTGTTTTCTAAGTATTTACCCGTCAATTTTCTGGTTCGCTTCCTCCATTTCGTATCGACATTCATGTACAAGTAGCTGAACATAGCAATCTTTATCACAAAGTGACACTTAGCCAACCTTTGAGGCACAATGTGATAGTTTTGATACTCCTATGAAACAGCAATGTGATGGTCATACTGTAGATAAGCGCTTATTGGCATGTGCTCTCGTGGTCCCCAAACTTCTGTGGTCGACTGTACATCATACTATGATAATCATATCTAAAAAAGTTACAATGATATACAGTTCATGGAGGGACAAGTTGGATAGCACCCTGTTCATTTTGTTTTTTGCCCTCATGTCAGTGAAAATTTGCATGCTGGTTAAAGGGTCCCTTAGCAGTACCCATTCCAAATTTTGTTAAAAAGTTGCAAGGTGCCACCAAGAAACCATTTTACTAAAGGAGTTTAAATTAGTCAGCAGAGCAGTTAATGCGGGCATATGCTCCTTCTTTCTCGCCTAGCACCGGCAAGCATCTACATACAAATCACGCAATGAGCCCTGCCTCCATTTATTTTTCTATTTATCTTCACTTTCAAAGGCCATGTTGCGCGTTTCATAATGGTTTAAGTTGTGTGACATCACTAGTTAAATTACTAGCAACGAATGCTATTTGGAGCCCTCATGGAGTGGAGCAAATATTCTTCTTGTGTTTATATCATTATCTTGCATTTCGCAACGTATCAAAGAGGAAGATGAATACTTGTTAGACAAAAGTCGGAAATACCTGTGGTTGTAGCCACGATAATAGAGTTAGAACATTGCACAGAAACTATGGCGCATAGCACTCCTACAGTGACCTCATGTTTGCATAAATTAAACCCAACGACTAAATTACACCGCGCACAAACTGAAAAGAGAACAAAAACACTTAATAAAGTCTAAACACTTATCATTAACAAGGATATACAATAAATGAACACCGGCGCATGTTGCGCAGCTGTCTGTGATCTGTAACAAAGACGTTTTATGTTAGTAATTATGTGGTTATACACATAATTCGCAGAGCAATGGTGAGGTTCACGTGTTATGATTAAATAAGGTGACCAACATACACGCATCACAGCACAGAATTTGCGCCTAGACATAAACGCTGCTAAACAAAAACTTTACTGCTGCGCTAATAGACGAGTGATTATGTGCCTATGCCAATGTGCATGTTTTTGTTGTCCACCAACTATTAGCATTAAAAAATTCAGTTTCAATAGAAAAACGACATGCCAGTTACTTACCAATCAGCTACTTCAACTAACTATACTTTTACTAACCCTGTACTACTCAAAACCCACCACTGCTCGATTAATTTTCTACTTCGCCACAGTACACTAACCTAACCACGCGCTCAAAATAATGCACCCAGCAAAATAAATAGGTTGAGGCCCATGGTAGCCATGCTGTAATGTGCATTTAGCGCTAAAACGAATCATTGCATTTTGCAAAAAGATTGGCATCACATTACCAATGTAAACAAACAATCAAGCTGCTTTTTTAAATTAAAACGCAGGAACAAACACGCCATTTTAATGATAGCTTAACAAACTTGATTACGTGCCAATGTAAGTAAACACACACTTACTCAGTGAGAGAGGGTATAAAAGGATAAGAAGATGTACAGAAAGTCAGAGAAATGGAAAGAAGGAAGGTAATTGACAAGATGGCTCCGTATGGTGAAGAAGTTGAGCGCTATGGGAACAGGATGCCCGTGCGAAAACACAGGCGCGACAAAAGTGAAATAAGTTGTTGCCTCAAGTATCTTATCTTCGGCTTCAATGTGATTTTTTGGGTGAGTGTCACTGTCATTCGGCCTTCGCTGTAGTTCCTCCTGAAGCGGTCTTCGAATTCTCGCAATCTCTTTTTTGTGGACACGGCCCCCCCCCCCCCCCCCCCCCCTCCTTCTTTCTTCTAGCTTGCGAGACGCGTGCTTGATTTAAGACCTTCCTGGATATCTTTAACCTTGCGCCTTGTGGCCAGCAAGCTTTGTAGTAGACCTATGACTATTGCGCGCTATCTTTAGATCATGACGTCTCTTGCATGTAATAAAGCTTATCAGGCCTAGATGACAAATGCGACTGGTGCTTAACCTAAACAAAAAGCCGCTTACGAAAATACTTCACTAGTTGTTTGCTACTACTCTTTTTCCTCCACCTTTAGGAGCTCGTCATTAGATAACCACGCCTTGTTTCCTTAGGAGAAGGTCTGTAATATAAAACTTATCAACTGTTGAGAAACGCCGGAAATGCGCACAAGTTATTTTTCACAATAAAACAGGTGTGGCGCGTCATAGATATCGACATTGGAAGCAGTACAGCCAGTGATAAAACTTGAGGCTACCGTCCGTCTTTGCTTCTGTAAAAGGGAATTTTGCTGTGCGTAAACGTCCAAACCATTTAGTTATACTTGATAGGGGTGTGTGCACGTTCATAGCACGGTACTCTTGCGCACCAATCAGATTCGTATTCACATTTGTATTCCGATTATTAAAAAAACTAGTAAATATAGCCTGTAATTTTTCTACCAGTTCCCATTCAGACGGTGGAGGAACAACCCTTATTGCAAGCTTATGTGCACTAGCTTGCGAAATCCACCAGGAAAATTTCTGGAAGCTGTCTTGATACTGGGAATTTATCTTTTCCTGCGTCATTCTTCTGTTAAGGCAGAACATGTAGATGAGTTATTAATGTGTAATGAACATGCTTGTCTTCGTTTGAAACACGTTTCATTATGAACAATGCAGTCATAATGTCTCATGCTGTACAGAAACTAACATAATGGGCGTTTCTCGTTTGCCATTCTGAGAAATGTATTGCATGTTTTAGTGGCCAGGCTTGAGTGTATTTAGTGTTAGAACACGTGTCATGGTCGCATGTTGCAATGTGGAGTAAATATTTGATTTTGCAGTGTTTGCATTGTATGAAAATGTGATACTAACATATCAACAGTGTTGTAGTGGTGCCTGGGAAGTTTGTTCGGCCATTGAACCACATTTTACAGGCCTGTGCTGACCAAGCTGCGTAGAATCAAATGTATTTAATTGCTGAATTGCATTGATGCAACCGCATACAGATGTCCAGCATGTGACTGCCGCTGGACTTGATGCAGATAGGCTGGTCAGATACGATAGCATGCGAGTTGCTATGAGAATGAAACTTGATTGAAAACCACACCACATGCCAAGTCTTCACTCTCATTTCTATAAAGGAGCCTCCAGCAAGATAGGAAGCCTGCAGAATTGCATAGTCTTCTTATTGGAAAAACAGATTTTTGCCGACATATGCTGTACTGCTGGGATGCTACTATCTTTAGGGAGGAAAGATGGGATTGTGATTCCAGATGACAGGGAATAAAATAATAAATGAACATCAACAAATAATAAATATGCAAATGAATCTTTTACAAAAATTTACGAGGATGTCGAGTAAGAGAAGGGCTTTCCATATGTGGTAGTTGGTTAGTAAAGCTTTGACCTGGTCAATTTCTGACAGGTAAATAAAAGGTGACTGTAAAACTCCTAACTGTATTGAACCCGGCACCGGATGTAATCTGCTGTGCTACATTAAGGGTTCATAGCAAATGATGGCCCATTTGTCGCTAAATTGGCTCTCATTGTGATATGTGGTGCACAGATGAGCATAGGTATTGCAGTTTTATATCAGTGGCATGGTATTGAACTTTGGGGTGAGAGACAGATGGAAGAAAAGTTTAGTCATAAGTATACTCTTCTGTTATGCACAGCAGAGATGAGATTTGAAGAGAGATCGATTGAATGATGAGTATCAAAGTGGAAGTCTGTGTGCAAGATTGAGGTGGCACTCAATGCTGTCGCATTGTATCTCTCGGGCCCGTAGGTGCAGTAAGTGGAATAGTGTTCTATTAACGCGATATTGTTAAAGAGCTCGTTTCACAGAAATTTCGGTGTCGGCATTGTTGGTTGCAAGCGAAAAATCCCCTTGTGCGTGACCGAAAAATCGAGAAGGATGCAAATAAAATAAATAAATGATAAAAAATCTCGGAACAGAGTCTCGACAGAACAAGGGTTGTTTGGGTCCGAGTGGGGATCAAACCCAGGTCATTTGCGTGGCAAGCGGATGTTCTACCACACGGTCGCATCTCTGCTTGTGAAAACGGTGAAAAGAACTTTCTCTGCTTGAAAATAACAGTGAAAGTAGCCTTCATTCTTCACAAACACACGCGTCCTGTATACATGCTTCACAACACATCAAATATTGCAGTAATAATGCGTGGTGCAAGCGTCCATTCCTAACGGGCATCAAAATCTATGATTATCATAATGGTGCCGTGGATGAAAGCCAGTACTCTACTACAAAAGGCACACACGCTACTGCGACCACGTTGTGAGTGCATAGCGAATTCGAAAAGGTTTCATGCACTAAGTGTTTGATGTACACACTAGGCTTAAACAGGACGTTGCTGTTGCGTTAAACTCCTAAAGGCAAACCTTTAGGGCCCCTAATTTTTTTGCCTTTAGTGCATGTGTCTGTTGTAATTACTGCAGTTGTATCATTTACTCATATTATCCATCTGCCCTGTGCTTCAGGTACATAGCATCTGCTGCTACTGACAATAAAATAGGCAGATAACCTAGATTGGCATTTCTACATGTACTAGAAATTCAAACTGCACTTTCCCTCATTTAATTATTTCATAAGTTACTGGTTCTTTTGCATTATTGAAAGCAAAAACTACCAGTCCGGTTTAATGTCGTGGCAGGAACACTTGTACAAATAATTAGAAAGGCAGCAAGGTTATGAATCATTGTCGAGGTATCGCCCCGCCGCGGTGGTCTAGTGGCTAAGGTACTCGGCTGCTGACCCGCAAGTCGCGGGTTCAAATCCCGGCTGCGGCGGCTGCATTTCCGATGGAGGCGGAAATGTCGAGGCCCGTGTGCTCAGATTTGGGTGCACGTTAAAGAACCCCAGGTGGTCTAAATTTCCGGAGCCCTCCACTACGGCGTCTCTCATAATCATATAGTGGTTTTGGGACGTTAAACCCCACTTATCAATCAATCAATCAATCATTGTCGAGGTATTGCACTTCTTAGAGGCACTAAGTTGAAACAATGAGTTGGTTTACATTGATAAACTGTACTCTAACAACTATATCACAAGTTCCATTATCAAGTTCATTCCATTACCATTAAGAAGTTCATTACTAGCAGAAAAAGTCAAGGTTGAAGTTTAATTTTAAAATTTTGCACCTAAATTTCTGAGCATTGCTCAAAATTTCAAAATGTATTTTTCGTATTTTTTGCAACATGGGCTCAATGAAATTTTTGGAAACATTGTATATTAGGTCTATTGCACCTGCAGATGAACATGTCCTTCACTTTACCAATCGAAATGCGTAGGACCCACCAGATGCCATCAGAATCCATGACATCATGGTGTTCAGTGTGGGAATTTCACTTTGGTGTCTCCACCTGCATTTTTTTGCACGCATTCTCTCGTTCCCCAAGTGCCGTTTCGCAGTACAAGGTATTGTTTTTACGAGTGTGAAATTGTACTCTACTAATACACAAAATGTTTTTTTTTTCTTCAGTTTCTCTTTAATGTAATCATGGTGTTCAGTGTGGAAATTTGACTTTGGTGTCTCCACCTGCATTTTTTTGCATGCATTCTCTCGTTCATCAAGTGCCGTTTCACAGTACAAGGTATTGTTTTTACGAGTGTGAAACTGTACTCTACTAATACACAAAATGTTTTTTTTTCTTCAGTTTCTCTTTAATGTAAACACCGAAAATGCCTTGCAGGATGCAAATTGTAGAGGGGCTTTTGCTACCTGATTTGTTTCTTGTGTTCAGACAGGGGAAAGTAGTCCTAATGCAGTTCCATAGCTAATTGTATTTTTCTAGATCCAAAAGCTTGCTAGGTTATAGCAGTGAGCCTGTTTAGCTTATCAGCCTGAGATTCAGTTGCCATAAATTTTTCGTTAGTCACTAACTGCTACGCATGGCCTATCACAGCATGGGTGCCATACTCCGTACCGTACTGACTGCGTTTATTTTAGACGCAGTTAGTTAAACATAAGTACTGCATTTTCCAGTGCTTAACATGCACTTTTTTTCCTATATTTTTTCTGGTGAGTCTTTCATACACGAAAAATTGTGCAATTCCGAAACTCGTATGTCAATATTTCATTTGCAAGTGTGATAAACTGAGTGTGAGAGCATTTGTAAAGGCATCGAATGTTGTGATAATGAAATGGGCGTGTTCTTAGGTGTCCCCTACTTGCTGTTCAAGCACTGCAGCGACCATGGAGATTACGGCCACTATAAAAGCCATCGTCGAGCAAACTCTTGTTGTTTGAATTGTTTGTTCTCAAACAGATCATTAAAACCTGGAACTGAGAGAATAAGTAAAGAAGGGTGCTACGTTTTATTGTACCCTTGTAGCGCCTACAAGACCACTTAAAGAAACAAGTGCCACATCATAATCATCAGTTTCCACATGAGGCACTACACCAGTCCTGCAGTAGTTGCAGCATCTGGTCGGTGCAATCGTTTGTATATTCCTGCCAAGCCTCATGCGTTATAGGTAATGCTGGCTATGTGCTCCAAGGTGCTTTATAATGCTGTGTAAAAGAGTGACTTGGAAGCCAACAACAGCAACTAGGCGATGCTGTCAACTGAGGTTGAAGAACTTTTGACAGTCTACCGGAGGATGTGGCTGTGAATACAGTGGTATAAATATTCGTTTTCAGCGCCTCAAGACAGTATTGTCAAGTTTCATACTGCTGCTTATAGATATTCAATGCGGTGCACGACTAAGCATTTCACAACGAACATACTCCGTGTACATTGTGTTTTATCGTGTTGACAGTGTAAAAAAATAGGTGCATCTTACATTTATTTTCCCCCCGGGTAAGTCCTAAAAATTGAGAATGTATCTTTTATAAAGGTGGGACTTGTACACAAGAACATTCGGTATTCTGTACAAAATGGATTGAGTGTAGGTTCTTTGTCAAATTGATTCCCATCGAGCATTTATTATTAGTCTTGTACTGAAAGTAATGGGTAGATCTGGGCATCAGCCTGAAACATGAACTTAACTGAAAACAAACGCTGGTCATTTGCATTTACATTAATAGGCAGACATGTATCACTTGGAAAAGCTGCTACGAAAACAGCTAAGTGACATCTGGGGAACACGCAGAATGTTTCTCGCGTGTTTTCGCTTGGAAGAACTTCGATTGTTTGTTTGCGCACAATGTTGGGGAGGCCATGTTTCCTGCTAAGCAAGCTCTTTAATGCTTTTGTGGTAATGATAAATAATGATATACTTTGAGCCTCAGGTTAATACTTTTTTAAAAATTACAATGTTACTGTCTTTTTAATAAACTTGTTCGCTTACACTGATTATGTCACTGAAATATGTAAAAATCAACTCTACCATTTTTTCTTTCATGCAGTTCACTACGAGTGCATTTGAATAAAGTTCTGTAAATTTGATCCTGTAATGGACAGTATTATCATAATTGCCATATATAAGGGGAATATGCTAATGTAAACTGTTTTGTTGTGTGCATGAGTGTTTCAAGAATAATGCTTCTCTATTTCAGCTTATGGGCTTGAGCATCATGGTTGTTGGTGTTTGGGCCTGGACAGAAAAAGACATTTTCAACAACCTGAGTCGACTGACCAACATCGCCCTTGACCCTGCTTTTGTTCTGATTGTCATTGGAGGCATCACATTTATTATTGGTTTCACCGGATGTGTTGGTGCCCTGAGAGAAAATACCTGCCTGCTCGCTGCTGTAAGAAACCCTCTATTTTGCGTTCCATGTTTTAATGAGGTTCATGTACCTAGATGAATTACACTCTGTATACACGCCTACTTGTGTATGAGGCAAACAGATTTGTATATGTGTGAACAATTCACATCTACCTTTTTTACAGTGGTACTGTGTATAGCTAGGAATATTTTTCATGTGCATCGGCAAAATTTATGTGCTACACGAATTGGGCAAGCCCCAACCCTTGCCACCGGTCCACAAAATATGAAGGGAACACATAGGTTGGTTGGTAGGAACAACTTTATTCGGAACACATAGGTGGCAAACACTAAGATAGTGCACAAGATTCCAAGTGCATGCAGCAAGCCAGGCAAGACAGTGCATGTTACGAAACATAGAACGCAGTTTAAAAACCCTAGCACCATGCTGCTCAAACGAGCAACTATAGAGGGGCCCTACAACACTTTTCTGGGTAGTCGTTGAATAGCTTTATGAAAAGTCTCTTAATTTACAGGTCGAGTGCTGCAAAGATTTTTGCAATCTGTTGTCAAGTGAAGGTGGATTTGCATAAATTTGTTACACGCTTTGAGCACTTTTTCTTTCCATTTGTACCAGGGAGCGAATTGAAAGCTACGTGGTGGTGGTGGTGGGGGGGGGGGACAAGTGGGCAAGATGCATTGTCGGTTTGTCAATGTCCATCATGACAAGAGGCTGGATTTCTAGGCACTAAAAATTGCGTTTTAGGCGCCAAAAACAAGCAGGCAAAATAACTTTAGGCTAGCAAAATCATAAATGTATGCACAATAAACTTGTACAAAAATTCAAATATTTGAAGACACAGGCATGACCTGCGTCGACGACAGAAAAGAAAAAAAAAACATATAGTTTATGATGGCACAAAGGCGCCAAAAGTTTAACTTAGCCATGCAAAATTGTCCTTTTTATCTCACGGTTTGCTGAGCATTTTCTGCTGAACACAATCTCTCATCGACTCTTTCGAGCTGTCCACACATTGCACGGCACACAACACCATGCCGTGCCTTCAACTGGCTGAGCCAGCCCTCGGTGAAGGTGACATCTCTGTCGAAAAATTGCAGCGAGTTGGTCGGCTCTGGTCCAAAGAAGGTCCGTTAACTGGAACTCTACGAGCACGCACGTCCTGTTGCCACAACAGTAAAGCTGACTCGATGTTTGGGTGTGCCGTTTTGCGCATTCGAAAGTGCTTCTCTTGTATCTTGCTGGAGTCTCGTTTTTTGGCAACAACGTTGTTCTAAATGCGAAGAATTTTTGCGAACTTCGGCGAGTTTGACTGTATCCTAAATGTCTGTCTCCTGCCTGTCTATCTATCCATCCACGCAACCACCCGTCCGTCCATCTGTCCGCCCGCCCACCCGCTTGCCTATGAATTTTAGCTGTCCTGGCCGTTCGAATAATGGGATCTATACCTAAATTGGTATGACATAACATGAATGTATGACGAGCATAAGTCGCTAGTTATAAATTCAACATGTAATATAGTTGCGCAAATTTGACAGACACAGAGGATAAGAAAACACGACACTCGCTACACTCGCAACTAATTTTATTTCAGAAGCAGCACTTCATATATAGCCCAAATCTATAGCGACACAGAAAAGAACTACAAACATAGAATCATTCCCAAAAAAAACATTTTTCAAGTGATGGTATACACGGCAGATAAGCTTAAACACGTTTATATAAAAAAGACTGCGCTGGGTATCATTAAGAACGTTGGTGTGGATTTACAGTGTCTGAAAAAGAAACAAAAAGAAAAGAAAGACTACCCACGTACACACGAACATCAAGCGATGGCATACGTCAGTTATGCTTAGATTCTTTTGGATGAAACAAGAAATAACAGCGCTGGGGGGGGGGGGGGGGGTATTATTAGACAAAAGAAAAATGGTGGGAATTTACACGTACCTGAATCAGAATTTGAAAAACCATGAAAGACAATGCGACACATATAAACGCTAACTTCAATTAAAGTCCTTTGATAAAGCTGGCATGTTGATTACTTAACGACACTGATGACTGACTAATGCAACCATCTTCTCTTTTATTAATGTGGAAGGCTTTGACAATTGCTCTAGTTAGTTGGTTCCCATGACGGAAGACTACGGTTGCATCACCGCTCGCTATAACCCTACTCGCTAGTTATAACATGAAAATCATGACATGCATATCCTAAATGTTATGATATACATGTCGTGGTCTTGCTGCTGTTGCGTCCGGTGCCGAGGCTTAAAAGAGAGCGACGTTCTTTCAATCCTCAATAAAGCTGCCGATCGGCTGCCTGCCTAGATCCGCCATGTATTGTCCCTCCTAGCCGGAGGGCGAGGCGTTGTACCATAGCGACACCGTAAGCCGTTTCACGAGACAAGTGCAACATCTTTCTTGGAAGGGACGGTGGCGGCAGTCGCAAATCGCCCCACTAATCGATCGAGCAGTCCGGGGGACCTTTTTGAGCTACTGCGGCAGCCCCTTTGTTGTATGCTGTTGTGAGCTTGGGACCCCCGGCCCAGCGGCACACACACGACGAAGAAGAGCCCAGTTAGTGCCACATTGGAGTGCAGTGATCACGCTTCAATATTGGACGTTTACGTAAGCCCTGTATGCTCACCACCCTCGCAGGTTGTGTGTAACAGTGTATGATTGGACAGTGCCGTCTGCACGCGTTCCCCGATCTTGAGATCTGAGGAGAATTTACACATTATAATGAGCCAACCAAATCATTTGAAGGTGCACCACATTCGAGAGCTCACCATGTCGAGCTCACCATGTACATAATGTAAATAAACCCTCTGTACTATATTGAACTTCCTCCTTCCTCAGTGTCTTCATCCCGAATCTCCAGTGCCTGCAAAGGCCGGTCGCAACACTGCTTCTGCGGTGGTTTCGTTCACATGACATATCTCAAAACTGGTATGGTATGACATGACTGCATGGCGAACATAAGTGGTAGGCCCTCACGTGGAAACCATGACATGCATGTCATGTAAGAACATGACTACATGCCACGCTCATGATGCGTTTGCGGTCGTTCCGCTAGCTTCACATACACCAAATTTGGTATCGCGCGACTTGAATGAATGATTATGTTATATGACTGGTGCAAACATGATAATCATGACATGCGTGTCTTGTAAGAACATGACTACATGCCATGCTCATAATGTGCATGCAGTCGTTTTGCTGGCTTCACATATACCAAGTTTTGTGTTACGTCCTTAAGCAGCACAGAATTAAGCGGGGCTGGATAATAAATAATATACACACTCTAATTCCGAGTACTGGCATGCACGACAGCATTGGACTACGCGACCACGTTCAGCAAAGTGATAGACTTCATATTGTATAATCGATCTTCAAGGCTCTTCCGCTAGGCTGCCAACAAATGGTTTTTGATCATTTAAAAATATAAATCCTAGCCACAACGCGAAAAGAATGCTGGAATATGTCGCTATATTTCATGCTGTTTTCATTTCTACAGCAATCTAATCGCACATTCTGGCCAGCTGTTGGTCCCTTTAACATGAATGCAGTCACATTGACCCTTGATGTTAAAACTCCATCCCGACGACTAATGCCCATGATCATGATATAACTGTTCAATCAGGATTTAACTGTTAAATTAGCTGAGGCTGTTAACATATACCTGGATACAGGATTTTGTAAATCCCATGCAAAAGTGACATCAACAAGCACATAAAAAGTCAACTTCGCTGGGAGACTAGCATCGAATGCGATAGCTACAACTGGAATGTTACACGAAGAACAGCAACCAGCTCGAAATCTGCAGTGTGCTGCTCAAGCGCAAAAAACTGTCCAAAAGAATATACACGGGACTGGCGTGAACTAATAACTGTTACATTTCTTTGTTTAAGCTGCATGCTCCTTTTGCAAACGGAGCCACTGTAGCGAGCGAAGTAACCACCGTGCGCTCTGCAGTGAAGGCAACGACGTACAAAACGCATCAGATCACAAGATAAACATGTGGGCACGGGCAAAGTACAGATGCTATAGGTAGGAAGCACGTGTGTATGGCAATGAGCAAAGTGACAATCTTTAAGACTCGTCCTTCATCACACTTCGTGCCATCTCGCTAGTGATAATGAGAACATGCTGAAGTGTCATTGAGCTCTCAGTCACGCCAATAGTACAGTAGACTCCTTAAATGAAAATCAAGTGTTGCCTAAATGGAATAACTGCCTCCGATATGATAGGTTTTGTATTCTGCACCCTCATTTGTCTCTCGGTAAAGTGAACTGTTAAATGCAACATACTTTCCCGATCCCTTCAGGTTTCCGTTTAATGAAAAGGTGTGTTTAAATAGCTCGTCATTAGTATGCCAAAGAACATACGCGTTGTGGTCTAGCGTTATGCGCTGCAGAGCGAGGGGTCGTAGGTTCTATTCCTCGTGGCGCAGCTTTTCCTTCTAGTTTTTCTTTTATAATCTGTTCGTGTACTTTTCGCAATGTCTTATCCGGGATGGGGATGCATTGGTGAAGTTTTGGTCCAGGCCTACTGTCGACTCCTATTAATTCAAACTCGTAGGGACCTCCGAATTTTGTTTGAATTATCAAGAAGTTTGAATTATCAGAAGTGCTCTGATGGACGACTCTGGGTGAGGTGATGCCACGCACTACGATTAGCCATGGACTTTATCACATTAAACATTTTCAGGCATTTTTAAGCCATAACTGCACGCAGTGGACAGAAAGCATAAATATAAAGTCCACAAGTTTATTGGTCATTTAGTGCTCATCAGACCTTTTAAAGAAATTGTGAATTGCCAACTGCTTCATTGCTATAGGTGCTGCTTCATTGCTTCAGCACAAAGCTCTCTATATCAGTTGAGAAGCATCATGGTTTACCATGCGTGTGCTTCGTTTCAAGCATTTTTTTACTTGCAAAGCCTTTTTCCTTGGAGGTCTGAGTTGCTTATTTTTCATATTTAGAGTGTTAGGAATATACAAGTGCACAAATTTTTAAAAAGTAGTGGGAAAGCACCTGATATTTTCTGGTATGGACTTGCAAAAAGCATGAATTAACCAAATGATGGAGTTTGAATTAAGAGGTTTTTAAATACATTAAAAGAATATAGAGCCAACCAAAAAATTGACGAAAAATATAAACCATCAGAGTTTGAACTATTGCGAGTCTACTATATTGGTATGTTCCATCTAGCAGGAATTAGTTTACTGAGAGATAGGCAGGGGTGCAGGATGAAAGTGCAAAACAAACACCCATGGTTCTTGCACTTCCATCTCTAGTTGTGGCTAGGCTGTACTGTGCATGAGGAGTTCAGGTAAAATAGTTCCGAAAATTGTTTGTGCACTAAAATTGAATGTGAGGTCAAAACCGCATTTGCGGTGTTAAAAAGAGCCTACCAGCAGAAATAGTGTCATTGCCATCACAAGATCACAACAGAGAATACTCTGTAAACATTTAGCAATATCATTCGTGGGCTACTTCTATTGATATGTAATTTTTCCTATCTTGTGCAAGCTTATTCTATTTTATGTCTTTGAATTTCTTAATTTTATTTGCCAACCTGACTGAACTAAGGGAGAAATGGCATAGTAGTGCTTGGAGGCTTGCTCCAGCTATATGTTACCTCGCTTCTGGATTTATTTTACTCTTTCATGCACAGAGCTCCATTTTTGGCGTTAAACAGAGTTTTATGAAAAAAATATAGAAATCTTTTGCATAAAATAATTTTCTCGCAAGAAACAAAAAAAAAAAATTACAATTTTGGTTCAAAACACGTGAGGCGATGCAGTATGGGTGTACTGGTCACTTTCAGTGAAGGTACAGCTGATCATTTCTATAACTCTTACCGTCAGCAACTTATACAACATATTTTTATGCACTGTCAACATAGTAGGAACCGCACGTATTTGTATATCTGTAAATATATCTCGGGTCTACTGTCTAGCCTGCCTTGAGGATGATGGTAGCCGGAACAAAACGAACGTCACATTTCGCATTGATGCCCAGACGAAGTAGGTCATCTCTGTCAGACTGCCAAATGTTTTGTATTATATGCCATTAAAAATCCGACACGCGGGGCTCACGTGTTTAAAGGGGAAAAAAAATGAAGGAAAGGTGGTTACCTGCGGTGACCACCCTGCTAGAAAGAGTTAAAAGAAAAGTTATCTGTGAAGAGAGATTTTTTTTCACTGTAACTTGTTTTACCATGTTTTCAGTTTTCGTTATATATGTGTGTTCACCCTTTGATATACAAGCACCTATAAGGCTTCTTGTTTATACAGCCACCGATTTGTCTTTTGGCTGCTTTAATAAGAATTTTCTTTTGGCCATGCACCATGTTCTAGAGTAGTTATGTCTGCAAGCTGATCATGGTAACAACTACTTCAAACTGTTGTTTGGGCTTTTTCAGTACGCCATATTTTTAGCGATCTTGTTACTGTTGGAGATGACGGCAGGCATTTTGGGATTCATCTTTAAGGATTGGGTAAGTGTTCGTTCTTCTCTTGAAAAAACTGGCGATGGACTTATATTTACATAAATGACTTAGTTTCAGTTATTCATGACCAAAAAAGATGGGCTAATGTACAGATGATTGTGTATTATACAATATTCATTTCTCCAACAATCAATTCATGCTTAATGTAGTCTTCAATAAAATCTTTGTTCGCCTTGTGGGAACAGGCTACGGTGCGCGGCTGCTGACCCAAAGATTGCGGGTTCAATCCCAGCTGCGGCGGTTGCATTTCGATCGAGGTGAAATGGTAGAGGCTCGTGTACTGTGGGATATCGGTGCATGTTTTTAAGCACACCAGATGGTCAAAATTTCTGGAGCCCTCCACTACAACGTCTTTCATGAAAAAATCATGGTTTTGGGACATAAAACCCCAAATAATATATATTATTATCCATAAAATCCTTGCATGGTGTTATGAATGGGTCATGAAGCTCGACTCTGATAACAGTATATTTCTTCGTGTCACAAAAAGACTTCAACTTTCATATTTCATAGGTCATGAACTCTTGACTGAAGTTTGCAAATACAGTAGACTCTCAGTAAATGGAAATCTGTTAAGCGGAACTACTGCTTAAATGGATATATTGCCTCTGCAATGTTTGGTTTCGGGCTTCTTTTCTACATCCATGTTCACCTCTCAGTAAACGGAACTCCTGTTAAATGGAACATATTTTCCCGGTCCCTTCAGGTTTCGTTTACTGAGAGTCTACTGTATAAGTACCTCGGTGTCACTCTAACAAATAACTAAGTTGGGACCACTTATATTGGTAACACATGTTCTGCTGCTCTTCGTAAACTTTGTTTTATGCGACATAAGCTTAAAAATTCACCACCACGTTTTAAACGTCTGGGTTATGAATGCCTGATCTGGCCGAAGCTTGAATACACTTCCATGATATGAAACCCATACACTAAAGTCAATATTAGCATACCTGCCAAGGCTTCCAGATTACCCGGGAGACTCCCGGATTTGGAACTTTTGTCTTGGTTGTACGTGTCATAGGAAACTCTCCCTGAAATTCAGTTTTGCCCCGCGCATTCATTGCTTTGTCTGGCCACTTGAGCAAAGTTGTCTGGCCATGTAGTAAAAAGGATTCTTTTTTTTTTTGGTAGCATGGTTCAATGTACGTTTTTGACAGGCAGAAATAGTGCCAGAACAGGCCGCCTGCCGAGTAGGAGCAGCGAAATCGAACATGGCTGTGCAGTTTTGGGGGGTCACGCACATTGATTAAAAAAGAGAGCGAGAGAGAGAACTCCATTGTAGTACAGGGAGGGCAGTGACCCCGTGGAATGGCTGATGCTTTTTCTGGCTGTTTAAGTTGAAATATTCCAGGAAGCGATGGTGGTCACACTGCTCGCAACGCTGTGTCACTTTACACCGTTCATTCGTTGTTTAACTAACAGAGATCGTTTCCTGTGTTGCCGCATCTTTTCATCGAAATTCTTGGTTTCCTGATGTAGGAAAAGGGCAGTCGGCCATTTATGCAGCCATCAAATGCCCCGTCCCGTCTGGGAACCAGTTTTCGTGCCAGACAGACTACTGCAGAATGTTTACGTTTGATAATACACTACAGAGAAGATTGTGGGGTACAAAAAAGACCCCACCTCGTCCTCATTTCACGCTGGAATAAGATGTAGTTCGCATTTACCGCGTTACGCTGTAGAGCAAGCAGCGTAACGGCGCTCCGTCTTTCCGAGACTTGAAACGGATCACCTTGCTGAGCCTTCAGTAGCTCTTCTCTGCCGAAAGCGATTCCCATTCTCCCAAAGGGTGCAGTCTGGTATCGCGCCCATGGGTTCTCTCTGGGCGTCATGGGTTCGCTCTTGGCACTGTGGCCTTTGGAAAGCTTCCCTGCTCAGCCGCTACATGGTGCGCCGCTTGCCTGCGTAGCAGCCAAGGTCGACCGCATGTGGACTCCCCCTTTTTGCCGCTGTTTCAGCCCCGATGCTTGCATGTGCGAAGGCACTGAGAGCTGCTGTCGCACCTGGATCAAGGTCCTCGGCAGAAAACAGGGGGCACGAGATAGCGTGTCAGCTACCACATCAGTAGTGTGTTCACCACAAGAGGCGGGTCAATACACGGACGGGTGCAAAAAGGGTGCCCGTCGATAGAGGCATTAGCCTTTTTGTGCAGCGTGGCATCCGTCTTAAAGGGTCAGCGGACAAAAATGCCACGAAGCAGGCATGTTGCGACGAGCCCTAATCGCACAGGCGAAATGACTCGCTCAGAGCAGTCAAAAGCTTACAGCTTTTGATACCGCATTGGGCGCCAGTGTAGTGTACATGTATCCCGACGGGTTACGGCCACTAGCGGGGGTTCGGTCTTAGCCAGCCTCAGGGCACGCGTTAATCATCGCCGTGGGGAGAACACGGTACTGCTCAAGGTCACAACACTTAATTGTCTGCGGCAACACCAAAAACGCAGTACAGAGCCTGTTGCAAAGGCGCGGCGGGAAAGCAAATGGGCTTATCCACGCCGCGGGTGAGAAGTACTACACAGGGGTGTTGCAAACATGTCTTCGTGGGCAAAGGTGATTCAAAGGGACACCGGGACAAAGGGCTTGGTTGCTCGAGCGAGGGCAGAGGCGCTTGCGTTGGCTTCAGAGAGATACAGGTCGGCGTAGCCTGGCCACGTATTATGACACCGCACCACTTTTCGGCCTAGCGTTCGGAAGGGAGGCGACAATAGGTAAGCGTTTGCCGTGGGTGCAAGGCGCCGTAGGGAAGTCCGAATGAGCCTGAAACAAAGGGAGATGACGGACGGGAAAGAAATGCGTGCTTACCCCTTGTCGTCCCGGAGAGCTTCTCTCTCACTCCCGTCGCATGCGCGAAACGTCCACAGAGACTCTGTGCACGGCGCCACAGTCAACATCCGCTAGTGGGTGAGAGGGGTTAGACGTCGCTCCCCGTTCTCCCAGCACGACAGACAGCGGAAAAGGGGAGTCATGTCGGAACATAAGAACGTCGGAAATAGGCGGCAAAGCCCGCGCAAAGGTGGCGGGCTAGCCTCGATTCACACACACTGTGTAGTGCTTTGCTCGGATAATGCCAACGTTATGCTTGGAAAGAAGAATGGAGTGGCTGCAATGTTATCAGAACTTCACGAGAATCAGATGTCCGTGCCATCTTGTCAATCTTGCTGCTGAGAAGGCAGCATTTGCCCTTCTTCAAAGGCAGATGAAATTCTTGCGAATATCTTATACTATCTGGAAAGAAGCGTGAAGAGAAAAATTCTCTTCGAGAGTTTTAAAACATGCATGACAAGAAGTGCAAAAATGTTGAAGCACGTCCCAGCCAGGTGGCTCTCACTTCGGAAATGTCTTACAAGGCTGCTTTACTTTGGGCGCCGCTGTTAAGGTTTTTTCTGACTGAGGCAAAGAAAGACAACAAAAGACCTTCTTTCCTTGAGTGCTACAGCATCCCAAAGGTAGATGGTACTCGAGCACAAGTCAAAGAAAAAGATGCTAGCGTCAACTCAAAGAGGAAGAGTACTTCAGACCGTGTGCAGCCGGTGGCAAAGAAGCCCAAGAACAGTGTAAAAGAATGCATGGACGGGCGCTACATAACTCAACAGAGCATACTGTTTATTTTTGCTCAACACCATCACCATTTTTGAGAAAGTAAACCGATGTTTGCATGCGCAGGCACCCCAAATACATGTGTTGTGCTCGCACCTGCTTGGTATGCTCGAAGACATTATGACAAAGTTCGTGAAAGCCTCTGTAATTAAGCAGCAAACAAACTTGCTAAGTGTTAACTACAAAAGCAGAGCAAATCAAAAGATTGATACTTGGTCATTGGCCAAGCAACCGATTCTTTGATTTCAAACCTCAAGCCACAAGAGCAGCGCGAGTTTACACTTCTGTGCGAAATTACTTTATCACAGCTTGCGACTACATTCGTCTCAAGTTTTCTCTAGAAGATGCAGCTCTGAATACTGCTGAGGTTGCTAGTCTAAAGATCATATGGCGAATTCCACTGGTATATCCGTAGCGGCCGCCGAAATCTTGGAGCGAGCACTCGGATTGCGCCAAGCCAGATCTGTGAGTGGAACACGTGAATGCTTTGCCTGAGGTCGCGCCAGAAGTTGTTTACACATACGTCGCTAAACCAGTCCTGAAAACTTCCTCGCAATGGCCGATTATCTTTGTCCAGACTAGGCTATGCACACGGCGGGAAAGCACGTGCAGCTCGTCCTCCCTGCTGCTACTAGTGCTCTCACTGTCGCTCAAAGCAAACCAACAGCAGCACGTCTAGCAGTATCAAACAATGCCATTTTAGAAATGTAAACCCGTGCAGAGGGCACTGCCTCAAAAAAGAAAAAAAAAAGACCGCTCAAGGCAGCTGCAGGCAACGCATTCTCGGAATTCCGGCGAAATCCGTCTCTGCAAGACAGAGCACGCGGAACACTCCGTCACGGAGTGAGTTGCAACTAATCAGCCAGTGGAACACACGAACTTGCTCTGAATCTACCAGCGGAATGCAGATTTTCGGCCGCGGAGCAAGAAAATGTGTTCCCGCTGGAGGAGTGGAATTCTCCTACCGATTCCATTTCTTTCAGAAATGTTCTTTTTTGTGTGGCGAAGTTTCTAGCCATGCTGCCACACCGGATCCAGGAGAGCCTTACCGAAACTCTTGACGCTCTAGAAATGGAGTTCGCAATGCTTCAGCTCCCACTATCGCTACAGACATATTGAATAAAGAAAGGGCAGACGTCCAGTGGGCAGCTATATCGCAACTGAAGGGCCCAGACGAGTTGCCGAAGTTCAGTCGGATCACGGAAGTGATGCTTGCCATTCGGTCGATACCACACAGCAACGCAGAGTGCAAGCGGCAGTTTAATATCGTGAAAAAGACTAGTAGGACACAATTCCACTCGTCGATGTCTGATAGGACACCCGCCAACGCCCTTCTCGTGAACTGAATTACTGCTGAATTACAGTTCTATCCGCCAACGCCCTTCTCGGATAGAACTGAAATATTGCTGCAGCAAAATCGTGAGATTTTTTTTTTTTACCTGTACAGTATCCTCCTATGCGCAAAAGGGTGAAGGTTACTGCAACGATAGTTTCAACATTTTGCGACACTTCATACAACCGCAGTCATGAACACATAATGTTTTTGAGGTGAAGACGATTAGAAAGGTAATTCATTCGTAATAATGCTGCTGTGCGGTTTTTACACCAGTCGAAGAAGAATGCCTGATGTTTCTGCAATAACAATTTTGTTATTGCCTAGATAATTTTGGCCCCAAAGTCCCTAGAAGTAACTACTAAGGTAGTCATTTTTGTCAGTGTGCAGGCTCCTCCTCTCCTCCATGCTTGGTAGCCTTGGCAGTGCAAGCACCATGCTGTCTGTCTTCGATCGTGCAATTTCTTTTGCTTCCATGATAAAACCGGCCTACCCTCCCCTGTGCGTCGGGAAAGGGTATGCCTGTGTCCGTAGTTTCCTGCTGGACCCTGTAGGGGTGCTGCTGTAGCTCCTGAGAGAGTCAAAAGGGCGTGGTTGGTGCTAATTTTTTTTTTTTAGGAACTTTATTTGGCCTCACTTAACAGCGCCACCTATTCAGCCTGTTGGGGGCGCACACGTTTACAGCTTTGATGTTCTAGACCATTCTAGCTTTAGTAATTCGGCTGAAACAATGTAATTGCTGCACTTCAGCTTATTTTTACTTGACGGCTGGGGTCTCAACAATGTGGATATTACAGGTTCCTACGAACAAAGGTGGATTTATGGGATAGGGCTGCAAGCATAAAACCTATCCAGCGGGTAGTTTACATTTCGTAAAGGCTTGCGTCCTGTCCTTTACGTTACCGTGTTATTGGATACAGAATAGAATCTGCATGTGCAGATTTTATCCTGCATCCGGTAACACTGTAACTAAAGAAGTGTACGTACAAGCTAAAAGCTAGAACATTTATCATTTATAGGATCTCCTCAGGTTTTTTTCATTGCAGTCCCAGCGCAAGGATTAGAATTTGAAGTTTTTGTACTCCTTGCTTAATCAGAAGCTCGGGCTCTACCCAGCACCATACCTGCCTTACATTAAGGCACACTCGTCACACTCGCACGCTTTCTATAACTCCTTATTTTGCCAGAACAAATGTGTTTAAATCGTCATTTTTTTGTGCAAACAATTATATATTAGATTAACCTGTCACCTGACCAACTATTGTCCTTTGCGTCGTCAAGTGCGTTCTTCTAGGTTACTTTCTAACAGTTTCTTTTTCCAGTTTACTTATTAGAATTGGCTCTATTTCATTCACTTGATGGTTTGTTTAACTTGTACTGTATTTACACTCATTCATTTGTGTTGCCTTTGTGCCACCCCTATTACCTTCATTTTTTCTTTCGGATTCTCTTAGTATTATTCCCTGTTCTACATCTCTTGTGCAATGTCGAAAGAGGCGAAAATGCTGATGCCCATGTGCTCAGATTTGGGTGCACGTTAAAGAACCCCGGGTAGTCGAAATTTTTGGAGCGCTCTTCTACGGTGTCTCTCATAATCATATGGTGGTTTCCATATGGTGGTAAATCAATCTTGTGCAATGTCTTAAAGCTGTTGTATTCCCACTGCTTCCGGCCATGTGGCCTGCAGTATTTCTGTAAGTAAATCAAATAAAAATATGCAATGCTTCAACAGAGATTTTTATTAAGCTTGGCATTCTTTCAGTAATTGTTTACAGCAGTTCATGCGATGTTTTGAGCTGTGTTGTATGCTGTTAGAGTATAGGAAATAATATAGAGCTTTATTGCTTCTTACAAGACTTGAACTGGAACAAATAGAAGCATGTTGAACTCGATTGGAAACTGAGGCTATATTTATTTTGCTTTGATGCCCTGTAAATACTTACTGTTTCATTGAGTGATACTTGACTCTAAGGGTTTGCTCAGCACAGTAGCACGTGTAGTCATTTATATGAAAAAGCACGCTGCTGATAGCCGCACTCCCATAGTGCAGAAGGAACCAGCTGAATTCAGCCTTTGGTAGCTAAGGGAGTCGGGTATCTACTGCAGAGGGAGTTGATTTAAAATTGACCGACTTTTGCTCTCTCAACAAGAAAGCACAACAGAAATCTCTACTGCAGAATAAAGTGTGTTTTAGGTGGACCAGTGCCAGTGATATTCCATCGTTTTTTTTTTTTTAAGCAGCATTCATGGCTTGGCTTTATTATTCATATCTCATATCAATGAATCGTGAGCATTGGGGAGAGTGTCTGACTGTAAATACATTTCAATATTGCAGATCAAGTCTCAGGCTACCAATGGCTTCCAAGCTTTCATTGTGTTTTACAGAGATGACCCTGACCGTCAAAACTTGATTGACTGGATTCAGGAACAATGGGTACGTTCAAGCATCTCTTAAAGGATAAGTTACATTCAGACGTCTCTTGGATGATCAAGCACCTAAGGAAAATTTGTCTGTGCCATGTACAATAATACTGACCTCGTCTTTGCAGTTTAAGACTATTTTGACTTATATCCATGTCACATGGGCACAACAAACTACATTCAGTTTTTAAGGCTATGTTCCTAAAGATTTCTTTTGGTGCAGCTGCCACATGTTCAAATGTCATTTGTCCTGATGTCATTAACAGCAACTCCTGAAAGATGCATTCTTAGGGTAAAAATAAAACATGCATTCTTTACTTATGTAATGTGCATCGAAGGCTAGTACAATTTAGAAATAAGCAAGCTATCAAATTATTAGCTTGAGTTGCTGTATATTATAAGACTGCAGATAGAATAGCAACTGCAGCCATCACATGTTGAATCTGAAGCCCAGAAGCGATGTGTTCAGTATTGTATCAAAGCCATTGCATTGCATCACTGAATTTAGCCAGTTACAGCTGTGGAATACTGTAATTCTACTCCTGCGTCAAAGTGCGCCAAATCAGATTTACTGCGCCATCCTTATAGTATCAACGGCAATTGCGCCAAACTGGGCCAGTCTCTGATTTTTGGGGGTTATCTATCACTGGCAATAGAGACACTGGCGCGTCAGAAGATGTGCAGCTTGTTGTCAGGGCTGCCAAAATCGCAACCTTGTATAGTGCCTAGAATTATTGCACTGAATGGTCAGTGATTGTGCGTGCCTCCCATGTAATCCACGATCAATCCTATGCTTGGTGCCGACGCAGCTTTTCTTGTGCAAGTCGGCTCAACGGCGAAATGCACGCTCTGCAGCGACTCACAGAAGGGCACGTGAACGGTGGAAATGCCCAGACGCTTTTCCTCGAAAGATACTTCATCCATGAATCTTCATTGTCAAGGGCCTTTTTACACGTGCTTTCTAGAGGGCATAAGGGCAATTTTGGTATTCAGACAGAATGCCCTAGCCATATAATGAATTCCATCGGACATGCATCACGAAACTGCGGTGGTGTTGTCATCGGGCATTTGGTTTCGTGTGGTAGGCAAAAGCCACCACCCCTACCGCAGTTTGTGCTGTGTGTTCGCTGGTGTGTGTGCTGTTTGTCGCCGTGCTTAAAAAAAAATGGTGTACCGACGAACGGTTATTTGCGAGGGAAGGCACAAGAAAGATGGGCTAGGTTTCCCCCCCCCCATCCCCCCCCAGTTTTCTCTTGACGTTGCAGATCAGCCGAAGCTATGAAACACGAAAACTCTCCTTGGACGCCACTTCATCAGTTATGTTTTAGAACAGCTTACCCAGAAAAAATCATTACCGTATTTACTCGATTCTACCGCACCCTCGATTGTAACGCGCACCCGATTTCCACCGCGAAAAAAAAAACAAAAATGTAAGACATCAATTGCATCGCACACCCATTTTTCTCGCTGGCCCGCACGATCACACCACTCGAAAAAACGACTCCTTTCGGGAGCGTCTTCCATTTAAATATAAGGTACGGGCGAAGCTCGTGCCCATCTGACGTGTAACAGAGCATTGCCGTCACTGTAGTTTTACTGTGGACCGATGTCAGCACGCGAACTTGCTTTGCCCCCTTCTTCTCGACGGTTGTGGTGCCAGGCATGTCAAAGTAAAGAGGCTTCTGATCGGCATTCCCGATTTGCCCAAGCAGGTAGCCGTTGTTGCGCCGCAAGTTTAGGACGAACCTCTGAAAACTGTGAAGCTTTTCATCGTACTCCTCCGCAAAACTTTTCGCATATGCATGTTCTCCTTCGGAGGAAAAAGTCTTTCCTCTTCATAAAGTTAGTTAGCCAGCATCTGCTCGCTTTAAACTGGCTCCGCATTAGACCTTTTTCTAAGACTAATTGCATAGCCCGCACTTGGAGCAGTTTTGTCGTCACGGGCCGCTGTGCAGCTCGCTGCTCAAGCACATACTTGCCGAGCAGCTCTTTAATTTGCGGAAACCGACCCTGCTGTGGTCCACAGAAGCCTTTGCGTGAAGCTTTGCTGTCGACAATCTTCTGCTTTTGTTTCCGCCGATCCCGCACGCACGTTTCGGGAACTCCGAACGACCACGATGCGGCCCGATTTCCGTCCGTTTCTGCACACGCGATGACTTTTCTTTTAAAAGCGGCATCGTGGTGCACTCGAGTTTTGGGAGTCGGCCCTTCCACGCCGTCGATTCTAATGCACTACTAGATGACGAACTCCTCAGCACACGTACGAAGTGTCGCACATGGGAAACACATAGGCAGAGATGGCCGACGCGCCATGCCGACGCACGTAGGGGGCGGCCATTTTGGATTTGCCGATGGCAATAGATTGACCGTAATTTTTTTGTTCGTGCTCGATTCTAACGCGCATGCGATTTATGAACTCGCTTAACCGGAAAAAAGGTGCGCGTTAGATTCGAGTAAGTACGGTAGCTTTCACAGGCGTTGCAGAGGTGGTGCTACCAAGTTTCGAGGCTATCCCAAGTCTGTTGTGGGTTTCCTCTGTATGCAAGGACTCTCCACACGAAGGGTCGGACACAAGAAACGCACAGAATATATTTTAATTCACTTCTAAAAGTGCAGCTGAATGCTCACTCTCGCGATCTAGTCCCATAGCTTGCGTAGCAACGCTGACGTTTTGGAATAGGAGAAGCAAGAACAGTTGTCATGACATCGCACCAGCTTTGTAGTGACGTGAGTGACCTTCGCCATCTTCGAAACGAGCCTGCTGTTATGAGCGTGCTGGTCTCCCTTGAAGAGACGCTGTGTGCATCCATGAAAGACACTGGTTGCTTTCGAAGAGACACTCGATGCGTCCTTCACAGACAACCGAAGCATCCGTCAGAGACGCGCGCGCCGAACAGCGGGGTTGCCTCCCTCCTCCTTCAGAGTCTCTGCGCCTATGAAAGGCCGGTGCATATAGCGTCGGGCGTCTTTCTCGTCCACGTCCTGTACATAAGTTGTAAATATAAACGCTTTGTTTTCTTTTGTCTGCCTTTTGCCTTGCCACTACCTTCATGCTACTACAGCTAGCTGTCAGCGTATTTGTTTTGCTGGCGCATGTGTGGCAAGTGTGTGTGGGAGCAGACGAAACTCAGCACGATGTACGTCACGGCCTTGTGTGGTCATGTGACCAAGCCACCTATGTATCTACATCAATGCCCAACTCGGCGTCGCGAAACTGAAACCAAAATTAGTCCTCACTAGTAGAGCAATATTAAATTATTTAGTCAAAATACGCATATCTTGGTGCATGTATCATGCTTGCTGGAGCTGAAGGAAACACTTACAGCAAAGAACACACAAGCCACGAATTTGGTGGCACCACCCCTTTAAAATAAGCCGTGAAATTTCGCATTTTTTAAAATAAGCCATGGTTGCATATCGAGCATGTTTACCTCAAAACGATATCGTTATACTCGCGTGAACCAAAGGTGTCACTTGGTCATCGAGCCTACGATCGAGCTTGTGCACCTGCTGGGCTAGTTGTCACGTGATCATACATGGTGGTGGTGCGCTTTTAGCTGGGACGATTGGGTGAAGCCAACATGCTGTGACGTCACTCGGCGCCTACCATGTTTAGAAACAAGGAGTAGGTCTATACAACCTTGCTGCACAAGGAAAGCCACATTTGTTAAACTATGTAGTCCATTAGGAACGCATTTTTCTGACACATTTGTGAAAGCTCGGTTGAAGTGTATCTCCATTTCTGTGGGGGCAACCCGGCGCATGTGCAAATGATCTGAAACCATTGCGAGAATGCTCTTGCTGCAGCAGAGAGAGGCCTCGGAGAGAAGGCAGGTAGTGTTGGAGGAGGTTGGCTTTATGAGGCTAGTCAAGTGACGTCATGTTAGGCCCAGCAAAAAAAAAAAAAAATCGATAGTAAACTATGCAATTTCCCCTTGGAGTCATCCTGAGGGATTGCATTTGGGACATTACGTGTCTTTAGCGTTGAGGCATTGTTGTACACTGCATCGTTTGTCTACCATGTCTGCTGATAACCACATAGGTGTATTTAGAATTATTTCATGAAGCATGATTTTATTGAAGCACCATTCTGTTTACCGTATACACGCGTGTAAGGGCCGCATCCCGTTTTTAAGAAGCACATATTAAAAAAAAGTTGTGTGTAAGGGCCGCATCTGCACTTTCCTTGACCCATGCGTATTCAAAATGCGCGCGCGTGTGTGAGCTACTAGGCGTTATCAGTAGATGGCGCTAGAGAACGCAGTTCTCATCGTCACCATATAGTACATCATTAGAATAATTTGTCGGTTTTCTTCATGCTAATATGTTCATGAAGTTGGCTAAAAATTTTAACTTTTTTCAGTAGTGTTCATACACCCGCCAACTAAAGGTTAAAGCGGGATTTTATCTTTAACTTCTGACACTTCTATACAAACGCGCTATCCATATCGGCATTAGCATTACCAACTTTGGTATTTGTGCGTTGTTCGGTCATTGTGCTGTTCAGCCTGCCATGTGCTCGAGTTTTGCACACCGTTGAATGACTCTGGGACTCTAACTAGTTTTCTGCGGGACGTTCACGTTTTGGCACGATGGGCAAGCAGCTGAATAGCTATACAGCTGGCTATAAGTTGAAGGTGATCGAGTTTGCCCTCGAGCACGGGAAACGGGCCGCCGGCAGAAAATTCGACGTTGACGAGAAGTGTGTTCGACGTTGGTACGCCCAGAAGAAAGCTTTGCAGAACACCAACATGAAAAAGCGCGCTTTCCGAGGAAAACAGTGCAAGTAGCCTGATTTGGAAGAGGAGTTGCTCCGCTATGTGACTGAGGTGCGGAACGATGGTCTTGCGCTCACTACAGACATGCTGTGCATGAAGGCATTAGCCTTGGCGCGTGCGAAAAATATACCGGCCGGGGATTTCAAGGCTAGTGCTGGCTGGATGCGAAGGTTTCTGAAAAGAAAGGGACTCTCTTTTCGGCGAAGGACCACGCTGTGCCAGCGGCTGCCAGAAGACTATACCGACAAGGGCTTAGTTTTCACAAGCATGTCATCAGCCTGCGCCATCAGTACAGTTATTTGTTGTCGCAAATAGCAAACGCTGATCAAACTCTTGTGTGGTTTGACTCTCCCGAGAACTACACAGTCGAAGTAAAAGGCAAGAAGAGTGTCGCCGTGCGGACCACCGGCGCTGAGCGCCAACGCTGCACTGTGATGCTTTGTGAGACCGCGGACGGGCGGAAGCTACTCCCATACGTTGTTTTAAAAAGGAAGAGAATTCCCAACGAAGTTTTCCCCAAGGGCATCATAGTTAGAGCCCAAGAGAAGGGATGGATGAACGATGATATGGTCCTAGACTGGGTGAAAAGTGTTTGGCAGAACAGACCGGGAGCTTTGTTGGCCAAACATTCACTTTTACTATTGGATAATTTCCGCGGCCACCTTACCGATAAGATGAAGGAGCAGCTGCGCCGTGTCGGCACAGACATGGCCATGATTCCAGGCGGCCTCACAGGAATGTTGCAACCATTGGATGTGAGCGTGAATCGACCATTCAAAGTTGAATTCCGAAGACTCGACACGGAGTGGATGGCAACCGGCAACCATGAGCAGACGCCGACCGGACGGCTGAAGAGGGCACCGCTTGCTACTGTTCGGTTGGGTATTGTCGGCGTGGAGCTCGGTGTCGACGGACATTGTGTCCCGAAGTTTTAAGGTCACTGGGATATCCAACAGCCTGGATGGCACCGAAGATGACTGTTTGTGGAATGATGGTGCTCCGCAACACACTATCTCGGACTCCGAGTTAGAGGTCTCGTCGAGTGACGACGATTAAGCGCACACGCGGCATACTGCAATAAAACGCTCTTCGTTCACTAACTGGTACGTTGTTTTTAGTTCACCAAAAAAAAAAGTTCGTGTATGGGCCGCAACCTGAAAATTAGCCCTCACTTCCTGAAAAAAAAAGTGCGGCCCTTACACGCGTTTATACGGTATTTGCTACAAACGTAATCTCTTTACAAGTTCCAGAATGCTGAACTGCATTACGCCATTGTTTTTGCATCATCGAGTGGAATAGTGAATGCGTTTATGATGTTACAGCATATGCTAGCGCACACCAGATTGCACAAAGAACATGCGTAGAAAGGGACGACACAAGCACTGAACTTCAACTGATATTATTTGAAAGAATCACTTAAGTAGGCGACGCATGTGTTGTTCACACAAGACATGTGCCTATTGCAACAATGAAAACCAAGAGCACTCTATTACCTTATCGTGTGAATGCTCTTCGTGTAATCTAGTGTGCACTGCCATATGCTGTAAAGTCTTACTAACTAGCCTGGCAATACGTTTTATGCTTCTAAGATTCGCTCCGTGAGATTTCCAATGAGTCAATGTTTTGAGCTCTTCACTAGAGCCCCATAATTATTCATGTCCTTGAATGTAAATGCAACTTGCTTCTTCAGTGTACTCCAAGATGTGAAGTTAGGTACTCCAAAGTGCTCCATAATGGAAAATTTTGCTGCTCCAAAGTGCACCAAATGAAAATTTTGCTGCTCCAAAAATTGTTCCGCCAGTTCCGGGGAGGTTCGCGAGAGATGGGCTGGTGTCCTTTCATGACACAACGAATCATTATAAACTAGAGCGGAGGTTTTATCCGTCCCCGCACAAGCGGTTGACTAAGGCGCAGGAATGCGTTTGGAGAAAACTGCAGACGCAATCTTTTTCCAACCCTTACGTGTTGAACAAAATGTACCCGGAGGAGATTAAGCCGCAATGCAAATGGTGTCAGGCTGTGGCAACATATGATCACATACTTTAAGAATGTAGCATAGTACCGCCGCCGCTGGATATTATGCGTGATCCCTCTCTTGAGCACTGGGAGGCCGTGTTGACCAGCTCAGACCCAGTCGTCCAGTTAAGGGTCGTGGAGTGGGCCACACAGGTCGCCGCCAACCTTGGGTTGATGGCCATCTAACACGGAATCGTCCTTAGTTGCTTTCTGACGAAATAAAGTTTTTCCATTCATCCATGTTCCAAATCATAGAGCTTGGTGCCATCACAGGGAATAAATAACATGAAACATATAAAAAATTGTGTATATATTTTTCACGATTGTTGCTGTTTGACATGGTTTAAGTATATTGCACCATATGAGCTATAGCTTCAAGAGTGTGCGTTTGTCATACAAGTTCTGCGGAGTACATTAAGTAGTGAATGAAATAAAGACAAAGGGCAAATGACATTACTTTTGCAGAAATGGATGCCATTTTCTGCAGCCATGTAGCACGAGACTTAAAACAATGTTGATAAACGTTGCTGCTTTGCTTTGTGTCATTGCTATGTGCTGTGTAGTAACAGATTGATAAGGTTCCAACTAGAGTCAACAGTTTCTTTATCAGTCACAACACTTTGCATTAAGATAACTTCTAGTTTTCGTGGAAACAAATTTTAATTATCATTTGGTTTTGAATCTTTCCCTCAAGTTGCACTTCTCTCTGTTGTGTGCAAGAGTGCATTATGACGGGAATTTTCGTATTGTCAAGGCTTGCTTTGTTGAGTGAGCCTCAAGTTGCACTTCTCACTGTTCTGTGCAAGAGTGCATTATGACGGGAATTTTCGTATTGTCAAGGCTTGCTTTGTTGAGTGAGCTGGGACTTACACTGGAGGTGTACCTGATGCTAGAATATTCAACTATATATGTTTTTTTTTTTTATGTTCAGCTTGGCTGCTGTGGTATTGAAGGTCCCAAAGACTGGGACATGAATATCTACTTCAACTGTTCAAGTGTGGAAGTAGGCAGCCGTGAAGCTTGTGGTGTTCCATTTTCCTGCTGCAAGAGACAACCAAATGTAAGTTTAAATGTTATCCACTTTATTCATGCTTAAATGCCGACCCCCTCCCACAGCATGTTTAGGCATTGTCAAAACTTGCGGAATGTGTAAATCTTATTGTGGCAATAACTTCTGCAGACCCTTCGTATTAGGATAGTCATTATAGAAACACAGCATGCAAATTTGCACCATTTCATTGGTTTACCATACTCTGCAGCTCGGACTACTTGTAACATAGTTGAATGTAGGGCTGGACTGGCAGTAACACTGTCGATTGCCCTTCCTCCCATAGGAGTCGACTTGTACACACACTGCTTATTGTGCTTTCCCTCCTTGAAATGAGACTGGTTATTATGTGGCTGCCGTAACATCTGCTTGAACATGTGACGTAGCAAGCATGCTTTTCAACATAGATGCACTGGCTGAGGAGAGACTGTCAAAGCAAACACGAACGTAAAGGCATTTGCAGTTGCGTCGTGTGATGAGTGGGTCAGACTGACTGGGTGATAGATAAGCCTTTGCTCCAGCTTTCTTTCTGGGGTAGTAGGGAGTATATATTATGCAGATGGAGTTGGTTGTTACAACTTACTTATAAGACCATGAAATAATGTATCGTGAAAACCGGAGTATAGGTCGGACCGGAATATAGGATGATCCCTCAAACTTCGAATCTCCAGAAAAAGGAACTTTTAGAAATCTCAAAGTATCGTGGTGCACCCTTACCTTGGTAAATACGGGACACAACTAGCTGCGCTGTGGTGACATTTCTTTTTATTTGGATTTTAATCTTGTGTAGTTGAATGCCAGAAGGCCACAAAGGGCTGTCGCTCAGACTTGTTTGAACTTGAGTCCAATGACATCTGTCAATCGCTAGTAACGTTCCGAGTGCATCGTCCTTTATTCCATCCAATGCGTTGCTGATGCAGCATTTGTGGAAAGACTGAAGTACGCCACCTCAGCGCAAAGCCCTTCCGCTTCATAAATTGGCGCACCCACGATGGCGACCCTTGGTTTGCACCCTTGTGAGCCCAGAGTCGCGCCCTATCTCGCGATCTTGCTCCCAGCATCCAAACAAATTCGGTGAGCAGCGTTTCCAGTTCGGGGTGTGCTGCAGTTCGTCCACGTTTTTTTTTTCTCTGCAGAATGTGATGCACTTGCTTTTTGCACCGCCAATATGGGCACTTTTTTGCGATGCACAAAATTCCAGTTGTGCCGACAGGTTGCCGTACACTTAAACATACTCGATAACTTTGGTTCTTAAAACCTATTGCAAACTGCCATCGACTACCACTAATTTCTAAAGGAAATAGAAAAAAAGGAAACGGCAGACTGACAACAGATAACGGAGACAAAATGGCATTGCTAGAACATTGTAGGCCTTGCCTAGCTTTGCCCAATAGCGCCGCTGCTGATGCTCACGATGCCAATGAACGCTTTAGACTTCATCTGCCCATTGTTGCGAGACTTTCACATTTTTTTCTGTCAATGACTGGTATATAAGACGAGGGTCAACTTTTCTTTGTTTTTTTTTAATTCTTCCTATATTTTGGTTTTTATGGTAGGCTACATGCTGTGGAGGGTAGGTTGGCAATTCAAATCGCCCATTTCTTTTGCACCATCTGCTTTTGGAAATTACTTACCTTTGACATGAAACTCGTGTTTAGCTGGCTCCATTAAAACATTGCAGTGTGTGTGTGTCTACTGTATTTAGGTTTGCCACCTACCCAGTTTTAGACAAGCCCGGCCGGTTTTTTAGACAATGGGCAGTTGGCTCGCCTGCACCCATCGTTGTAAAGCGATGCGTCATAAGTAGGCATCATTGTTGATTGATTTGTGGGGTTTAACGTCCCAAAACCACCATATGATTATGAGAGACGCCAAACGGCATCATTGTAAGGCGATGCATCATAAGTAGACAACTTACTTGTCTTGTGTAAATAGGAGTATGTGTAGTGTCTCTGTTGAGTACCACGAGTCAAGTGATGCAATATAAAAGAAAAAATTTTGGCAGGTATTACTTTTGTAATGCAAGAACACAAACGCCTGGCAGCACTCATGCAAGGCATTACGAGCCATCTAAAAATGAAGCTGACGAGGAGATGCATAAGTACAGGTGCTGTCCTTGTGTATTCAGCGCTCATCCTTGTTTGTGTTCAGTGTCTGCCCTAGATGGATCATTACCAACGAGCTGGCTTCTAAACACTTCTTAAAGTCTCAGTATGAGCCTTGACGAACAACCATATCTGCTTGGCATCAAATCAATCCTCTGAATACCTCATGCGAGCTTCTCTTCATTCAGTCAATAAAGTCAATAACGATAATATATTAATTCATTATAGCAATGTCTACTGTAGCAGACCAACTATATTCTCTGCCTTGCTGGCTTTCATCTTCACAATAGTAGGGTTCTGAATTTCTGTCTACATATATCTTTTTCAAAGCTGTTCAGATATAGGCAAAATACCTGCTATCCGTGAGACAATAGGTGACCGATAATATGGGCAATCGCAGGAAACTGTGGGATACGACGGCTTCCGGTTCGACACACCACGTGAGTTAGCAACGGCACGCGCGCATTTTTGTACCGCTCTGTAAAAAAAAAAAAAAAAAAAAAAAAAAAAAAAAAAAAAAAAAAAAAAAAAAAACCCTCTCCGTGCGATGTCAGTGCTTTAGAAGTTCGTTTTTTGTTTTTGCTAACAGTGACTGATAATAACAAGCTGCGAAAGCAATGAACGGTAAAGAAACTTCTTTCACGCACCAAAATGATCTGCAATGCTTTTAAGCTGCTCGGGGGTACTGTCAGTTTGGCTCGATACAGAAAACAGTTTTCATTGTATGATACGTTATTGCAGATAAAAAATCAATATATTTAAAGATCTCTGGATATGGGGATGACTGTAATAGTGTGCTAAGAGTTCTTTCCTGGATCGCTGCTTCGGCCAACATCATCGGTCGGTTGGCATGAAGCGCAGCACTTATTGAGCGCATTGAGATATCTTTTTTTTTCTCTCCTTCTGCGCGCTATAATATGCATTTGTTAGTCGAAGCCAGATGCTTATTTAAACGCTGATCTTGATCAAGCTGTGCTGCACGGCGCCGAATAATCAAAACCCTGCTCTTGTTTAACGCACTTCTTCCTTTGAGTGCTGTCCTGGCACACAGTTTGACCAAGATAAACTTAAATGCACTCGTCCAACGCTTCGTGTAAACTTACTCTTGAGTGACGTTTTTGTCTTTTTTTGTTATAAATATGGGTGCAATGGCCGGCACTCATCTCGTATGGCAGGTAGATTTCACCCGCGCGTTCTCATAATATTTTGCTAGGCGCGCCTGCACGACAATTTATTTGTCAATATAATATTCGCAGAAAATTCATGCGTAAAGTTCTTTTAGTGTGGAATACACATCATCTGTGGTAAAATTGTTTTCGCACACTCTGGATTCAACGTTTCACGACAATCGATTCATGCGTTTGCCTTTCATGCTCGAGTTAGTGCAACCAACGGCTGAACAACCGACCATGGTTTATCAGGACGAAAATAAATTAGCGACCGCGCGCGAATCATTAATAATCTGAGTATTTCGGCGAAGAAGTTCACCGTCGTCTAGTCTTCTCGAACCGGAAGCCGGTAGCAGACGGTGCATCCCACAATCCCTCACTCTTTTACTGGTCACCTACCATGTAAACTGGAATATAAGTCGAGATATTTTCAATAAAACGAGCTAAAGTCGCCCCTCGTTTTACATAGCGGTGTCTAGCCGACGGTGCACCACTGTCTGGCAACATGTGGTTGGTTTGCATGTGCATGAGAAGCTGGACACCGCCATGTTCGCATTGAAATCCAATAGCAGGTTGTTTTTTTTTTCTTCTCTCTTGTCTGTTTTTTTGTGTTCATGATTTGCCTCCGATCTGTACTAAGTTCTTGCTCCGCTTGACATTGTGTTTCATTTTTAGTGGTCTTTTTTTCGTTCATTGAATATGAGTAGCGGTATGAGAAGGCAGTACTCAGCTGCGTTTAAACTAGAGGTTGTTGAGTTCACAGAAGTGAATGGGAATATGGCTGCTCAGCGCCGCTTTGGTGTATCAGAAAAAAGCGTGCGCTATTGGAGGGTGCAGAAAAGGAAGCTGCAGATGTGCAATCCTCGGAAAATGTTATTTCGGGGGCGAAGTGCGGTTCATCCGCAGCTGGAGAATACGCTAGGGAACTTTGTGTGGGAAGTTCATGCGTGCTCGCTGCCAGTAACCGTGGATACTATACGCAAGAAAGCTGTGGAACTCGTTCGAGAAGCTGGGCTCATTAGAGAAGAGTTTTGTGCACCAAACTCTTGGGTGCGTCGATTCATTAGACTCAAAGGATTTTATTTCCGGTGGCGGATATCCATCTGTCGGAAGTTTCCAGACGAGTTCGAGGACAACCTTATAAACTTTCAAGGCTTCTTGAACCGACTTCAGGAGCAGAACAGCTACATGATGGGGCAGATCGACAACGCCGATGAGACTCCTATGTGGTTTGACATGCCTTCATCGACCATGATCATGCAGCGTGGCGCCAAGGATATGAGGATGTTGTCCACTGGCAATGAGCACTCGCGCTTCACCGTCATGCTGGCATGCATGGCAGATCGTAGAAAGCTTCCGCCCTTCATCATTTTCAAACGTAAGACAATGCCAAAGGAAGTGTTCCCACCCGGTGTTGTCGCTCGCGTCAACAAAAAGGGATACATGGACGAGGTCATGATGCTCAAATGGATACGAGTAGTCTGGAACCATCAGCCAGGTGCACTGCTGCGTCTTTGCAGCATGCTGGTGTTAGATGCGTTTTGTGGTCACTTAACTGATGCTGTGAAGTGCGCACTGGGCAATGGAAAAACGGACCTCCCCGTCATACCAGGTGGTATGACGTCCACCCTCCAACCGTGTGACGTACTAAACAAGCCTATCAAAGACCGAGTGTGGCTGGAATACCAAAAGTGGATGTTTGGTGACAACCCAGACACGATGGGCCGTCTACAGAGGC